AGATGCCTGAGGAGCCCAGACCGATCCCAATCCCAGGTTGACGACAGGACGAGGCAAGATAAGACAGGAACCCAGGACAGTCCAAGCTCAGACCTCCCTCCAGTCTTTGTTCCCGTCGCAAACGATACCGGCTAGAAACGTCAAGCTGCAGGTCGATATACAACCTGGAGCACTACTACGTAGCATGACGCCGCGCACAGTCATGCTCGCAAGTAGCATCGCAACCAGTAAATACTCCGAAGGCAACGAACGCATCAGGATCAACTGGATTGGCGTTCCGGACCGTGACGCCCTGGAAACCATTCCTAGTAGCACAAGCAGGTACCTGCAGTAGCGCGTGCAGGAAGCAGGGCAGTCGAAACGGGGAACCATTGTGACAGGCCTCCACCCTCTGTCGCTGCAGTCCGTTTTGAAACCAGTATGATCGGATAAAAGTCTATCATCGCCTAAATTCCAGATGGAGCAGCCCTTGCCCTGCCCTGAAGAGAAGCTCGGGCTTGCTGAGGAGCAGTAGAGCTTCCGCGCGGACCAGCCTTGCCTCTAGGGGCAATCTTGGGCGTGACCGGGGGCCTGGGAGGAGTAGGTAGGTAGGTAGGTTAGGGTGGTATGATGTTGATTGCCTGATCATAGTGGTCTCGTCGGACGTGGCTCTGATGAGGCATCGCAGGGCCAACTAGAGGTACTGGACTTTATCGTGTACTGGTACCTGTGTGAAACTGAGCATCGTTATTACATTGGTAGGTAAGCTGGCAGGGCAGAGAGGCATCTCAGAGAGTCTGCAGCATACCGCTCGTACAAGCCGTGTCGCTGCGTCTGTCAATGCATGGATCAGATGCTCCGAGGCTGTCCAAAGCCAGCAATTCCCGACAGCCGCTGGATCATAGGGGCCCAGGAGCAGGAGCAGGAGCAGGAGCAAAATCGTCATCGAGATGAGCACACCTGAAGATGGACATGAAACAAGGCATACGAGGATTGCAGATGCAGATGCAGAGGGAGATGCAGAGCAGACAGACAGACAGGCAGCAGCCAGATGGCCTGGTTGGCAGATACCTGGTAATAACCCAGAAGGTTGGCCGAGGATAGGTACCTAATAAAATGACGGTTGCGACGGGATCAGAGCCCGAGGTTACTTGGAAGAGCCTGCCTGCTCCTGCCCCGTCCCCCGCGTGTACCCTGCAGACGCTCGGTATTGGAGATTCGGGTGAGCAATTCCGACAGAAGAGGGAGAACGGAGGCGATTTGAGCCACTTGCAGCCGACTGAGGCTACCGTCGCTGTACCTGAACCGGTGGCCTCGGGTACCTGAGCGATACCCGGTACAGTACAGAGTAGGTGCGTGCCTTCCCTGGCAGGAATGGCTTGAGGTGGCCCTGCCTTGCAGTAACAACTCACATCCGGAAGGGACTTCCGCACCGGACCTGCAGCATCCAGAAGCAACAGGAGACAGGGATGCACAATTTTAGTAGTCCTCGGTGAATTATTGAGCTTTTTCTTTTCCTTACCATCTTCTCTCTACCCTTTCGTTTTCTTCTTCCCTGTGCCTCCTTGCCTGGCTGTCCCTGTGTCTCTCTATTCGCCGTCGGCCATTGTGCAATTTGAGGCGTCTCGCGATGTCTAGCTGTTAATCTTAGTAGTCAGCGCGGCTTTGAGAACTGGCTCCCGAATCAGTGAGCTGCGCAGTCGGACTCCATGCTTCGGAACTTGTCCTGCTGCTGCTGCTGCTGCGTCTCCCAGAACTCGGAGTCGAGCTGCTGATATCAAGGTACCGTATGTAGGTAGCTGGTCTTCTGCAGTGGCAAAGTGGTAGCGAAGTTGCACAGACCTTCATTCAACAGAGTGGCCGCCTTTGCAAGGCGGCACGTTACCTACTTGTGGACAGCCCCGACGAAAAGCACAAGTCATGTCGCGCGTCTGCAACAGCGCACCGACTTAATCGCGACTGATCGCCCGCCCGTCGCCAATCGGCTCGACGACCGCGATTCGCCCACCGAGGGCTAAAACAGGATCGCGTCTGCTAGCAACCTGCAGGCGTATCATCTGGTGCCGGTGGTGGTGGTGGTGCTGGCCTGACACTGAATCGAGAAGCGCTTGGACGTTCCCAGGCTTTTGCCTCCCCCTCAGAGGCCCAAGGCTCCAAGGCGCCGGGACCGTCTTTAGACCATCTCGCCACCGTCCAAGCTCAGAGCCCGTTGAAGCCTGTGCCGGCCATCCCTCCTGGCCAGCCCCCTGCTCGGTGGTCGGCTCAGCACCGAGTTTGAAGGTGCGGGTAAGAGGACGGCAAGGCGAAAGGATGGAATCCCTGCCGGTCCATGTACGGTAAGACTGCTATCGATATTACGGAGCACAAAAGCTGTTCGGAATATGGTATTACAAGCACAAGCGCAATCACACGCACAATTGCCCACAGGCATACGCAGTACGTACGTATAAACAGCGGTCCGAGTCCGCCAGCGCGGAAGCGCAACCTCAGAGTCGGACCCGACACCATGAAATATACCCAGGCAGCGTCCGGGATCCCCTGGCCGGCGTGTCTCTGGAGTTGTATTTGGGGTCTTTGGGGTCCTCGAAGCCACTCAGGGTCCGCGCTGGCTCTCCACGCCGAGGGAGCACTAGCAATGGCCAAGGGAACGGCTCGAGGGCGAACAGCTTGGTCATACCATGTGCAAGTCCATCAGTTGGTCTGCTGAGGCAAGGGTCTTCCTCCGGCAGGATTGCACAAAGGACAAGGCACGGTAGCCGCCCACCCCATGCAGAGTTGGCCTTTTGTATCACTGCTGACCGGCATCTCAGCAAAACGGCTCGCCGCGGCGCACCGCATTGCGCACACGTGAATGGATTGCTGCAAAAGCATCTCTCTGCCTGTCTTACCACCAAGGCATGGTACCTACTAGGTAATATCATGTCGCACGCAGGACCTTGGACGCCGCCGAGCGTGTACTGGCCCCAATCACCTCGATGTGACACCGGTAGGCGCCCTGCCTCTGGCCTTGAAATGAGCGGATGCTTGTCGCCGTGGCACAAGTGCATGTCGCGGACATATGTACAAACTATACTAACCAGCTGCCAGGGTCCTCATATCGTACTGAGGTGGCTCTGCTCCAGTCGCTCCAGTTTGCTGCGGATATCGCAATCGGGTTGCCAGCCGCGAGGTGCTAAGGCCCGGTAGCGTGCAGGAACCCTGCCTTGCCCGCCTGCTAGCAGCAGTGGCCCTCGTGCTAGTAATAGTGAGGTGCCCAATCCAATGGTAGCCCAGGGGGGAGCTCTTGGACTACCTAGTACTAGTAGTATCAAGACTGTTACCGTTTCTACGTTGTTTGCTAACTGTTCTCTAGCACCGCCCGGTTGATTCGTGTCGAGGCTCGAGTAAGACCGTGCAGCAGGACTACAGAAAGACTAACCACAGGTGCGGCTGTCGTATGGTTGCGCTATCGGTGCGGTGCGGTGCGGCTCAGGCAAGTCGTAACATGCCGTCGAAGATGCCTCACGCCTGCAATCACGCTCTCTCGTGGGACACGTTCTGGCCCGCTGTAGGACAGACCTCGAGTTCTCTAGCACGAGCGCTACAGGCCCGCTAGCAGGCCTACTCCAGGGCCAGGTCGGTGGCAGCACCTGTGAGAGCCATGCGGCCATGCAGTTGAGCCATCCATGGATGGCATCTCATCCCATGCCAGTCCCATTGTATCCCAGGGGCCCCCCCAATAGCGGTTACCAGCTGCCAGGTACGACGAGTCGGCGTTGTGCTACACGACCGGGGCCCCAGCACGCGGCCACGGAGCGTGGCCTGTCGCACCCATCAGGCATGGGCGGCAGCATGGCCTGGAGCAGGGGAGCAGGGGAGCAGAGGTACCTTACAGGAACGGGTACTGGTACGAGTGCAGGTACGGGCGCGGTACTCTGAACGGACGATCCCCGCCCGTCTCCTTGCAATTTGGAGCCGATGGGCGGGTTCGATCTCGCGCGCTGTGCTGTGCTGTGCTGGTCCGGGTCTCTGGCAGCTCGCGGCGATTGTGACCTGAAATTGGCCACGTCCGGGGCGGCACGACCTGGGTGAGTCTTGAGTGTGGGTGTGTCCTGTGATTGATCCCGCCTGTACCTCTATCGTACCTGTGCCTGTACCCGCACCCGATAGGTACGGTACCGGACCTTACCTTACCTGACCCTTGGACCTGAATCCGTGCCCGTGTTTGTGTGTGCCTGTGCTTCCACCAACTTCTTCTTTGCTTGTGCCGGGGAAGCTCCAATCCCTAATAGATAAGGTACTGAGGTAGTATTTCTGCTCCGACTTCTTCTGCCTCCCGAGGCTTTCTTTTCCCTTGCCTTTTTCTTCCTCTTTTCTTCCTGGTGCTGCACCTTGATTCTTCTTCTTTTATCATCTTCTCTCTCTCTCTCTCTCTCGCTCTCTCGCTCTCTCACCCTCTCTTACTCTGATTCTGTCAGCTACCTTTGCTAGCTACCTTACCTTGTCTGGAGCTCAGCAGCTGCCTGTACCTTCAGTTACCTCATCTCACCCCCCTCACACCATCTCGGCAGGTACCAAGTACCCGGCACGAGATAGCTTTGCCCTTTTAGCATCTTCCTCTTTCTTTCGATAAAATTCAACCCTCTTCTTCCACTTCTCTCCTCCGCGCCTGCTGTCTTCTGCCTTCTGCAAGCTGCTTATCCCGGACCTCTTGCTGGCCGTTCAACACCCGAATAGCGTCGATTCAAGCAGAAAACCTCGTATTCCGTCCGTGATCGATCCTTATATACCAACAGAGGGAGCTTCATTACCTACCTACGCACAACAAGACAAGCCTTCAACCTACCTCGTTGCGAGCGAAAGCACCAGCTTGGATACCAAAAGCCTCTTCGCCAGATACCAGATAACCAGCAACCATGGGCATCTTCTCCCGCAAACAGAAATCCCCCCGGGAGTCGGGCATCCTCGAGTCTCAGTCCACCACCAGCTTCGGCTCCTCCACATTCCGCGGCATGGGCAACAACCGCGTCTCTGCCAGCAGCATGCTGACCCCCAGCACTCCCCTATCGCCGATGCCTCCGTTCAAGATCCCAAAGATTGACCTTCCCCGGCCCCCGGATCCGCTGCTGGATCCCGCTGGCTACCTGCGCAGCCTGGCCGCTGTGCGCGACAGGGCCAAGATCCTCATGGAAAGGGCCGAGGAGAATGCCCTAGTCCACTTCGACGTTGATATGAACAAGTTTCCGGATGTGGTGACGTTTGTCGCAGGGCTGATCAAGGTACGTTCATCGCTTTTGTTGGGTTGGGGGACATGGCAGCTTTGGGGCGAGAGAAGGGGAGAGACATGAAGCTCGCTTGCATGGCAGCATCCCCATCTTAGACTGGCGCATGGCTTGGGTTTGTGCTATCTTTACTAGACATGGAAAAGATGGGCTGTCAAGAACACTGCCAGCTTCGCCACATGCCTTTCCCTCTCCATTCTCAGATCCAATGCGCGCCACCTCCTCGCTTACATGGTTGAGACCGAGACTAACATGACTGCGCCTGCATAGCGAGATCACGACGCTCCGTTCCAGGACATCCCCAGCCATGGCCGGTATCAGCACTTTTGCGTAGGAGGTCGAGATCGGATCGCTGAGCTCCTGAGCAGCTGGCCCGACAGCGTCGACAACACGGAGCGATGCCGTCGACTCGTAGACCTCTTCTTCGTCAGCGTGCTGCTGGATGCGGGTGCGGGCACTACCTGGACCTACAAGAGCGTTGAGAATGGCAAGATCTACAAGCGCTCAGAGGGCATCGCAATCGCCAGTTTGGAGATGTTCAAATCAGTAAGCCCAAGAAAGTATTCTCTGGGTGGGTAATTTGATCTGACTTGGAACAATAGGGAATCTTCTCAGCAAGCCCATCCAACAAGCATCAAGTCGACAAGGTCGCACTGGGGGCTCTCAGTGTGGCCAAGATCGCTTCGGGCATGCAGGCCGACGGCGACAACGAGCTTGTTGGCTTGGAGGGCCGAACGGAGCTTCTGGTCAAGCTGTCAGACGCTCTCAATGAGCACTCCGAGTTCTTTGGTGCCGATGGCCGGCCTGGCAACATGATTGGTTAGTCGAGCGTTCGAGTCAAGGCTTGTGTCTCCGTCAACTAACTCCATTGCAGATTACCTGCTATCACATCCCGCAACTCAGGCGTCATCGGTTCTCATTGTTCCGCTGCCAGTGCTGTGGACCGTCTTGATGGAAAGCCTCTCATCTATCTGGCCTACTCGAACGGCAATTAACGGCGTCCCGCTTGGCGATGCCTGGACCTGCGAGGCCCTGCCCACCTCGGGACCCAATACCTGGGAGTCCATCCTGCCGTTGCACAACCTGACACAGTGGCTTGCGTATTCGCTCATGCAGCCTATGCAATCCCTGCTTAACATGTACTTTGCCGGTACGGAGCTTCTGACTGGCCTGCCCGAGTACCGCAACGGCGGCCTCTTTGTCGACCTGGGAGTGTTGACTCTCAAGGAGAACGACATGGCCCGCGGACTGGCCAATTACGGCGCCTACTGCAAGCACTCGGGCATCAAGGTGGTGGAGGTGGCGCCCATGTTTGAGGCCTCAGACGATGTCATTGTGGAGTGGCGAGGTTTGACGGTCGCTCTGCTCGACAAGCTCCTGGAAGGCGTCAACGAGGCACTCCGGCCGGAGCTGGATGGCCATGAGATGACGCTGGCGCAGCTATTGGAAGCTGGCAGCTGGAAGGTAAGGACCAAAGACATGATGCAAATGCAAATGAGACGTGGGCTAATCAAGTTCTATAGGGAGGTCGGGAGATTGCCGAAATCAACAGGCCAAACACCAAAGAGCCGCCGATTCTGGTCGAAAGCGACGGAACGGTATTCTAAACCAACCGATGGCTTCTCTTCTCTTCTTTTCTCTTCTTCACACTCACTCACTCACCTCCTTTACTACAACCACTACCGACTGCTTTAACTATTATACCATTACTGCTTCACCTGGGGCGGCTTCGTTTTCTTTTGTCTTGGGATGGCACGCACTGTCTGGCCTAATTTGGGACGCCGAATGAATGAGCAATATTTTTCTCTTTCTTTTCCTTTGTCTCTTGACAAATTATCAACTAATACGATCATGTATCGTACAAATTCTGGGCTGGGAAGAATAGGGAGCATGGGAAAAGAAAAGGTGGAAATCGAAAACAAAGCTCCTTTTGTGTTTGGGAGGTAGTTTTGAGGATACCCCGTGTAGAACTCATAGGGCAAGCTGAAGAAATCAATCACAAATTGCCATATTTGCCCTCTGGGCTTCTTCATTCTCTACCTGTTACGGGTGCATGGCTCTTGTGATTTGTATAATCTCTTGTCCATGTGGAAATAATTCATCAGGAGTGTCTTATATTGTGTCTATGTCAACAGCACAACCCCCCCTTGCCCTATTGTACAGAATGTTTCCGCCCCCTTTTGTGTGTCGCTTTGCTCCCTACTGCCCCGCCCTCTGAATCTCCTGAATCTCGTTGCAGCTCATCTACGTACATATCTTTACACTTATTGTTGGTGATTGTAGGTAAATAATACATGACATGGAAAAAAAGGGGTGAGATGTATGCAAAGAACTGCCATCCCCTCACCTCGTCTCATTTCTCCAAATGACCCAAGCTCCGCCTCTCGATGCCCTCGGCACCCCTGTCTTCCTCTTCTGGAGCTCATCATTGTTCTTTTTTTTTATTTTTCTTTAATGTCTTTTCTTTGTGAGAATGAAGCTCTAATGCGGCGCTTCTATTTCTTGCCCTTGTACTTTTGCTCAAACTGCTCGCGCTCCTGCTGCTTGCGCAGGTCCTCCAGCTTGCGAATCATCTCCTTGCGCTTCCTCTCGGCCCTCTCCTGCTCGGTGCCGGAGTAGGTCCCGGTGTAGTTGGACACGGACTCGGAGACGCCCTTTTTCATGTCGTCGAGGCTGCTCGTCAGGCGTTCCCGCAGGCCGGCCATGCCTTGGGAGGAGGAGGCGGACTCGGGCGCGCGGGGGGCTTCGTACTGGACCTTGTTCTGCTGCTGCTGCGCGGGGGCCTCGTCGGCCGGGCCGAGGGGCAGGCCGAGGGCGCGGCGGATGGAGGGGATGTTGAGGATGAGGGCGGTGACGAGGGTGGAGGCGCCGAGGGAGACGGTCATGAGGTTGACGGCGGCGGAGAGGAAGGTTGTGCCGATGAAGCCGACGGTGCCGAAGATGTACATCATGGGCTTTAGCATCTTGCGCTGCTGCTTGGGAGTGTGTTTTGCGTTGATCTGGAGGGGGAGGGTGAGTTAGTCGTGGTTCGTCTGAAGAGGGTGGCTTGGAGAGTGGAAGGAGGGGGGAAGGGTGAAAAACTTACCAGCAGGGCACCCATCATGAGGGCGGTACCGGCGGCGGGGAGGATAAAGTAAGGGTCCGTGGCGGTCAGATCGGTGAACCAGAGGAAGCCGGCGTTCTCAAGCGAAGGCACGGGGATGTGCACCATGCCGCTGACGATGCGGAAGAGGCCAAAGGTGAAGGGGATCTGGGCGAGGGACCACAGGATGCCCCAGTTGCTGACGCCGTACTCGGTGCGCAGCAGCTTGTTGAGGACCTGGCCGCGCTGGCGCTTCTCCATGTCGCTCTCCTGGAAGCCTTGCTGGACCAGCTTCATGGCCTCGGTGGAGCGCGGATCCTTCCTCATGCGCTGCATGACGGCGTTGAACTTCAAGCTCTGAATCTGCGGATAGAACATGACGGCCCTGAGCAGGACGGCCGTGGCCATGATGGAGGCGCCCCAGCCCAGGCCGCCCCAGACGTGGACGTGCTCGAGCGTCCACTGCATGACGGAGGTGAAGCCCCAGCCGTAGTCCAGCCCGATGGCGTGCAGGTAGCCAATGTCCTCGCGCATGTTGAGGATGTCCTGGCCGTTGATGAGGGCCGAGATGGAGGAGAGGTCGGCGTCGGAGGCGGCGACGGAGGCGGGGTCCGTCGCGGAGGGAGAAGTAACGGCTGCGGCATCGGTGGGAGTGGAAGAAGAAGGAGAAGAAGTTGCTGCTGCTGCTGTAGAGGCCTGTTCCGTTGCTGGTGTGGGAGTGGCGGCGGCTGGCGTCTCGGGTGTTGAAGCAGCGGCTTCGGCTGGTGAGGCGTCCTTGTTGTCCTTGCTTCCGCCCCAGCCCCAGAGCGACAGTGATCTTGACGATGAGACGCCGCCGAGGACAATTGGAGCAGCGGCGGCATATCGAGGTCGGAGCGGTGATGAAGACGTCGTCAGCCTGCCGTCGACGTGTCGCAGTGAGGTCCCGAATTGGCGTCCATGGCTCAGCTTTGAACCAGAGAGGTTCTGCGTGGGGTGTGTCAGTCTTGCGACAATCCTCATTGCATTGTCATGTATACAGAGATATTCATAGATTGGGGGAAGGGCGTTGCTCACCACCAATCGGTTCGGCGCCTGCCTCCAAGCTCCCTGTGAGGGGAGGGAGCGCACAATCCCTCTGCTTGGAAGCATTGCGACGGTCAGTCGAGGGCTGGGAGAGAGAGAGAGAGAGAGAGAGGGAGGGTAAGTATGGATAAGATGAGGCAGGACGGATATCAAATTGTTGCGCTTTTGGCGGGACTCGGCTTAGGGATTATTTTTTTCGATGCGGCGGATGAACCTCGGATCTAACCCCACGTCTGGGTTGGTGATGGTGTGCAGATAAGCTGGAAGCTTGATATGACGGAGCGGGTGCCTTGAAGTTGTGTATGAGTAAGATGAGGGTTATGACAGGCGACAGATATGGGTAACGGTGAACTGTGAGTAGAAATTGAAAGTTGAGTTCGTCTTGAAAAGTTGAATTGGCTCGATTAATGCTATGGCTGCTGCACCGTGCAGCTCCTCATGGTACAATCTGCGGTAGCAACCCGCTTCTACCCAGCTGCCCACTGCCCACTCAGATGCTCTAGAAGTGGCAGTACAAGGGCCAGAGTCTTTCAATGTGAAGCGCCTGCATGTGCGAACTAGTATCTAGACATGACTTGGGATTTCATATACAAGGTCCCTCCGACCAGGATGATTCAACACCTCCCCTTACTCTAAGCTTGCAAAGTCGCTTAGTGACGGCCCGGGTCGCTCTGGTCGTTCGCGAACCTCGATGCCGGGGCCAATGGGGTGCGCTCGTCTTCGAGAAACGGGAAAGACCTGCATGCAGCCCATGTTAGCAATCCAATAGACATACAATCACCTCCCATGTACTGGCGAATAAGACATCTGGGATCTTGAGCGTCGCGAATCCAGCTTCAATGGCGTCCATCGCCCGCTTGAACTGACCTTTGTGCCTCCCCAACCCAGCCTGAACGCCGCCTCATGGGCAAACAGCTCTCCGAATCCCAGCATCATGCCGTTGATAAATGGCAGCAGCAGGTTGATAGCGGCGCTCCGTATCAATGTCCACGCAGTCGGGGGCTTGTAGAGAATGACGGGCGAGTTGGACGACGACGGGGATGAGACCTCGTCGCCCGGGGAGTACTGCTCGCTGTCGGACCGCATCGTGATGCCCGAGTCGGCGAGGTGTGTGCTCAGATCGTCGGTCGACATGGCGGCTGTGCGTGTAGAGGGAGGCTTGTGAGGCGGCTGCAGGGTCGAAGAGCGTTGATGCACAGCTGCGATGCCGGTGATGGCGATGATGCACAACAACCCGAACCTTGAACCTCGAGGGTGCTCGGCGTCATGAGGGTATTACGTAACCTAAGGAAGAATCGGGGCCGGTGGATCGCTATTCCGGTGGGGCCAAGTGCCGAGAAGTCACTGCAGCTCACTTTCAGGCTGCATGACGAAGGTGAGCCGCTGCCTTCGGTTTGCTTTGGTAATCGTCGACTCTGGAAGAACAGCAGCCTGCTTCCTTTCATTACCTTACCTTACCTTGCCTTGCTTATCTGCAGCCTATTTGCACCACCCAAACAACTCCATCACACGACCATTAGAAGAGGATCCTGTCGTTCGGTTGAAGACAATACAGCCTCTTTGCCCCTCTTGTCGGCAACCGTTTGCTTGAAGCTCGCAACGACCCCTCACAAACGCACACATACACACATACAGCTGCCATCATGGTGCGGGAAGACGAGCCCAAGGATCACGATGAGATGGTTCGGGACTTTGTCGCCATGAGCGGTGCCTCTGTCGAATTGGTCAGCTCAACTATCAGATACCACAAGCTACTTTACGCCCGTGAAGCTAACACCGGTTGACTCTTCCAGGCTACCCAGTATCTCGAGACCAACGGCTGGGACATGCTCGCCGCCTGCAACTCCTACTTTCACGACGAGGACGAGCGAAACGACGCACGACGCCGGCAACAAGCTGCCGAGGGGACTCTAGAACAGTACAGCGGCCCGAGGACTCTGGATGGCCGTCCTGCTCCTCAGGAAGACTTCTCCAGCTTAGCGTCCCGCAAGGCCAACCAGCCGAAGAAGAAGGGCATTGCTACGCTAGGGTCGCTGGCCAGCAGCAGCTCTGCCCCTCACAACCCCATGGACGATGAGGACGACGAAGACGAGGATGATGAGGAGGACGATGGACGAGGCAATCTATTTGCCGGTGGTGAGAAATCGGGCCTTGCTGTCCAGGATCCGAGGCAGGAGGGTGGCTCGAGGAAGATTATCAGTGACATTCTGGCCAAGGCGAAGGCGTGAGTGATGCTCCAAGGCCGCATGGTATTTTCGTGTCACAACAGGGTGCTTACCTTTGCATAGGAACTCACGGCAGTCCGATCCCAGCGCAGAGGCGGGCCCTTCTCGCCCAACTCACTTCCGCGGTACCGGCATGACCCTCGGTGGCGATGGCGTGGAGAGTCGAAGCATTCCAGACCCCCGGGGAGCCGAGCGGCCCAGCGGCCCGCCAGTCGAGCGCGTGCTTCACATCTGGCAGGACGGATTCAGCATCGACGACGGCGAGCTTCGCCGCTTCGACGACCCCTCCAACGAGGCCGATCTCCAGCTGATACGGTCAGGCCGGGCTCCCCTCCATCTGATGAACGTGCAGCACGACCAGTCGGTGGACGTCAAGCTTCATCAGCACGACACGCCATACAAGCAGCCGCCCAAGAAGTACAAGCCCTTCTCGGGCACTGGCAACCGCCTTGGCAGCCCGGTGCCTGGAGCTTCATCCACGACATCGTCTACGCCGGCGCCCGCCACACCGCCCGCTGCTGCTTCTGCGCCGACCATTGACGACTCACAGCCTACGCTGATGATCCGGATTCAGATGCCCGACGGATCCAGGCTGCCTGCTCGTTTTAACACCACGCACACGATTGGAGACGTCTACGGCTTTGTTCAGGGGGCTTCCGTGGAGACTCGCACTCGGCCGTGGGTGCTGGTCACGACCTTTCCCAACAAGGAGCACACTGATAAGTCGTTGGTGTTGGGGGAGATGCCCGAGTTCAAGAAGGGCGGAACTGCTGTGGTGAAGTGGGCGTAGGCTGGGTTGTGGAGAGCGTGACGACGGGAGGCTTATACGGGAGAGGTTCCAATTGACCTCTCTTTCTTTTCTTTTCATGATTCGTGACACTCATAGATGAGTAGAGGTCCTTCAACAGTCAATTTGATGCCAAGTCGGCCCGTTAGCCCTCAGGATTCAAACTGTGTCATTTCAGCCATTGGCAGCCCTTGATTTTTCGACTCAATATTTCAGCAGACATTACAAAGCTATCCAGTTTCCGTGCGACCTCGCACTATCCACTGATCAAAGTATGTACAGGAAAGAGGGTCAAGATCATTAACACCGTTGCTGCCCGAATGCGTATTATAGCCAAAAAAGGTACCATAGTAAATCTTCTCATCTGATGCCGTAACGCCCTTGAACACCTAGCTCTCGTAAAAGTCATTAGAATATGATTTCCGCCCCTCCCCGCGCTTTAGTGCTCCCAAACTCCAATACTTCTCCTCTTGGTTGCTTCAGGCAGCTTGTGCCAGCGACGCGGGCACTGGCGCAGCTGCGGAGCCGGGGGCCGGGGTGTCGAGGAACTTGAAGTGCTCAATGGCAATCTGGCAGTTGAGCATGGCGGCGTTGAAGCGGGCCTCGCCCGGGGGCAGGACGACCATGAGGTAGGTGTTTGTGGTGAACTTGAGGATGAAGAGGCTGAAGCGCATGCCGGCTTTGTGCTCCATGCGGATGAACTGCTCCGCGTTGCGGGGGGTGCCGGTGAAGCGGGAGATGCTCTGCTTGAAGTGCTTCATGATGTTGGACATGCGCTCGAGGCGGTCCTCGGTGGGGTTGCGGGCGCCCTCGGGGGAGGTCCAGGAGGAGACGGCGAGGAAGGAGGTGCGCTCGAAGAGGATGAGCTCCTCGGCCTCGATGGCGACGCCGAGGTTGGCGAGGTTGCGCTCGATGACGGCCAGGTTGGGGACGAGGTCGTGGATGATGGAGGCCCAGGCCTTGTAGAGGCTCTGGTCCCAGATGGAGGTGGCAAAGGGGACGAGGTCGACGGCGGCCATGTCGACGCCGACCGAGTTTGCGTACTCGGCCGTCTTCTGGCGGACGAGGCGGACGCGGTCGTCGTAGACGGTCTCGCGGGCGGTGGGCACGACGAGGTCCATCTTGTGGACGAGGATGTAGATCTTGGCGGCGGGCGAGTACTGCAGCAGGGCGCTGAGGATGGACACGTACGTGGCCAGGTCGCGGTCGACGTCGCGCGACTCAATGTCGAAGACGTAGATGAGGACGCCGACGTTGGAGAAGACGTGGACGCGCTGCTGGGCGAGGTAGTTTTCCATAAAGGCCTCCTGGCCGCCGCAGTCCCAGAGGTTGAGCGTGAGGTTGCCGAGGAACTTTACGTGCGAGAGGTCAATGTCGATGGTGGCGCCTCTATCAACACGATTTTGTGAGCGATTATGCTTTAGGGTCAAGGAGTATCTTGGTTGCCTTACAGTCTTCGAGTGTCGCGCGCAATATAGTTGCTAAAGATGATGCTGCGCATGCTCGACTTGCCGGAGCCGGACTTGCCCATGAGGAGCACCTTTTTCTTCTTGGGCTTCTTGACTTCGTTGCGGACGTCGGCGCCGGACTCGGGCGGTGGTTCGCCAAAGGAAGCCATGGCGAGAGGCTGTTGTGGTGGTGATGTCTACTAGTCGTTTGTGAAGCTGCGCGAGAGGTGTTGAGTCTCGGTAGGTAAGTTGAGTGGGACGGAAGTGGAAGCTGGCGAGCTCAATCGACTGTTTGCTGGTGGGAGAAGAGACAGCGAGAGAGCTGGAGACAGGCTTGACAGCGGACGGGGACCAGGTAGCAGTACCTGCAAGGTACCCTCTGTAGGGCGATCAGGCGGCGGGGACTTGGGGGAGTAAGCTGGAGATGCGTTGTAGCTGCGAGTAGGTACGAGTACATAACTGGCAGTGGGCACGTGCGATTGCTCGTGTAACGTCTGTCAGATTGGACATTTCGATGGACGAAATATCTTGATATGAGTGTAATAGAAGTGTAATCTCTCCCTATTTTTCATTTTCTTATTGAACCATCCCCCCGCTGTCTCACAGCTTCTTCATCACTTCTGGGTCGAGGCGTAGCAGTCATACAAGCCTAGGTACCTACCTAGTAGGTTTCCAGGTACTGGTACTGTACACACGCCGTTGGCAGCAAGCGCTGAACCTTGAGAGCCAACAGTGACAGCATTATCGGCTCTTATCGACGCCTTATGTAATCCGCCACCTCTCTCTCTCTCATTGAGGCAATCCGCCAGCAGTACATAGCTCGACTTAATTGTCTTGAAACCACATGTCACCTCCGATTCGCAACCGTTCGCGTCCACCTCGAGCAGCCTCTCTCTCTCTCACTCCCACGCCCGCCACAACTCCTCGATCCCGCCGCCGCCGCCCTCGAGAATGTCGCAATACTACAACCAGTACGGCGCATCCGCTTCCCCCTCGGCGACGGAGAACCTGCAGTTCTACCACGGCTCCTACGCGGCCACGCCCTCGCAGCCTCCTCCGCCGGCCGTCGGCGTTGGCTATGGCGTGCCGCCGGGCTACCGCGAGCAGACGGGCCTGAGGACGGGCTGGCTGGCCGCCTTCTCCGCCGAGGGCTACGACAACGAGCCGTCGCTGCGGGAGGAGCTGGGCGTCGACTTTGGGCACATGCAGGCCAAGACGCTGGCCGTCCTCAACCCCTTCTCGCCCATTGAGCGGCTGGAGCACGTCATGAACGACTCTGACCTTGCCGGACCTTTGCTCTTCGTCGTGCTCTTTGGCGCCTTTCTGCTGTGCAGCGGCTCCGTCCACTTTGGCTACGTCTATGGCCTCGCCCTCATGGGGTCGACGATGCTCTACATGATCCTCAGCTTGATGACGCCGGATACGCCTGCGGGATACCCCGGGGCCGACGTCTCGCCCAGCGGCCTCACATTCACCCAGAACGCCAGTGTGCTGGGGTACTGCTTCCTGCCACTTGTTCTCACGTCGTTGATTGGCGTTGTCATGCCGCTGGATTGCATGGCCGGATACATTATCACGAGCTTGGCCATTTGCTGGGCGACGTCAAGATCCAGCGCCATCTTTTGTGGTGAGTTTTTCTTTACTACCATCCAGACTGAGGAAAGATGTTGTACATAGGTACTAACGGGGTTGTTGTGAATCAGCTGTCGGAAAAATGCGAGATATGCGTGGCCTTGTGGCATACCCGGTAGCCCTGTTCTACGTCGGATTCGGCATCATCACCATCTTCAACAGCCGAGGCAAGGCGCAGTGAGCGGCATAAGGCAGCAGAACAAATCACAGATGGCGGATGCAGATGCATGACGAAAAGGGCAAGGGCTTGGCTTCCCCTGGGTAACAAGCTCGGGGGATAATGTCGGCGCATAGCCCTTGCCACTGATACCTTGATAGAGCGAAGGACTCGACTTGATGGGAACGAAAGCCTACCTACGTCATAGGGGACACTACAATTTTTACTGTCAACTTGAAGGGGCCGTAATACTCTACACTCACACGTTAAGAGCAGCCAGCTTATGTTCAGGGTGTGTGTGAAGCGAAGACAACCACAGAGGTGGAATTAAACTCGGCTGCTCTTTGAAAGCTGCAGCTTTTGTACAGGATCAGGGATACCTACGTATCGTTGCTTGCAGCGGGGGTTACCGTATATTATTTGGCGCTGCGAATGACAAACATTGGCGAGTTCTAGAAGGGTTTTGGGCGGCTGTGTATACACATTTTTGTAACAATATCATACAAGCATTGTACGATGTCTCGAATGGCGACGCAAGACTTTTGACAAGTGATACTCTGGGGTCTAAGTTCATCCAATACACGTTCCCTTTGCAATAGCATCACTCAGGATGACTGAAATAGACGTTGAAGCGGTCATCATTCGTAACTACCTCGTAGTACAATCCGATATCATACACTATGATCCCCCCTCTTCGGTGAGATATTCATAAATCATTCCCAGGGTATCTTTCAAAACAAGGTTAATTCCAGCCCCTGTAGCCATAACATTCTGGTAAAAAAGCACATTCAAATCATCAAAGCCCTCCTCCTCGTCATGCTATGTCTCATCAAGAAAGATTCCACAGCTCAAGAAAGCTCAGACAACCCTGTGGCCGGTCGAGTCGACATTGGCAACCTTCCTACTGTCGACAGTAGGATCGAGCTTATTCAAGATATCATGGCGATGCGGTCCGGCCGTCGTGGGTGCAGGCCCGCCGACGCCAGGAGGGTAGATGGGCTTGACATTCGGCGCCGACCCGGCCGCTGCTCCTCCCACGCTTCCCGCTCCGACGCCGCCCATCCGGTGACGGTCTGCGTCCGAGTCGACGCGCGGGTCGGCGGCGTTGGCCATGCGGGAGCTGTGAGGGCCGTATGTGCCCTCGGGGACATGGCGCGGAGTGGCGCCCGCTCCGGGGACGACGTTGGTGCCCTTTGTGTAGTAGTTTGTGCTGCTGGGCTGGGTAGAGTCGACGCGGGGGTCAAGGGCGTTGGCCAGGCGGGAGTTGTGTGGAGGAGCAGTAGTGCTGCTGCTGGTGTTGTTGTAGGGATTGTTGCTGCCCAGGCCGGTTGTCGTCATTCCTCCGGCGGCAGCGGGCTGGCCAGGCATGCCGGAGATGCCCGTGGCGGCGTTGTTGTTTGTGTGGGCGTTGGAGGCGAGGACCTGCATGCCGCCGGTGCCGCTGTCGACGGTGGGATCGAGCTTGTTCATGATGTCGTGGCGGTGAGGGCCGGCGGTGAAGGGGGCTGGGCCGGGGAGGTTTGCGTTTGCGTTGGGGTTGTTCATGTTCATGTTGGTGTTTGCTGGTGGCGCTGCTCCGGCGTGGGTTGCGCCGGTGGAGGAGAGGTTTTGCTGCTCTGCTGCGAGGGCGGCCTTTTTGTTGGAGAGAGGCATTGTTGTTGTTGATGTTGTTGTTGTTGGTGGTGTTATTGGTGTTGTATTTGGATGAATTGAGCTGTCTTTTGTGTTGTTTTGTGCTTTTAGTGATGTTTGATCTTGTGTGAGTTTATGAATTAGTGAGTTCAAGGTTGAGCATCCTATGCTCTATATATATCCCTTTGATATAATCTCGTGGCGAGGATTTGAACATGTCCATATGCATATGATGTCGCTATGACGGCAAAAAAGGTTCGCCAAGAGAAACCCTCCATTGTGATCTCTGCTTTCCTCTTCCAGAAGCCGTTTCTGCCGAACCAATACATACGAGTATGTAATATCAAGAACCGCTCCGATTTGAAAGTTTGGGATGGCTTGGTGGAGGGGGAGGGGGGAGATGCCATTTCCTGTTCGCTTGTGGCGAAAAGGGCGTCGATCATGACGCGCCTCTTGCAACGGGTTTGTGGGGGAAGAAGCTTGGGGGGTGTGTAGAGGCGAACGCCAGGGACTCCAGGTCGACTTTATCGCTGGTGGTACGCCATGTCGATCATTTACGGGAATTGTTGTTTCTCTGAATCCAGGGACCCGTACCTATAAAAGTGAGCTGTTACAGTGTGGGAGGGGGATGTCCAGGGAGCTTCTTTGGTTTAGGCGTGGTGTAAGTGACGGTGTAAGTGACGATACAGTGTCTAAGTCGACGTCACCATGACAGGGGGTCCGACTTGAACTCGAGGGAACTTCAACAGTTGGATACACGTATGTACAAAGGCAGACAAGCAGACCACCGGTCACGACTTGGTTCAACTTGTAACCCTTACGAAAGAAAAGTCGATTGGTGCCAAGCTTGACTTCTGCATCTGCTTTGGGCGACATGTTCCATGAGGTGCTGATGCTTCGGAAGACGTGTGCATTCAGCTGTCTTACACGCTCACGATTTCTGGCTCTTGTAATAGGCTTGTAATACTTGGATTGTGATTTGTAAATTAATGACTGAGCAAATTATATTCTTGTAGACTATTTATCGGCGGGTAACCTCCTAGTCATGTCTCGAGCATGGCTGTTCGGCTCAAGCATTATCATCGTCATCGGACATAGGATCTCATGAATCGTCCAAGATATAGAGAAAGGGAAAGACAACACAGTCTGCCCCCATCTACCTCTTCTCCGCCAGCTCGACACCAGCCTTCTCCTCGTCCATCGGCTCATCGACAATCTTGCTGTCCGAGTCGCTCTGCGCGACACCGGCGACGACGCCGTCAAAGTTGCGGCCGCGTCGCTCCGGTCCAAACATGACGGTGACAAAGATGCCCGTCGCGATAATGGCCGTGGCAATGCCCATGGTCGGGCCGTACGCCTCGGCCTTCTTGCCGCCCTTGACCGTGACAAACATCTTCTCGGAGATGGCGTTGACGATCTGGGCCGAGGGCGACGAGATCATGTTGCCGACCTGGTACGTGACGCCGGGGAAGGACGAGCGGAAGGCCGGGGGCGACAGCTCGTTGAGATGGATGGGGATGACGCCCCAGGCGCCCTGGACAAAGAACTGCATGAAGAAGCCCGTGGCGCTCAGCGCGCGCTCGCCCTCGGGCAGGATCCAGGCGGGGATCAAGAGGGCCGACATGAGGGCGGCGACCATCATGGTGCGGCGGCGGCCGACGAACTGGCTGATGTAGCCGATGATGGTGCCTCCGACGACGGCGCCGGCCTTCATCAGGATCGAGGCGCGCGAGGCGCCGGCGTTGTCGAGCATCTTCTGCTCCAGCATAAAGGTGGTGTACGAGTCTTGCGACGTGTGCGAGTAGTAGTTGAACCAGGTCATGAGGATGACGCAGTAGACGCACATCTTCCACTCCTTGGCCAGCATGGTGCGCGTCTCGCGCCAGAAGGAGCCGGGCGAAGAGGCCTTCTTGCCGGCCTTTTTGGCCTCGAGGAACTGCTGGGACTCGGGGAAGAGGATGCGGAGGAGGCCGACGCCGATAGACAGTCCGGCTGCGGGAGAGAAAGTGTCAAGGTCAAGCATTCTTCCTTGTGATGGACCAAACAGTTGTCACGTACCTCCGATCCAAAAGACCGTCTTCCAGGAGTCGGTTGCGCCCCCAACGCCAAGGTTGGCGCACGCAGCCAAGACGTAGCCCATGGAGTAGCCCTGCTGCAGGATGCCGGACATTAAGCCACGCGCGTTGGATCTGGGCGAGCCAAGAGATGTTAGCGGCTTGAGGCTGAGATGGCATAGATCTGGGGTTGGACGCAAAGGGCGTATTGGAGAGGTAAAGGATGAGTGAAAAAGGGGTGGGGGAAACAAGTCAAAGACACTCACGGGCACTGCTCCAGAGCCATGGCAATCGCATTGCCGTACACGCCGCCCATGAAGAGGCCAAACATGCTGCGCACCGCCAGGAACGTGGTGAACTTTGTGCTGTAGATGGTGGCAATCTGCAGGGCGCCCAGCACGAGCATGTTGAAGACCATGGGCCACTTGCGCCCCCATTTGTCGCCGGCGAGGCCAAAGACGGCGGCGCCGACGGAGCGCAGCAGCAGCGTCAGGGTAATGGCCGTGGTGATGTCCGTCTTGGAGCGGCCGTAGTACTTGGACAGCTTGACCGTCTGGATGGACAGCGCGTGGAAGTCGAAGGCGTCGGCCGTCCAGGCCAGCCAGCCGACGATGAAGAAGAGCCAGTCGCGGGCCGACAGCTGGGCGAAGAGGCTGATGGGGTTCTGGAAGCGGTCGGGCTCGTGCCACTCGCAGCGGGTTTCGCCGTAGCCGTTGGTGATGACGACGCGCTGCTTCCAGACGAAGAGGTCGCGCCACGACTGCCGGGCCGTGGCGACGACGCCCTTGGCGAGGTCGTCGGCGGGCTCCGTGTGCCGCGGGCGGTTGTCTTGCGCCATCTTTGGGACTGACTTCCTCGTCCTCTCTCTATCTAGGTATCTATCTCTCTCTCACTCTTCTGTCTGTCTCTCAGGTAACTCTATAATCGATAATGATATAGATGAAAGGATGGCAGAGAGAGAAACCAAGAGAAGAGAAGAAAGGGGGGGAGGGGGGGTTGAGAAGACAGAGTTGTAGGGGAATAGGAGAGAGAGAGAGAGAGAGGAATGATGGCTTGAGCCAAAGTCTGTTGCACGCGAGACCGTGTGTCTTATACCTACTTGGTCTGAGGCTTCGTCTGGGGGGCTTGGATTGGACCGACAGCCAGGACCAACAGCGAGGCTTGGACCACGAGGAGGAAGGGCTCGGCCGTGATCAGTGCGACAACAACCTTATTTATAAGACTAGATGAGTGTTACATCCAATGGCTTGAGGGGGGGGGGGGGGGGAGGGGCCAGGAGAACGCCAAAAGGCTGAAAGAAGAAGAAGATGGTGACAACAGAGAATACCTACATGCAATGCATGTCTTACGACATTTTCCGACGCACGACATGGGGTGTGTGAGTGAACAATACCTACCTTACCTTACAGATCCAACTATATCTCGATGTACCTACACAAGCAGCAACGGATCGTCCCTTCTTCCCCCTCCTCGTCGAGGCTGTCATTGTAAGAGTACCTCTGTTGACCTGGTAGTACTAGTATCTTATATGCATCTCCGAATCTGGAATCTAATCGGCGGCGGCATGGCTCTTCTTTGCCTAGTCTGAGAGAGAGAATAGAGTCTCCGGTCCTGGACAAGCCGGGGGGAATTTGAGGCTTGGAGACGGACAAGGCTGGAATGGCCTTGTTGGAGACAGAACCCCCTCTTTTGTTCGATCTGTGGCTTTTCTCGTCCGAGACCTGCTCGTGCTTGTACTCATACTCTACTTGCAAGTACATCGCGGTTCAATCACACATCTCTTGCCACACAAGAGAGATAATACGAGGTGGTTTCTCCCCGAGTAAAGAGAAAAAGAAAAAGTGGCCCGACTCTGTTGGCTGAATGGGCGTTCCGACTTACGGAGGCAACAATGGCCCTCGACGTCTATGACGAATAAGCCCAGTTCGGGCCCGAGCATCTGCTAGCGGCGTCACGGACATCTTCCGCCCGGAGGCAAAAAGACCCTGGGGAAAAAGAATGGGCTCCAGTATGTTTTGCTGTGCCGTTCTGTGTGGAACTGACTACTATGTACTATGTAGTAGGAAGGATCGTGATGAGCAGATGCGGGGGAAGCCGTGGAGTTTGAATGGGGTCATCCGGGGGAGACACGAGAGGGATTCGCTAGAGGAGGAGGGGGAGGAGGAGGGAATCCTTTGGAGATGGTGCCATGGCAGATACCCCGGCCCTTGAACTCTGGAGGCAAGGCTGTCATCATGCGATGGGGGGGACACCAGGTTGGGGCTACGGAGGAGCGGAGAGGAACGAAGACGATTGGTGGCATGGGGCTTTGGGAACGACAGGTAAGGAGGGGGGAGCAGGCTTCTGTCATGGCTGTGAAGCAGAGGCGACAGAACTATCACGCCGTTTCAAGGATGTACAAGAGTAAGTTCTGGGGGAAGCACGACGGGCTGAATGATCTGCAGACGCCTGTGGGAAAATGTCGCGGATAGGCGAGACGGTTCGCGTGGCTGTCTGTCTTGACATGTACTAGACACATACTGTATTACTACTAGTACTCGCTGTACGAGTGCGAAGAGGAAGATGAGCGATGAAGAGTACCAAGTTGCACGGATGGCCATGTGAGTATCCCAGGGCTGGATGTTGGTAATCGACTGCAAATGACACTCCTAAGCCTGAGGTAGGTATATAAGGAAGCAAGCAGCAGGCATTCGAAGATCATGGCCAGAAGGATGATTCTCCTCCTCTTGTTCCCGGACTCCCCCGCTCGTCATCCCCCTCCCATCCATCCACTCACCGAGCCGCGGGTTAAGCGTTTTAAGATTGTCGGTTTACCTTGTTATTAAGCTTATACACATACAACTACTACATGCACATGGTCAGCGCGAAAACGGCTAATATGCCGGGAGCAGATAATACAGGACGTGTCCTGGTAGTACTAAATGCAACCCCTGGACGCCCGTCCGGTGCTGTGAACCAGCAGACAAAGCGCAATTGGCTTGACAGAAACCGCCCCAATGCTGATCCCAACACAAGGGAGATCCCTGCTAGCGCTGGAGCTGCTCCTCTGGGGGGAGGGATCCAGTTGGGTCTAGAGCCCGAGAGCATGAGAAGGGCATGGCTGGATTGTCGTTTACTGTCCTGGGGAGGGCCAAGAGGTGCCGGTGGTTGTTTTGGAGGCTTGGCTCGGCTGTTGGAAGCGGGATGAATAGACTTGAATCGAGAGGCTGGATTCAGTTGGTCTGTCTGTCTGTCAGTCTGTCTGTCTGTCTGTCTGTCTTGTCCGTTTCTTGTTGTTCTCTCAACTACTGCGTATTGTGCATACTCTTCTAGATTTCCTCTGGCTTTGTCTACCTACTCCGTCCAGTCCAGCTTTCCAGGAGGCAAATCAGACGCTCAGTGTTTGTCTTACCACTTCGTACAACAGCAATATGAACTGCCCGCCTCAGACTACTACTGCTATTGCTGCTCAGCTACAGGAGGAGATGCCCCGGGCGCTGCATCGCTGTTCGGCCTGGCCACCGTCTCTGCCCACCACCACTCTACTGGTACTTGTGCTCGTGTTACTACACGAGACGAAGTTGGTACAGTAGTGGCATGAATGCAAGACGACGATCGGTATTGTGGTTTTCATTGCACTTTATAGGCTCATGCTGGGGTTCTCACACGGCCTTTGATCCTCTTGAGCTGCCCGGCTTCAAGAAACGAGTCCACGTTCACGGCACTAATACACAATCCTCTACAAGCAAGTCAGATTCACACCCCGTGTAATGTGGAAAATGCTAGAGGCCAGCTTGTTTCTCTTTCCCTCCGAGTCCCTCTTTTCTCCAGCCCATGCAAGGGTCACTCACTGACAAACCCTGCCCTCTTGTCTTGTCTTTTCGCGTCTTGGCAGACCAAGACAAACAAATTTCATCTCATCCATCCCTTTGCATCTCCTCCAATCAGAGACCAGACAACACCGCTGTTATGGGCGTATTCAAGCGGAGACTCTTCCCCAGCCAACAACGCGCCTTTCCTGCGAGATCCGCTTCTCGCCCTCGACTAACATGAGAGAGAACTCAACACCCCGGGAAAAAAAAAACACAAGAGGGAAAATAGACCGGGTTCTCCGACTGCCGCTGCACTTGTTTCTGACACAACCTTGATTACAAGCTTAAAATCTTGTGGCGTCGCGCCGTCTGATTCTTTGGCCGTTTCTGTTTCTGTCTCTCTGTGCCACCAACGGAGATTTGTAGCCTATGTATGTTTTCCCTAGCAAGTAGGTAGTCTTGCTTCTATTGCTCTTCTATTTCAGCATGCTGCCATTCAGCATCATATCAAGCGGACAGGATCCTGCGTGCCATTGTCCTCGACATTCACACCCAAGACGCCTCGCTCGTATCTGTACATGCCCAACAGCTTATCAGACAAACGCCCCCCCCTGACGACAAAAGTGAGGCAAACAGTTGGCCATTCCGATTTGCTCCAGCTTTCCCCTTCTTACCGACTGGCGTCTGCAACGATCCCGAACCCCCGACGGACAAATTGAATTTTTAACACGGCTTTCGGTCGCTTATGCTCGCTCTTCTTCCCCACGAGAGACTAACCCTCCCTCTCTCTACCCCAAGATGCGGGGATTCTAGACTCGGATCACATCTTCATCTTCTCCCGGGTCTTCCCTGTTCTCGATTCTCCAATTCCTGGGACATCCGGAGTCTGCTCTGCCAATCTGTCCACTAGCGGAAGGACGTCTACCCGTGATGTTCCGAGTCTTTTTCTGCAGACAAACTCTCCTTCTGAACGAGCCCTTGTCAAATAGCCTGCCTCCGTCGTGGTGTGTTGGATATGGCCCTCTTCGAATGCTGTGCTGCCAAGAAATGTCCCCCCACAAGGTCACCTGTGAACATACAAACCTGTACATCGCGGTTGTTACTCCAAAGCTGGAGAAACTATGGGGTACACATGAGGGGGACTGGGGAAGCGGGATTTGTCTGGACCTATCTGCACAGACAGAAAAATGCCCTTGGTTGCTGTTGGGTGGTCTTTGTGTTTCCCCTGAGGTTGGATGGTTGGGTGTGGAGATGGGAAAGCCGGTCTCCTCTCTGACCTTTTGGTCAAGTCCCAAATCTCTGGAGAAAAGGGGGAAACAAAGGTCAGTGCTTCGTTCACGGGATGGAAAGATTTTTGCTTTTCGACTGCTACTTGGACTGCTGTGTGTGTGTGTGTGTGTGAAGTGGCTATTGTGGTCATTGTAATGACATGCCAAGCCAGGCATGAGGGATCAGTGATGATGCTTTTACTCCGATTGGATGCGATATTCCGAGGGGTAAAGATTCGATCTTGTAGTATAAATGTAGAGATCAGACCGGGTTCGCTCGTGGCTTTGCACGATGGACAAGTCGCATGAGACGAGCATCACCATGCCTCGCATTGTTTCAGCCATGACACGTGTTGGAGTATCATCCTCACTGAAACTTTTGTGTACTCTGCGTTGCCATCACGAGTCATGCTGTTGTGCATCTAGGGTAACACTCTGTGATGATGAGTTCCGTCATGTGGTTACAATCACCGCGGAGCTGAACAAGTTCCACATACCTAGGTAGGTTACCTCGATCTTTCTATCTGGGTGAGGGCAGGATGGTGGAGTAGTATGCAGATAGTTGAAATCCATGATCTCTTGTTCTAGAACTTCCTTCGGTTGAAGTCCTTGAATCCTGTGTCACAGGGAATACTTTGCAAAACGCAGAGTGTCATGCCCATAGGATTCGGTGTTGTGTTTGACAAGGAAGACGGAGGACACGAAACTATCAAGCCCTCGACTTCAGAAGAAGAAGGCGCTTACACAGAGGTGCTCAACTCTAGTTCATTCTCTTGATGGTGTAGAAGGTCGCATCCATCAACACCGACAAAGAACGAGATGAAGGGGTTGAGAGGGAAGACACATATATCACGACCTACACGGATGGAAGTATCCCTACAAGTTATTGAACCCTTTTGGTCCAGAAGTTATTATAATGCTATTGACATTGTTAAAGCCTCATATTGGTGGCATTCTGCACATTGCCGTCTACGGTAGCTGTTGCTAGTGATAGAAAGTTATAGCATAAGACGGACTACACACTCGTCGACGCCGTTTCGTGCCATAACCGCGAGACGCCAATGAAAACATGGCCTGCGATCTTTTTCATTCTCTTTAGATGCATATTATGTCTTCCGCACGTAGAAGAAGTGTAGCTATGAGCTGCAGGTGATGCGTTTCACTGTGAAGCTTGCATTGCGTGTTGTTCAGGGTAGTTAGAAGGTACAGAGAGCGGAACACAACGACAAAAGAGGCCGGACCAATGGCTCAAGTAAAGATGGCATTCAATAGTTATACCTGGCTTCTCTGTCCTTTCCATTGTTCCATGCAGTGCTCTCCAACTTTCCAATTGGCCATTCGGCCTGCTTGATTTAAGGGGTGGACGTGACGACTCCGTGAGTGGTTGTCTAAAGCAGATCGACTCATTACACACCCTGTAATTCAACTCTCATGCTCTTTAACTATTCGCTCATCTTCCATGAAGGACCGAAGAATTCATCATAGCTCATGTTTGCGTTGGGCATATAAGCTTGAGCGACAGCACACCTCGAGCTTTGACAATGACGAGCCACTGACTCATAGTTTTGAGATGAAGTTTCCTGTTGCCTAGCGATTCTATGTGACTTCTCGGGCCCAGTCATTGTTACAAGCAAGGTAGCAACCTGATGTCCAGAATGCGTGCATTCTGCAGGCGCTCACTGTTGTAATCACAAAACAGATTCGTAGAGTTGGTTGGACGTGCATATATTAAGTAGACATGCTCTACCAGCCTATTTTATGTATCCGCCAGAACCCAAAACCTCCCCTTGCCTCCGTATGAAGCGTTCTCATCCCAAGTTGTGCCGTGAGGCTACGGGTAGTACCGATGTTGCTGGAGACAGAATGTCTGCCTTGACCATCATCAAACTGGGAATTTACTCGGGGAGAGCATCCTGGCACAGAACACCGAGATCGGCCTACAATACTATTAGCATACGCCATGACAAGACATCTTGAATGATGGAGCAACTTACAATTCCGAGGGTGCAGCACTTGGCCTGGAGACCGACGCGGCCGCAGACGGCGCTCAGGGGGTTGAGGACGGAGGTGGCCTGGGTAGCTGCAATGAAACTGTCAGTACATTGAAAGAAAATGATCGCTCAAAAGCACGCTTCGCTCGCTCGGGACTTACGAGTCTCGCAGTCCAGGTACAGGAGGTCCAGGATGCCGGAACCACAGCACATGGGGATGTTGTTGGTGACGCCAGCAGTGCAAGGGCCGTCAAGGATAGCAATGTCGGCAGCGGCCTCCTGGGCGGGCGCGGCAACGGCCAGAGTGGCGAAAAGGGCGACGATGGCGGAGTACTGCATCTTGAAGGTGTTTTGATTTGTTTTTTCTTTGGGAAAGAGGATTGTGAATGCGGATGGTGAGAGGAAGTGTTGAATGAGAGCGGACAGACGGCTCCTATTTATGCCTTCGGATGGTCGGGCTTCCCTTGTCCTTGGGATGTGTTTATCCCACGAGACGTCTTGCCTGAGTGGTTTGTTTTCCCTTTGGCTCTCTCCCTTTGGTATGGTAGAGTGTCGATGTCGCTGTCATGGACTTGAGAAAAAGTCTCGGGCAGTTTCTTGTTCGCCCTGCTTCTGCTGCTTTTTACTGGTTGGACATTTTGAATGTGAGACTCCCTCCCTTGCTTCGGCGTCCAGTGTTCACTCTCCTTGGCCAGCGCATTTCCGCGACAACGATCAACTCGACAGGACGCGTAGATTTAGCACATGAAGAGTTTTGGTCTCTCTTGCAAGTAGTAGTGATTAGACAGCGGAGCGGCCCGGCTTCCTTTTTCCAAACCATCCCCCCTTTCTTCTTGATGCCTTGACTAGTCTGGGAGGCAAATAAGATTCACCATTGACTGAAGTGCGATCATCAATATTTTCCACTCAGAGAAATCAGAGTCAAGGGAGAGTCGCCTTGCGACATTGAGAGAGAAATTGGACATGTTGGAGGAGTATCCATGAAGAGCGTCTTCAAGACATTGGACTCGGCCGCTCGCCAGCTGTCCTCCCTTGAGTCGGGACGAAATTGTCGAGGTACATACATACATAGCATGACGGGCTCGATTAGAGAGAGAGAAGCTGTGCCAACGTGTTCTTCAATCCGCAGGCAGGGCAATATCATGACATAATGTCTTAGCTGTAGAAAACGGGATGATGATCGGGATCATGATCGGGAGAGGGGGGCTGCCGTCGGATCGTGAGAGTCAGCTCAAGTTCAGCGCGGCCTGGTACTATGTCCAGGCAACGGGGACATACAATGAGAATACCCTACATGCCATCTTCCTTTGCCATGGGATACAGCATGCTCCAGAGAACCGGTTAGCCAGAGGAATGGACCTTATTGAACACACATATCTACACCCCCCCGGCCAAGTCTGAGCCCAGCGATGGAATCAACACAAGAGTATTAACGAGCGATGCACAGAGTCGAGGAATGGTAAGAATCTTGGTAACATCGGGCACGTCTCACAACTCTCGCCATGAGACCATTGTCGACATCGGAAGCCCGAAAAGAGGCCATGAGACTACTTGTCTTGGAATGATTCCGTATATCTGGATCCCGGCATACTAGCTTCCAATATCAAAGAGTCATTATTATGCACAAGGGAGCAAGTTTGCATCGGGAATCGGGCAGCGGCAGAGCAGCTGACGCTGTATTGCAAGTCCTTGCTACTGTCAATTGACAGAACACACCATATACTCATCATATCTTGAAGTAATCGTACCGTCATCCGACGAGCAGTCGCAATTGATTTGCCATGCGTCACTTGTGTCTTCAGATATCTAGTAATTAACAGTCGGGCGAAGCCGTCAATGATTGTCCAAGAGCAGATCGTGTTCCATTCATAACCAAAGCTTCATAAGACACATCGAGTTCAGCACAGACATTGTTCTTCATAAAAGCCCCAGCAGAAGCTATTCTCATCACCGCCTGGAAAGCAGTCTCACACATGCATCCGGTGAGAGCTGCGTGTTTCTGCCCTCTCAAGGGAGAGACAAGTCACGTTATGCTAGAGCAACAGCCAGAGAGACCAGCTTGGCGGTCAGACTCGGCTTACAGCTCCGCCAAGACCTGCGGTTGATGGTCAACACGGCCTGCCGTCATAGAAGATGCATCACGGGTCTCTGCAAACCATCACTTATCTCGTGACTTTTTTTTCACTTCCGCCAAATTCCTTCGGAAGCTGAGAAAATGAAGAAGCTCAGCTTGCCTGGCGTGGCGGCCATGATGCACTGCCGATCGTTGCAAGCGAGACTGGTGCCTGGAGTAGCTGAGATTCTGGTCATGTACGTTTTTTTTGTTCTCATTGAACCACATACCACTTGGCAGCTCGGTCCATTTCTCGGAGGCTCCCCGAAGAAGGACGGTGAGAAGTCGTTCTGGATCACAGGAACACATAGAGCATGGTAATACTGTCATCTGGCCAAATGCACGCTGCTATAGTGAAAGGGCACCATGACTGCGTCGTGAGCGCCTTCGTGAGGGATGTAGTCGTCCGGTGATGGAGGATGCAAGTGTGTACGCATGAAGTACGGAGCACGTTGTTTACCGCTTTGAGGGGTTCGGCACCCTGGTCAGCCTGTCATCGTCCAGAGCGCACCATGTCAAATCAGCTCACATCACGCCTGTCATCGTTAGCCCCCCAGGAGATGGAGCGTATTTCCCTCTTGAATCATCACGGAGGATCTGTTCCCTGCGTCAATGTCTCAAAACGTCCTTCGTTTTCGTTTATCTGTAATCCTTTGAAGATAGATGGACAGCCCTTCGGTCAAGTCATCGCCGAATGGGTGCCTCTTCCTTCGACAGCAAGGGGCACGTCAATCGCAATTGAATCCTTCTGGTTTTCGCCGAAGAGTGGTCTGCTCCAGGATCGCCGAGTAAAGTCAGCGTAGCGCCCGTGTCAACTTCATCCGAGTCCAAGTGTGCGGCAGTCAGGGTGTTCGGAGGATCATTCCGAGCCGTCGTGGATCCGGAATCGCAACTAGCAGCAGCGTAAGCAGAGTAGCTTGAGAACCCGTGCGGCACGAACTATCAAAGAGGGTGTAGTTTGATAATGCAAGTTGACGACATGCTCATTCTAGACGGCGAGCGTGTGTAGACAAGGGCATCGCGAATGGGCAGATGGCCACTAGTCGTCTGTATCTGTATGGTGCATCCCTGCGCGCAAGGCTCTTGTAACTCTTCCTTCATGACATTATCGTCTGATGGCTCTGCGGCTGGGTCATAGGGTAGGGTGGCCAGCCCCAGTGAGGCTGCAGATTGCACACTCAGATCGAAGGAAGCGAAAACGAGCTGCATTCCTGCAAGAGCTTCCGCCTCAAAATTACAGGCAAAATAAAGAATTTCCATCTCTGGATATTAGATGCGAAGGCGGGATCGGAGTTGATGCAACTAGGGTCCTATCGTGAGCCTCATCGTTGTTCTGGAAGGGCTTCTGATTGGGATTAACAATGATCCAGGGCTCTTGTGGTGTGTAAGACGGGAGATGCACGATATCGCGAAGTCGCTCGCATCTTCGCGTGCTGCAATGCATCGGAGGACCCTGACCAGCAATATCAAAACGGCGTAGATGCTTTGGAGAGTCGTATTGAACACTGTCGAGAGCTGGGGTTGAGCTCCTGCTGCCCAGACTGGACGATTCCTGATGGTGATTCGTGGCCATGGTGCATTTGTCAAGGCAAGATACCGTCATGCCCCAATGACTCTTTGACCCGGATGAACAGCCCGGCAAGCTCTGTCGAGACTCGGCGACAAGGCAGCAGGACTCCGGTCATCCTATCTGTCTGTGGAGGCATTTTTCACTCACGTAGAATGAGCCCGCTGTAACCCTCTCGGCTGGCAAAGTTGCTCCGGAAAGCCAACCATGATCGAATCCAGCGTTTGTGTTTCATTCTGCTGCATCAGGGTGCGCCCACCTAAGCGCGCCGCTAGATAGAGCTCATCACATACTCCGTCCACGAGCATGGTACAGTAGTCGGCCGTCGTATGCTTTCATGCGGTCTGGGGTGCTGGACTGGAATGGTAAATGTTGATCAATGACCCCGCAGGTCGAGAAGCGGACACTGTCCTCATTTCTTGATCAGTCCACAGGCGTTCGTTGGGGAACCGGGGATCGATAGCATGGGGGCGCAAGGGACCCCAATCAAAAGCACGTGTACATAGCCTTTCTGTCCCATATCACAAGATGACATGCCACATGTTACAACTGTCGTAAACTACAGGTAAGCTGCAAGTCGAGGAGGAGGGGGGTTGTTTATGCCGTCGGACCCCATTAAGCGCCCAAATTGTCGAGGCATTGCTGTCGCTGTTGCTCATGATGCTGTCGGTGAAGTAGTAGATGACAGGTGTCTATGGTAGTATTGCATCGTTGGTCCTGCGATATCACCCATGTCGTTGCTGCCGTCAGACTGCGGGAATAGTTACTCATGATGACGCCGCTGAGTACCTTTCCTTTGGGCTTGAGCCTCTTTGGCTTCGAGTCGACTGCCGCGAGTTGCATGCTTATCTTCCTTGGGGATGTTGTCGGATGTCGAATTGCGCGTTGGCAGCGCTAGAGCAGGCCTCTGCTGCAACTGGTTCGAAACGTATCGACTTGCCTCTGAACTCCGATGGGGTTCAAGGCACGCATTCTTTCGAGAGCAGCGGCCAGACTGACACAGTAGCACTCTAGGCTTTGTGTAACATGATGTGCCATCGGGTGTCTGGACCCAGCGATCTGGCCATTTGAGTTGCGCTACTGCCATGTAATGGTATCAGCAGAAGCAGAGGCACTCTGTATCATTGTTCATGCAAAGCAACACATACCGGTACGAAGCACTTGGGAGCCCAGAGCGGGAGTCCCAAAGATGAACAGTGAACAGTGTAGACTCGTTTCGCTTGTACTTGCATCTCGTATTTTGTGAGAAGTAGACAGAGCTGCAGAGCGACAGGCCAGGCTTGCACTGCTTGCCAGAAGCGCTCCGCGTGTATCAAGAATCTTCCGTAGCGCCTTTCTCAGTACTAGCTGTTTGTACTGACGTGAGATGCTGTGGAGCACGAGTTGCCTGGAAACCCTGAGGGCAAGTGGTGATGCGACTGGCCAAGAACATGCACATAAGGTAGTATGGAGTAGCAGGACCAGGCAGTGTCGCAACATGTGCCGGACCCTTGCGAGAGACCGCGCACTGGCATCGGTGATCCTCAGAGCCCTGACTCGCGCCATCAATCACAGCTCTGATGGAGTGAGTAGTGGTGCGATGTGTAAGTGAGGGCAAGTATTGTTTGCTCTCTTTTGTTGGTCTCGACAAGTCGATCGCCTGTACGAGAGAGCTCATCCATGTTTCAGTCGACCACCATGGGATGGTCCGAACCGGGTAACATATTGCCAAGTTGCGGCCGAGCAGCCCAGCCTCGTCGTTATAGCCGACTGCCAGGCATTGTGCAGCCGATGGTCCAAGCGACCTGCCGTGCTTCGTCGTACCCCGTCTTGCCCATGCCGTGATGCCACGGTCTTGGAGCGAGGTGGCCTTTGCCGTGAACCCTTCTGATACCAGCTGGCCGGGCCAGTGCTACCTAGGTACAACACAGAGCTGTAGCCTCTCGGTGAAGAACCGGCCGACGAGGCAGTGCGGAGTACGTCTGAGAAGCGTATGTCAGTCCTGTATGTAGGTACTCCGTACTCCGTAGAAGCATGCCGGTTCGCCCAAGACACATGCCTGGGTCTGGGTGCACGTACCATTGCATGTGTGGGTGACATGTCGACTGCTGTAGCTCGGTGACTGTGACCTAGAGCTAGAGACTGTAGAGTTCTGGAGACTGGAGACTGGAGAATGAAGAATGGAGACTGGAGACTGCAGACTGCAGACTATGGAGACTGTAGACTAGGTAGAGACTTGAAGACTGGAGACTGTGGATATGGGTGGATGGTGTTGAAGCAGTAAGACGATCCAGGTCCGATGCATCACCAGGGCGGTGTCTGATTTGCCGGCTCTCTCCGCCCGCAGCGCCAGGTACATGCAGCCCACGCAGTCCCTGCGCCGCGGCACAAGTACCGTCTGCAGCGTCCTCAGGCCACATCCCGACAGTAAGGTACCTCTAGCCGCAGTGCGGACCAGGCGCTAGCCGATGTACCTGTCGAGCACGGGTCTTTTTCTGCCGTGATGCTCCTCCAAGCTTCATCCCAGCTTGGCCTCCTCAAAGCCGTCGGTCGTAATCCTTCATGCACATCATCACCCCTCGTCCGACATCGTTGAATATTGCTGCTTGGATGCTTGTCTACATGACATACTCGTATCCCCTGCCAGCAATTGCCAAGCGCACGGCCTGCTCCATGCTGGTCCATGCCAGAGCAACATCCCCAACAGCTGCGCGCTGCCCAATGCGGCAGCGGGAATAGGTGCAAACAATCTGATCCCTCCAACCTCCCAACCGGCCCCGTTTGATGGCTAACCGTGTCCGCCGCTAGCACTGTTTGCTTCGCCAGCCAGTGCGAGCTCCTCCTTCGGCGTTGTGGCGGCCAGTCGGCTTCTGGGGTTCGCGTCTGCTGTTGGTCCGGGGGTTCGCTTTTCTTCATTGAGGCTCCGTCAACGCATCCATTCGCTATCGTCATCGTATTGGGTGCCACACTTGCATCCTCGCACACACACCAGCACGGAGCTGTCGCCGACAGCTGTCCAGACTGGCCTGATAACGCGGCTTATCTTTCGACCCGGCTGCCTGCTGTCTTTGCTACTACCTAGGCAGGATTGATGCGTGGACAGCCACAGTCTCTGGCCACCCCCCCGTTTCAGATCACCCAGGCCTGGTTCATCACATTCGCTTCTGCAAATCTGTCGCGTGGCGTCCATGGATGGCCTCCGGCGTGCTGGCTTGCCGTCTCGCAGCTAAATTCTCACCGCTTGTCGATTGGATCCTTCCCCTGGCCTTGGACCTTTCCTGGTTCTGCCGCGGATACCGGTGCTGTGGGACTCCGCTCGGTTTCCCCCCCGTTATTAATTGCTTCTTCCATCTTTCCCGCCCAATCAGCCGCCGCTGTCTCAACCACATTGTCGGGTTCACCACCGTTGGCTGGTCCTCCCCCCCTCCGACTGGCACACGTCATTGACAAGCCGGCTCTAAATCTGCACCTTCGGTCGACTAGCCCGGGAAACTGGGTAGGGACACACACGCAGCGTTTCAGCAGAGGTACATTAGCCTTTTTGTTCATCGACAAGCACTAGGTACTACTGTACATACCTACGAAGTGGCCTGCTCTCGCTTCTCCGAGCTGCCACCACCCGTACTAGCAATGGGTATAGGCGAGAGAACGCCTAGAATCCCGCTGACCAGGGCACGCAATTCCTTTCTGCGACTGCGAGCCGACTTTAGCCTGTTGCCGCCCCTAATTCATGGCTCGGCCCGCAGCCTGGGTCGATTCCTGGCTCTGACAGCAGTGTATGTAGGAGAGCCAGTTAAGTGTCCGTCTAGGTGACTTGACCTTGCTCCCCTGTTCAGTCATGGGCGAAGCGAGTATCCTAGCCCGCTTGATGCCTGTGAAGCAGAACGGAGGGTACTACTATTCCGCATTGCTACTAACATGCCGAGCACGGTATTGGAAAATGCGGGCTATCAATGAGACACACAGGCAACGGGCTAATGAGAATCGAAAGGCAGTCTTGATTCGATTCGACTGGTCATATTATGACACCCTCGCGCTGCTCCTGCACTGCAGTAGAGCGAAGAGGGGGGTTCGCTAGTCATGCCTGTAGCAGTACACTTTTTGTCGAATCATCCTCCATCATCGCGCGGTGGTTGGATCGGGAAAGCGACAAATTGCGCCGGAGTCACCTGTTTGTTCCCTTCAACCGCTATTCTAGTTGAGTTACCCATTGCGTCCACTCCGGGTCCTCCCTCAGCCGCTCAGTCGTATCCGGCGCGGTCCAGAGCATGATCTCAATGCCATCGTGGATGGATGGCAGGACGATCACAAACCCGTCCATGAAGGCCGGGAAGGCCCATCGGAGGGCCTTGATGTCTCCAAGCTCGGAGCCCCAGCGAGCTGCCTTGAGCATGTCTCCCAGCCGGGCTGGTGCCGTGACCAGCACGTCGTAGTTGAGCGGTGGCAGCAGCTTGTTGGCCACGTCGCCGCATGTTTGCAGCGCGCCGGTCAAAGACCAGAGCTCATCCGCAGTCCACCAGTCGATGGAAGCCGTCACCTTCTTGGCAAGGGCATAGAGAGATTCCACGCCCGGAGCCTCCAGTTCTTCGGCTGTCGCATTGGCCTTGGCCAGCGCAATGGCATTTCCAGGGTATTCGGGGGCCAGCGGCGGCTCCACGCGCCTCCTCACATTGACCGAAGTGATAAGCGAGCTCTGGGAGACCTGCTTCTCCGTCAGTCGCCGGGCCCTGCTCACTTGCTTCCAGATAAGTGCAGACAGCGTCGCATTGGCTGTGACGGAAGCCTCCTCCTTGGTCCGGGGAACGGTTGCGTCCCGGAGAGCGTCGAGCTTCGCCTGGGACATGGCCCAATGGGACACGCGGATGAGTTTGGCTATTCCCTCATGGTCGCCAGCGACAGCCTTCTGCAGGACCTTGGCCTGCATGTCCTCGTATGATCGATCTGGGCCAACCTGGTATGTGGGGAACTCTGACAGCGGGCGCTCCATGCGTGGACCAAAGAGCTGAAAGGCGTCCAGCGATTCGTTGCCCATTCGCTGCTCGTCGGGGACGACCAGGCCCTCCGACACAGCGGCCACATGCTTGGCCCAGACAGCCACGAAGGTGCCCATGCCCTGGGCGTCCATGACCACATGATGGCCGCCAAACGTAAGGACAACGCCGCCATTGATCAATGTCGCCTGCAGCGTCATGACGGGGCTTCGTGCAGAGTGGCCCAGAGGGCTGGGGGCAAATTGAGACGCAGGAAGCGCGGAGAAGGGAAAGTTGCGGCGCGCCAGGTCCTCATAGTCGACGTCTGGCAGCTCCTTGACGTGGAACCAGACGCCCGAGTCCTTGTGATATTCCAGCTGGATGGTGTCGTCCTTGGGATCCAGCGGGATAATGTCTGCCGCCAGAATGTTGAGCTCGTCGATGGCCCGTGAGAGCCCCTTCTTCAGGTTGTCAAGAATTATGGGCCGGAGCGAAGGCTCATCGACCTTGAAGAAGACCATCATTGGGAGAATGACCCTGACCATGTATTGGTCAAGCGGTGTGACTGACGTCCGGCCAGGCACGAGCGGGATGCTTGGCCGCACCAGCGTCTTTTCTGAAAAGGCAGCAATCGAGCCCATTGTTGCAGGATACGCACAGGCTGTGTGCAGGAGATGTCGTCTTTGTGCGAGGGACGAGGCGATGGTGTATAAGCTGCTCTGGAGATGGGATCTGAATCGCCCGGGTCGGGGGTAATTTTATATTATCCGCGACCCTCTTGGGCTACGCACCGGCCGTTGGAGTCAAGCGCGTCTCCAGAATTCTCGCCGGCCACTTTTTGTTGCCCACCTTGCGATGCCGGTCCCCCTTGTTGTGCTGCTGCCAATGCATGGTGTTGTCACATGGAGTCGAGACTGGCCTAGTCCTTGTCGTTGCATTCAATGCCGATGCAATGTCAGTTGTCAACGGTCTTTTTGTTTGCCTTCCTTCTGCTTCATCCCCTGCCCCCCCGTCTCCGCCTCCATGCCATGCCATGCAATCAAAACCGGGGCTAAGGAGCTTAATCCATACGAGGGTTGGACTATTATTCCCGCCCGTTCCCCTGCTACTCACTACTTGTACGCTTCGGCAATCGCATATATCCCTAGCCTCGAACCTGACTTGACGGTCCTCCTTCTCTTCTCTCTATACCACAATCTCAAGCTCTACCGTCGAACGCCCTTGTTTTCCCCTTTCCTCTCTCTGTAAACCATGGCTTCGACGAACGGGATTGACGCTCGCTGGCTTGATGCCAACGGAGACGAGCCCATTGCCATTATTGGAACAGCCTGCCGGTTCTCAGGGACTGCTTCCAATGAAGATGGTCTATGGCAGCTGCTGTCGAGCGGCAGGACTAGCTGGGCTAGCAATGCCAGAAACCGATTCAAGATGGAGTCGTTCTGGCACCCCCAGGCTCATCTCGCCGGTTCGGTATGTGAATTTGTGATTTTCTGATAGGATAGAGAGGGTTTGAGAGCGGTAGGAGGAGGAGGAAGCCCTGTTTCTTCTACACGGTTGCCTCTACTGTTGTTGATGCATCGATGGCTGACATTGGCCCATTCTTCAGACCAACGCTCGAGGCGTTCATCTCCTTCAGCAGGACCCTGCTGTTTTTGATAGTGACTTTTTTGGCATCAGCGGTGTTGAAGCCAAAGCCGTGGACCCTCAGCAGAGACTCATGCTCGAGGTGGCTTACGAGACCTTTGAGAATGCCGGCATTCCCATTGAACAGCTGGAAGGCTCCAACACTGGCGTTTTCTGTGCCGTTTCTTACACTGATTACGACCAAATTCTTGGTCGCGATCAAGAAACCTCACCAATGTAGGTATTCCCTTGCCCCAGTCTCCCAGTTATAGAAGCGATGGAAGTACAACGACATATATCCGGACAGCAACGGATTTACCTATGCTAACCACCGTGCTACAGGTACCGTTTCACGGGAACAGGGCCATCTCTCACATCTGCCCGTGTGTCGTATGCTTTTGACTTGCACGGACCAAGCAAGTCCGTCGACACGGCTTGCTCTAGTGCCTCGGTGGCTTTACATGACGCCATCCTGGCTCTTCGAGCTGGTGATGCTGACCAGATTCTGGTGGGGGGCTGCAATCTGATTCTAGACCCTGACAAAATGTCCATCATCTCATCCATGTCGTAAGATCTAGGTGCCCTCCTTGTTCGGGTTTTGTGGTGGCGTCGCTAACGAATCCAAGATTCCTTTCTCCTGATGGTCGATGCTATTCCTTTGATGATCGCGCCAGCGGGTACGCCCGGGGCGAAGGCGTTGTTGGCATGCTCCTGAAGCCCCTTAGCGCAGCCCTCCGGGATGGCGATCCCATTCGATCCGTGATCCGAGGTAGTGCAGTTGTGTCCGATGGTAAAACCCCGGGCATCACAATGCCATCGCCTGATAGCCAATACGCAGCGATTCAGCGCGCTTATTCAGTGGCCGGGCTTGATCCCAGAGAGACAGTCTATGTGGAAGCACATGGTGAGACACCCCTGCTTTAGAAGCCCGTACGTACCGCAGTTCGACTGACAGAGAACCCTCTCAGGCACTGGCACAAATGCTGGAGATAATTGCGAGGTTACCGCCTTTAGCAAAGCATTTTGCCCAGACAGGTCGGGCAAGCTCATTATTGGCAGCGCCAAGTCCAACCTGGGCCACACAGAATGCGTGTCAGGCTTGACCGGCATATACAAGGTCCTTTTGATGCTTGAGAAGGGCGCAATCGTCCCGACTCCCACCTTTCAGAACGCCAATCCCAGGCTGCAATTAGAGACGAGAGGGCTAGAAGTAAGCGCAATGCATCCCTTCTCTTTTCTCTTCTTCTTTTTGGGAAGAAGAATAATGTGATTGACTGACTTTGCCCTCTTTAGGTTGCATCCAAGCTTCAACAGTGGCCAGAGGGAACGCTCCGCCGGGCGTCCGTGAACGGATCCGGCTACGGTGGCACCGATACCCATGTCATTCTTGAAGCCTGGTCACCACCAGCTAAGACGATCGAGGCAGCATCGCAGCTTGAGCTGAGAGGACCCCGCCATGCAGCTGCCGGTGAGATCCCCAAAGCCAGCCCAAAGGTCTTTGTCTTGAGCCACCAGCGAGAAGACGGCTTCTCCAAGCTGGCTGTTTCCTGGAAGAGATTCCTCATGGAGGCCAAGGCAAACCACAAAGAGCTGTCTCTTGACGACTTGGCCTACACGCTGTCGTCTAGGCGAACGCGGTTTGCACAGAGGGCTTCATTCATTGCTTCCAATGTTGACGAGCTCCTGGACGGGATCAAGAAGATTGAGCTTGGCTCCATCCGGCCTGTGAAAGCACTTGCTGATTCACGAACGTGCTTCATCTTCACTGGTAAGTGACTACGATCAAACTGGAACTAAACATGCCCCCTCTCTAACACTTTTGTTCTTTCGCCCATTAGGTCAGGGAGCCCAGTGGGCTCAGATGGGTCTGGAACTCTTCTCCGCCTATCCTCTCTTTGCTGAGTCGATGCGTACATCTGAGAGGGAGCTCATTCGCATGGGTGCAACCTGGCGCTTGATCGATGAGTTGAAGAAGCCCAAGGAAGAGTCTCGTATCAACGATGCTGAGTTGGCGCAGCCGTGCTGTACCGCAATTCAGGTCGCATTCGTGGACCTCCTCGCTTCATGGGGCGTGCACCCGGATATGGTCTGCGGTCACTCAAGTGGCGAGATCGCGGCGGCATATGCTGGCGGCAGCTTGACCGCGTCAGAAGCGATCAAGGTGGCCTATCACAGAGGCAAGTCTGTCTACTACCTCACGCTGAAGAAGGGCACGAGGCAGGGAGGCATGCTTGCCGCAGGTCTGTCAGAGACCGACGCGCTCAAGTATACCTCCAAGTACAGCGAGCAAACAGTCAACGTCGCGTGCATCAACAGTCCCTCCAGCGTCACGATATCAGGTGACGTCGGGGCTATTGAGGAGATTGCGAATAAGCTCGAGGAGGACGGCGTCTTCAACCGACGTCTGGCTGTTCCAGTAGCCTACCACTCCTTCCACATGGCTGCCGTTGGAGAGTCCTATGGCGCAGCGCTTGAGAATCTCCAGCCTCGCCAGTTCAAGCCAAGTGTGCGAATGGTATCCTCTGTCAATTGTGAAGAGGTTGACGGCCGAGAGCTCGATGGCGATTACTGGGTTCGCAACCTGCTGCGTCCCGTTCGCTTCGCGCCAGCATTGGCCAAGCTCCTCAGTCTTCCTGCGAAAGGCAGCACCTCGTCTGCGTTGCCGCCTACTGTCATGGTTGAGCTTGGCCCTCACCCGGCACTGCAGGGGCCTGCTACCCAGACAGCCAAGACCGTCGGAGGCCTTCCCCCCGTGCACTACTTCACCTGCTTGAAGAGAAAGGAGAATGCGGTCCACAGCGTGCTCACGCTCGCGGGTGGCCTGTTCAACAGTGGTCTCCCCATTACGCTGACGGGCGCCAACAATCCTCTGGGCACTCCCACCAAGGTATTGACCGACCTGCCGTCGTATACCTGGAACCATGGCAAGACACACTGGAACGAGTCCCGCCGCAGCCAGGCATACCGTCTGCGAAAGTTCCCCCGTCATGATCTTTTGGGATCTGCTGCTGCTGATAGCATCAGCGCCGAGCCGTCTTGGAGAATGTTTGTTAGGCTTTCCGAGATCCCGTGGGTCAGAGATCATTGCATTGACGGCCAGATTGTCTTCTCCGCAGCCGGCTTTCTGACTATGATAGTGGAAGCCGTGAAGCGCCAGTCGGTCGTAGCGCAGCGGCCTTGGAAGAGAAAGGTGATTGAGTTCAAGCAAGTCGCCATCGATAGGCCTCTCCTTGTTCAGGAGGATGCCTTTGGAACCGAGGTTTTCATTCTTCTACGACCCTATGCAGTGACAGCTCGTGATTCGAGCTCGAAGTGGCAGGAGTTCCGGATCTACAGTGTTTCTCAGAACAATGAATCTACAGAGCACTGCCGGGGCTTGATTGGCCTGTCGGAGAACAAGGGCAAGCTGGGAACCCCCCCACAATCTGCAGCAGGTGGTGCTTGGGCGCAACTTGAATCCACGCAGCTGTACAAGCTCCTGAGCAGCTCCGGCAATGGTTATTCAGGCTGCTTTGCCAACCTTGATAAAGTCTCGGCCCGTGCTTGGGAGTCCAACTGCGAGCTGACTGTTCCCGATGTCAAGGCCACAATGCCCTCCGGCCACCAAGAGCCGCACCACATCCATCCCACGACACTGGAAGGCTGTTTCCTGGCATGCCTTCCTGGTGTGAGACTTGGCAAAGGACTGGACGGCCCTCAAGTGGTCTCCTCTATTGATGAGCTCTGCATTTCGACCGATATTGAGCTCCAGCCGGGGCACAAGCTCTCTCTCACGGCCAAGTCAAGCCCGCATGGATTGAGACAGCACATTTCGGACATTTTTGCTACGGACAGCGCAAAGAATGTCATTGTTCGAGTTGCTGGCATCAAGTTCTCATCGTTGGGAAGCTATCAAGACGAGACAAATGTTGTCGATGACCCTCTGTGCCACCAGGTTGAGTGGCTCTTGGATCCCTTTTCTTCGCCCAGTGAAGCCTTGGCCGCTTACTGCCAGAGAACACTGGAGGCCAGCCCTCGGCAGCCACGCCAGACCTACAACTCCTTCTCTCAGGCCGCCGAGGATGACTCCTTCAAGAGATGCTACGTACAGCTTGCCGAGTATCTCAAGCTTGTGCAGTACAAGGTGCCCAACCTGCGTATCCTGGAAGTCGGCGGCGGAGCTGGCGCCCTGACCTCTGTGCTCCTCGAGGCCATCTACGGAGAGAAGCGGAAGTATGCAACTACCAAGGGCTCCTACGTTTTCACTGACGTCTCCGACGTATCCATTTCCCAAGCCCAAGAGGCACTCAAGGCGTTTGAGGGCGTTGTGGAATACAAGACCCTCAACGTAGAGCAGTCTCCGGCTCAGCAGGGCTTTGAGCTCAATTCCTTTGATGTCATTGTCGCATCAAATGCCATCCATGCCACGCTTAGCCTCGAGCACAACCTTGGCAATCTGAAGAGCCTCCTCAAGCCCGGTGGCCAAATTGCCTTTGCAGAACTCGTCGCGCCGTCTCATCGATGGGGAATCAACGGAAACTCTCAAAACTCTCCTCTTTTGTCCACGCCGGAATGGGAAGGTGTCCTCGTTAAGAGCGGCTTTTCTGGTGTTGCACTCGAGTTCAAGGACTTTGCATCGGAGGAGGAGCACGAAGTGAGCCTGCTCATCTCCAATGCTGCAAACTCTGAGGTGAAGGAGGGCGTTGGAAGCATCACTATCTTTACCGGGCGACAGACTGGTGTGGCAGAGGAGCTGCGCAGTGGCCTGGTGGCTCAATATCCTGGCACCGTGGTGTCCGCCGTTCCACTTGCCAAGGAGGCGGCATCTCCTGGGGCCTACATCTTCCTTTCGGATGTTTCTGAGAACTTTTTGTCGACGGCGTCTGAGAAAGACTGGGAGAACGTCAAAGATATCCTCAGCGACGCGACAGCTGTGCTGTGGGTGACCAAGGGAGCCTCTACAACTGGCCAGGCACCTCATCGTGCACTCGTTACTGGGCTGGCACGAAGCCTGCGTGTGTCTCGACCCGACCTCAGGTTCTTCACCGTGGACATCGACGCAAGCTCTGCGGAGGCCGCTAGTATTCTGCAGGTTTATGAGAAGTACTTGGGCCCTGGTGCCTCCCCCTACTCTGCGGCCGAGTGGGAGCTTGCCATCTCCAATGGAAGCATCGTGATACCGCGGTTGTTGGAGAACAAGGTGGTCAACCACCAGGTTCAGGACACTACCTCAAAGTATCACCCGCGCGAGGAAACTTATACCGATCTTAGCCGTTCTCTGGGTCTCCGAATCAATTCTGTCGGAGTCTTGGACTCTCTGTACTGGGCTGATGATGAAGCCCACGCTCAGCCTCCCAGCGTAATGCAGGCCAAAGTTCGGGTGGAAAGTTTCGCGCTCAACTTCAGGGACATGCAGACGATTACCGGCCAGCTCGAAGGCAACTCGTCTCTTCTCCTTGAGGGAAGTGGCACAGTCATCGAGGTCGGCGATGCTTCCCAGTCAAGCCTATCTGTGGGCGATCGGGTTAGCTTCTTTGTCCCTGATGGGCTGGCCACTGTCAGCAATGTGGACGTTCGCCACGCCGTCAAGGTTCCGGGAGACATCAGCAGTGATGTCGCCGCTGCTGTTCCGCTGGCTTACTCGACTGCGCTGTATGCTCTCCGAGATGTCGCCAGGCTTCAGCGAGGCGAGAGTATCCTGATCCACTCTGGAGCTGGAGCAGTCGGCCAGGCAGCAATTGCCCTTGCAAAGGCTTTTGGCGTTGAAGACATTTACGTCTCCGCTGGAAGCGCAGAAAGGGCAGAGCTCATCAGCAGCATGTTTGGAATCCCGGCTGGCCACATCGTATCCAGCCGAGACCTGGAACTGGGTCATCGTCTTCTTGAGCTGACGAATGGACGAGGCGTCGACGTCGTTGTCGGTTCCCTTTCTGGAGACGCCTTCTCAGAGAGCTGCAGCGCCGTTGCCCCCTTCGGCCGAATTATTCAGCTCTGCGAGAGAGACGTTGCAAACAACGGACGATTGGACATGAAGGCTCTTCAGAAGAATGTGTCCCTTTCTGTCGTGAACATGGGCTTCCTCGCAAGAGAGAGGCCCCTGGTGTTCCACGAGCTACTGGAAACCTCTTTCAGCATGCTCCAGAAGGGGACGTTGGCTCTGGTTGGCCCGATTGTGTCGTCCCATGCTTCCAAGGTTGCTGAGCAGCTTCGATTGATACAGGCGGGCGATTTTGTTGGCAAGTCGGTGTTCCAGCTGGACGCCAATCTGCCACTGAAGGTGAGTTGCCGATTTGCATCTTTCACTTATTGTACGCATATGACACTTGACTAAACTGTAATCACAGATTCAACCCCAAAAGCCGAAGCCTGCGGCCCTGCGGGAAAACAGCTCTTACCTTATCGCTGGTAATGCTGGGAACCTAGACGCAGCAGTTGCCAGATACTTGGCGAAGCTGGGAGCTCGCCGCGTCATCGCGTGTCAGGGTTCTGGCATCGAGGCGGCTTCGGACGAGATCAAGAGCCTCGGCACTGATGTCGTCTTGATTCGCGGCAACACTTCCGGCCAGCTGTTTGTCGATCAGCTGCGAGAGGCAAGCGCTGATGCACCTGTCAGGGGCATCATTCTTGGAGATGCCGAGATTTCTGTAAGCACAACACTTTACGCCATTCAAGACGTAACAACAGCTGACGAAATGAATCAGGACGCGGACCTCAAAGCTGTGTCATATTCTCAGTGGTCGACTGCCGTTGAGCATGCCACCAAAGGCATCACCAGCCTCCAGGAGGCCTTTGGCTCAAACCTCGACTTCTTCATCCTGCTGAACCGCACTTCCACTTTCGTGGGTGGTCCTGAGCAGAGCATCGCCAGTGCCATCGGCGCGTTCCGGGACAGCTTTGCCCAGACTCAAGCCAGCCAGGGCCTCCCCGTCAAGTCTATTGCCCTCGGCGCTGTGGAGAAGGAAAGCTCTGATGACGCCGAAGATGTGCTCCCTCCCTCCGACATCCGCCCGCAGACCGTAGACGAGGTCCTCGCCGTGATCAACTATGCCATCCAAAGCCCCTCCCACCAGAGCCATATCATCTGCGGCGCCAGCCAATTCGCCCCCAATCCCGCCTCCCCCTCCCCTTCGCAGCGCCCAGACGCCCGCTTCGCACACGTCTGGTCCCGCGCCGCCCCCCGCGCCTCCTCCAAGGGCGGCGGCGACGACGACTCCTTTGACGTGCAGGCGGCGCTGCGCAGCTCCGCCACCGGCGAGGCCGCCGTCGACGCCGTCTTCACGGGCCTGAAGCAGAAGCTCGCCAAGCTGCTGGCCGTGCCGACGACGGAGATCCAGCCGGACCGCGCGGTGTCGAGCTACGGCGTCGACTCGCTCGTCTCGGTCGAGCTGCGCAACTGGATCACGGGATACCTGGGCGCACACGTGCAGATGCTGGAGCTGATGAGCTCCATGGCCATGGTGCAGCTTTCGGAGGTGATTGCCAAGAGGTCCCGGCTGGTGCCTGCGACTGTCTTTGGGGTTGCGGAGGAGAAGAAGTAATTCAGGGAAGGGGGGCGTTTTTGGAGACGACCACTTGATATCAAGTTGGATCAGGGGTATGATTTGCGGAGGAATATGGGTATTTGATGAGACATGACTTATGGTTTTCTATTAGCTTGTTATGCTTGATTATTTGTTTTGCTTGGATATCTGTTCTCTATTTCTCTTATCTTAGTAGTTGTCTTGCTGTTTGCTTTTTGCCGTTTCCTAGAATCACATCAGTACCAACAAAGCCAGCGATACAACAAGATTCTTTCATTCTCATTACATTAGGACGCCCCCGTCATCATCAAGTATAGGATACAACACCCGTCTAAGAATAACATTTCGCTCATGATCCATGCCACGCCACACCATGTTTTGCCATAAGAAGCCACTGCCCAAACAAAAAAAAACACCAACCTTGCCGCGCCCCGAAAATAACACCCCAACAGCAGCAACACCAGCAGTAAGCATCTATCCATCTATCAGGTAGTCATCATCATACATCAGTGCAATCGATCCTTACCACCCTGTCTCGCCCTCTCCAACTCAGGCGTCCTCGTCAACCTCGCCGGCGTCCCGCTCGAAACCTCCTCGACCGTCGTATCCAGACGGACGTGAAAGACTTTTCCGCGCCAGTTGACCGTCGTGCCGAGGAGCACCGCCCGCGTCCAGATGGGCAGAGCGAGCGCCTCTCTTGCGATCCACGCTGGCAGCCATTCAATGAATCGCCGCCTCGGCAGACCTAGCGGACTCGCTGATCCAAAGGCAAAACGAGGCGTGTTCTGGTCTGTTTCAATGGTGCGGCCTGTGTGCAGGTGCTTAAAGGTGTGCCAGTCGACCATCATCCAGGCGAACATGGCCGCAAGCCAGATGAGCCCCATGGCCGTCCACGTCTGCGGAATGCCGAGCAGTCGAGCGCAACCCGGCAGCGTCGTCAGGCCAAAGGCAAGATAGGCACAGCAGAGCAGCGACTCGACGCCGGGCTCGACCAGAGTGGCCGCCAGCACGGTGAACTTCCGCGCGCGCAGCCATCGGACGCGCCGGGCGGCGTAGGCGGACACGGACATGCCCGCCATGGGCTGCAGAACCAGGTCGCCCCAGGCGATGCCGTGGTTCAGGAAGCCCGGGATGCGGGAGCGCCAGAGGAGATCTCCGATCAGATGGTCCTCGCAGATGTTGTGCGAGAAGTAGTCCACGCCGCGCGGACGGCCCTCGTTGGCCGGCAGAAGCGGGTTGCGCGCGGGATCGGTGACCTGGTCCAGGTGCGCCTTGCGGAACATGTTGCTCTTGCCGACGATGCAAGGCGCGACGCCCACGACGTTGATGGCGCCGTAGAACTTGACGTGGGTCGTCGCCATGAACATTTCGTCCAGGCGGCCGCCGCCGTTCCTCCACAGCCGGCGCCACAGAGGCTCGTTGGCCGGCGCGTCGGCAGGCAAACCCAGGAGCTTCTGGGTTTCGGCTGTAGCGGCCTGCTGAAAGTCGACGACGTCGACAACGAGCGGCAGCTGGTGCACAAACTTGTATGGTTTGCGCGCGGGGGCGTCAGGGGCGGAATAGCCCATGAGCGTGTCCACCATGCGGCCCAGGACGCCGCTCGCGACCCAGACGTTGCAGTCGATGATCCATATAATGTCGCCGGGGGCCTCGCGGTAGGCCCTGCTGATGTTGCGTATCTTTGGATTCGGGCCCAGCATGTTGACGCGGCCTCGGGCGCCGTGCAGGACGGGATCCTCGGCCTCGACCATGATCTGCGCATCGTAGGCGGGAAAGTCCTTGATCAGCTGCTGCAGGACCGGATACGCCGGATCGGTGGTGTCCTGTATGCACAGTCGGATCGAGACCTTTTGGCGCCGGTAGTCCTGGCGAAAGGTCGAGGCGATGCATTCGTAGAGGCAGGGCTCAAGGCCCTTGACCGGCCGGATGATGGTGACGCTGGGCGCATCTTCGAGGGTGGACGATACGGACGGCGGGTTGCGTTCTTTGAACTTGACGAAGCTGGCGAGCAGAGAGAGGACGAGAGAATTAGAGGGAAGCTCACAGGTCGGAGAGGCGGCGGAGGGCTGCTGCTTACATGGCCGTGATGCCGACGGTCTGGACGAGAACAACGACCACGGCCCAGACGAGGCAGACGGCGGCCAGAAGCTCGACAAGACGAGTAGTCATTTCCAACGTCTCCCTGAGATCAAGACACAACCATCCTTCGGTCACTTGGGGAGCGTGTTTCAATCACCTGCGCATGCGGACGGACGAGCAGGACATGTTAGGATTTTATAGGTTGAGCGCACAGCTGGATGTACAGGAGGTGAGCAAGCGAGGCAGCGATCGGAGGTATTATAGGTCGACTGAGGGCAAGCAAAGAGAGCAGACAAGCCACAGCCGACGACGGCCCGGCCGGTAATTAATCGATATTCAAGAGGAAAAAGAAATGGGCTACCGGCCTGTCGGGACAGCCGTTGGATCGCGCGTTCGTACAAGTACAGCAATAGTAATATGTAGAGACGAGGAGAGGATAGCTGGCTATAGGGAATAGTAACGGTCAGCCTTTCGGAAAAGATGGAAAAAATCAGCGATGCAGAGAGGCTTGACGGAGTCGGGTTAAGCCTGGCCCGCTTGGACAAGCCCTGGAAACGGTCGCTAGGCCTAAGCGGGAAGCAACCAGCAGGGGCAGCAAGAGGCAGCATCGTCATCAGGACAGACAGCAGCAAAGGGGCCGTGCGTGTGACGTCGTTGGGGAGGTTCGTGTAGATGTTGGGCTGAAGCAATTGGATCTCAGGTCTCACGATAGGCGAGGACATGTACCTGTGCGTCTCAAGATGGACGAGGCGATCTGATACTAGCAGAAGCACCAGCCACCTCTTGTTACAGCGGTTGTGGCTTTCTTAGGTAGTATGGAATACATGTACCTTGGTTGCTGTGGCGCGTTGTGGCTAGTACCTATTCCGCTAACGAGGAGCTTACCTAAGAGAGCTACACAGCTTGAGCATCGATGTTGAAGCTGGTCAGACAAGACATGCAATTGTGTCTGGATACATTAGTACTCGTACCTCTAGTTGTCACTCGATAAAGAGCTTCAGTGAGAAGCGGTCATCCTCGAAGTGATATGGCGATTGTCGGATTTGATTCGCTCTTCATCTCTCCTCATCATAGCCCACCCGGTTAAGGAATCAGCTTGGCGGCGGCATGATCTGAGCACCGAGCTAACACAAAAGCTCGAAGCTTCTGTCTGCGCATGTGATGTGATATCACGAGCTCGAGCAGCTGCTTATCAGTTGAGCGCTTAACAGCCCGCACAAAGCAACAAAGCTCCCCTCAAACGAGTTCTCACCATGACTGCTTTGTTCCGTCAAACTTGATGCTCTAGAGTGCCAGTAAACCCATCAATACGGTACCTTATCTACCTACCTAGTCATCACGCATTACGAATGGAGGGCATCTGATTCATCTGTCCCGTAGAGCGGCCCCATCTTTCAGGCCCCGTCCAGCGGCGTTAGGGCAACCTGCAGGGCTTGCGGTGCCTGAGACGCCCTGCAACGTGCCCTGAGCCGCCGGTAACCCTCCAGGTGCCGCCCCTGCGCACTGCCGCTACGCTGCATCCAGGCCACTGCAGGTCACACACACACACAAGCAGAATCTTCCAGTGATGGAAATTGGCGCCTGGCGCCCCAGGCATCCAAGGAGCCCATCGGATCCGGTTGGCGACTTTCTCCGGCCAACCGCCGAAGAAAATCCTCATCCCGGCGCGCAGAAAAATTTCCCTCTTTGTTTCTCTTTCGAAAAAAACATTTGTGAGAAGCAAAACTCCCTGCGACGCTCGCCTTGTCTGTCGTTCCCAGACTGGCATCACATCTCATTGCCTTTCTGGAACAGATTGGACGAGATCCAGCTGGACTCGTTCTGCAAGAGGAGCGTTGCAATTACCGGGCCATGGCTTGAGCGAGGTGAGTCGACTTTTCCTTTCTTTCTTGTGCTCTTCTTCACACGCACATCTTCTTCTCTGGATGCCGGAGCTCTGCCTTGGCTTGGACGTATCAGGCTACTTTTTTCCAGCTCTCCCGAGTTGCAGGAGAGCCGATACGCCTGCCCTAGACTCATGAGCAGACTCTGGAGCAGGCCGCACCAGTTCTGGTTCTCCCTTTCCATCCGCTGTCATGATGATCACCATATGTGCAAAGAGCGACCATTCATTTGGAGACCTCTGTGATTGCCATTTCATTATAGACTACAACGGTATCTGATACAGCAATGGAACAACTTGTTTGCCCTTCCATCATGTCGCTGCACACGCTCTGAAGCTTCAGAAACTGACTCGAGTGCTGCAGATCCAGCCAAAATGAACCCAGTCCGAGATGGCTGAGATGCAAGTTCATACTGAGCCCCCTGTTGCAGGGGCGGCTTCACCTACTCCCAAAGGTCCCGAGGCCAATGCAAAGGCCCAATCTGAGGCGGCTTCTCCAGCTCCGGCTGCGAAACAGCAAGCCAGAGGTCCATCTCTCCACCAGATATACGCGCTACCTGCACCCATCCGAACCTTTCCCCTGCCAGCATTCTATCCCAACAACCCTGTTTCGCTGCTACACATTGCCTACGCATGGTTTGGCCAGGTTTTCCGCCCGCCGCCCGCCGAGCCCGCCGTAATCCACCACGGCGTCTGGTCTGAGACGACCATCTCCGTGCACATCAAGGATGAAAAGTCCATGAGGGCCTTGTGGGAGCAAGGCTTCTATGGCAAGGGTAACCTGAGCCGCAGTGAGCCCAACTGGCTCAAGAGGGAGCAGGTCCAGAGGGGACTCCAGGAAGCCCATGTCAGCGAGATTTTCACGCAGCAGAGGCGAGAGGAGCGAGCACAAGCCAAGTGGGAGCGTGCGCGACTTGAGCAGGAAGCCATTTTGAAGACGAAGCTTGAGGAGGAGCGGCTGGCTGCATCTCGTGCCGTGGAAGAACAAGAGGCCAAGAAAAAGGCCCAGGAAGCTCGGGAGAGGCAAGAGGCAGCCGTGTCAGAAACGCCTTTGCTTCCGCTTGCACCCGTTGGCCCGCTGGAGCTCCTCGCACTTCCAAACTCGGCCGTCGTATCACTGCCGGTGCCTGCCCCGACACCTGTGCCCTCGTTTGCAGCTCCTGTTGGTCCGCTGCAGATTCTGGCGTTGCCCAACTCGGCTGCCGACATTGTCAAGTTGACCGCAAAGGCCGCCATTAAATCCAAGGCAAACGGGACCTTGACACTCTCCTCCCACCACGGTTCGTCCACTGACGAATCGGAGGAGCCCCGAACCCCCATCACGACGGATAGCCCGGAGCTGTACAGGGATGACCGCTCCGTAGACTCATCTAGTGATGGCACGGGCAACACGAAGCTGCAGCGCAGAAAGAGCGTGCGGTTTTCTCCCACTGTGGAATCGGCCACGTACAAAGCGACGGACCCCCCGAGCCCCAATCGGTCTCCGCCCGTGTCACTCTCCCAGCCATCTCAAACCAACGGCCAGGGCAAGCCGAACGGCCAAGCTCTGCCCCAGCTGCCGTCGGCGAGCGTGCCCGTATCAGACCCCATCATCAACAAGGAGCACCTCCAGCTGATGCCGGAAGAGGCTTTTTTCCTCTCCTTTGGTCTGGGAGTTCTTGAAGTAACGGATCCCGCGTCTGGCAGAGTACTGTCGCGCCAAGATTTGTTCCGTCTATTCCGGCAATACTCGTACTTCCCTCCCCGAAACGGCCCAGACGAGCCTGATCTGGAGCCGGATGACGGGTTCCTGCTTCATTACGCCGTGTATCACCACTTTCGGTCTCTGGGCTGGGTGCCTCGAGCAGGCATCAAATTCGGCGTCGACTGGTTGCTGTACGCCAGAGGGCCGGTGTTTGACCACGCCGAGTTTGGGCTGATTGTGATTCCCTCATACTCGGATGAGTGGTGGAAGAAGCAAGGCAAGCAGGGACCGCGGAAGCCGTGGTCATGGCTGCATAGCGTCGTGCGAGTGCTGTCCCACGTCACCAAGAGCCTGGTGCTGGTCTACGTGGACGTGCCGCCGCCTCACAAGTTTGACGAGGCGCTGAAGACGGGTGCCGCGGAGGCGATGAAGCTGTACAAGGTGCGGGAGGTGATGGTGAAGAGGTGGTCGAGCAATCGAAATCGGTGAGACGATGGATACATGTGCTTTCCTTTTTTCTGTCTGTCTGTTGTACGATTCAATGCTTGAGGCGTTGCTTGGGATTGGGATTGGGAGAACATGTCAGCGTAATGTGTGATTTTGGACACGAGTTATGATGAGCGGTCAAGCTCCGACTGGTTAGGTACTGTGGAAAGGGAACAGACCTTGAAGGATATCAATACAAGTTGAAGACTATTCCTAAACGTCTCGTTGCTGCATAATCTTAGGTGGCCATGGACCACAGCAGTCACTCAGATGGTGTGATTACAGAGGACGAGCTTCCTTTGGACCGAGGTCTTTTATATATCAAGATGAGGTTTTCACCTTTGAACGGACAAATTCTAGGTAGATAGTTGTTGCAGGCAAAAGAGAGAAGTCAACAAAGTGCCGACATTGACCAGCTCACTTTTCATCATTCGCTCACTTTTCAACTGCAACTGGAGACTCCTGATATCTTTTGACGTTACACATTGACCCTCCTCCTCGCATTCACTCCTCCTCCTCCTCCTCCTCCTCCACAAGCAATCAAAAGCCGGAGTTTTGAGCCTCGGTCCACTCCCACTCCCACATCAAACGCCTATTTAGCGCAAAAGGCTTCCGCCTCGACAGGCCACTTTTTGACGAACTCGTGCCTGACTGAAGCCTCTCAGCTTTTTTTCCCCGGATTTTCCCCCTCGGCGCCAAAGAAAGGCGAATTTGAGGGAAACTTTCTTTTTATTTTCCGCTGTACCTTGTTTCCATTCGTTTCTTTTCAAAGTGTTATCGCAAGGTGATAGATACCTAGGTACTCAGGCCGGGCCATGTTCTCTCTCGCCCGCTCAGCCCAGATCCGGGCAGCCTCTTCAAGAGCACGACAGGCTCACTCTCTTTACGTCCGCACCGCTCACACTCAAAACCCATCGCCATCTCTCCAAAAGGCTCTCTCGGATATCGCTCGATATCGCCGGTCACGCTCCTCGTCAAACACTCCACCAGAGAGCAAAGACGCAGCAGCAGAATCACAACAACAACAACAAAATCCAGGCTACAGACCCCAACAGCGCAGAATTCTCGCCAAACAAGCCGCCGCCCAAGCACAAGCACAGGCACAGGAGACATCAGCATCGCGCTCATGGCCCAAACTCGAGATCCCGCGCGAAGCCCAACGCTTCACCTTTGTCGATGAATCTTCATCGCGCGCCCCCGTAAAGGTGGCCTGGACGGAGAAATTCCTCTTCGTGGAAGATCCCGACAAGCAAGACGGCAGGCGAACGCTGAAGCCCTCGACGCTGCGCGACAGCTGCTCGTGTCCGCGCTGCAGAGACCCGTCGTCTGGCCAAAAGACGTTTTCCTCTGTTGAGATTCCGGTGGACATTGGGCTGGAGAGCGTCAAGCCCACGAAGAAGGGTCTGGAGATTGTCTTTTTGCGCGACATTCCTCGCTTCATCACGGAGCAAGATGGGACTACTACCACCACCACCACCACCAGCAAGGACAAGGACAAGGACAAGGACGGCAGCAACAAACACACGATGCTGCTCCCCTGGGACTCGGTCGACCTGTCCCTCAAGCGCAAGGCAATGCAGGACATGACGCTGCCCCGGCCGCGCTCCATCCTGCGCCGCACAGGCGTCACGTACTGGGACCGACAGCTCCTCACGCAGCACATCCGGCGCATCGACTACGCAGCCTTCATGCAGGACGACAACAACAACAACAAGAGCGAGGCCTTCTGGGACGTCGTCATCGACCTCTGCCGCCTGGGCATCGTCTTCCTGCAAAACGTGCCCCGCGACCCCCTGTCCATCGAACGCATCACCACCCGCATCGCCAACATCAAGGAGACCTTTTACGGCCGCACCTTTGACGTCCGCGCCAAGCCCGACGCCGAAAACGTCGCCTACACAAACGGCTTCCTCGGCCTGCACCAGGACCTGCTGTATCTCGACCCGCCGCCCATGATCCAGGTCCTGCACTGCATGGACTCGTCGCGCGCCGGCGGCGAGTCGCTCTTTAGCGACGGCGAGCGCGTCGGCCGCCTCCTCTGGCCCTACGTCTCGCGGCATCGCCTCGCGCCCCTGGCGGAGCACCACGTCCCCTACCAGTATTCCAAGCACGGCTTCCACTACTTTAGTTCCCGGCGCGTGCTCGAGGGCAACGCCGCGGGCTTCACAAACGTCTTTTGGAGCCCTCCCTTTCAGGGCCGCTATCTGAGCCCCGTCAAGGACCTCCGCGGCTGGATCCGCCCCGCGCAGGTCTTCTCCTCGCTCATTAACCACCCGGATGCCGTCTACGAGCACAAGATGGAGCCGGGGGAGTGCGTCCTCTTTGATAACCTGCGCGTGCTGCACGGCCGCAACGCGTTCAGTGACAATACTACTACGACGAGCGCGGGGGCGGGCGGCGAGAGGTGGCTCAGGGGCGCGTACATTGCTGCCGAGGACTTCCTTTCCAGGGCAGCGCATATACCAAAGGGGCTGGCGGAGAAGTATCGCGGCGACGTGCCGTGGACGCCGGGGCTGGCGCAGCAGGAGTTGAGGGCGTCGGCGTGGCAGGACGATGTTGTGCGGCGGCTCAAGGAGATTGATCCTGGTATTGAGGAGTGAGGTGGTTCTATGACTTATACGTATGTATTTCTCTGTATGCGTTGCATGAGATATGCGAGCGTCATGAGTCTATTGCGGACAATTTACACACAAGAATATCATTGTCATGGTAAAACAATCACTGAGATGAAGTTAGAGAGATTGTAGTTTTCATTTCAGACAACAGTTCCAGAAATTGATCCGAATCAGCCTAGCTAAGGCAAAGGCAGTAACTGACTGCCAGATAATGAACAAAGATGAAGCAAACCCGTTTTTTTCTTTCATCCTTTCGTTGCGCCGTACTCGTGAACCCAGACTATCATGACAACAATCACCCCTATTCCCACAACCCGTCCTGTGTCGTGTGATTCAATCCCACTTCTTCGCCTCGACGCCATCCGGCGGCACAGTCGCCACCTTCTTGTCCTTGACGTCGTCCCAGTTGGTGCTCAGCGACGTCCCGTTGCTCTCCGTGAAGCTCTTCATCATGGCCCGCTGCTGCTCGGGCGTGGCGCCCTTGTAGAGCTTCTTGAAGAAGGCGTTGACGTCCTTTTCGTCATCTGAATTCTCCTCGGCGCCCACTTGGTCCCAGTTCTTGGGGCCGGTTCGTGAAGACGTGGGGTAGACCGTCGTCGGCTTTGTGTCCACGGCCTTGGGGCTGCTGTCGACAGATCTAGAGATAATCGTTAGCTTGGACAAGATCCCGAGTGAGCGACATCCAACGGGAACAAAAAAGCTTACCCTGCTGCGGCCACGTCAGGCTTGGGCAGTGGAGCCTTCTTGGGGGCTCCGTCGGCCTGAACAGCCGGCCATCTGCCAATTGTCTTCTTCGCCAGGCTCAGCTCGACCTTGTTGGGTGTGACAATGTACTTGGAGTTGGACGGATCAATCTCGCCCCAGAGATCAAGATGGAACTCCTTCTGCTCGCCGCTCGAGTACACCAGGGGGTCCAGATGGACCGAGTTCTCGGAAAACTGCACCTGGAGCTTCTCCTTGTCGACGCCCTTTGAGAAGATGGACACCGAAATGTTCCTGTCGCTCTGGAAATCCTGCATGCGGAACGGCGGCTCGTTGGGATCAACAGCCTTTGGCACCGCCGGAGCAGCCTTTGCTGGAGCGGCGTTTGTCGTGGCAGACTCTGCAGAAGTGGCCTTTTCAGGTGCGTGGTTGACGAGGTCCTTTTGCTCCGGAATCAGCGTCGTCGTCAGCTTCCTCGCGGCATCGTCCGCCGGCAGCTTCTCCATCGCCTTGAGGGCCTGGATCGCAATGGTGCTCGCCATCCGCCACTCTCTCATCCGGGCCCTCAGGGGATCGTTCTCGCCAGCCCCCTGCAGCGCATCGCTGAGCTTCTTCTTGCCGGCCTCCTCCTGCTGCGCAGCCTTGACAGCGTCATCCGCGCTCCTGGTCCAGAACCCGTTCTCGTCCACGTGCTGCAGGAAAGGGTCCTCCTTGGGCACCGCCAGCCCACCCTTAGTGAGCCGCATGCAGTGCAGCAGGCAGTAGTCGGCGTTGGCGTACTGCTTCAGCTGGAAGTAGGCCACGCCGCGGCGGTACTGGGCGCTGGCCATGAGCTCCCTCTTGCTGCGCTGGACGGCCATGTGCCACGCCAGGTCGGCGTCCTCCAGGCTGGCCTCGGGGCGGCCCAGCCCGGCGAGCGCCTTGGAGCGGGCGATGAGCCAGGCGGGGTTCTGGGAGCTCCTGAGGGCCTCGGAGAGCTTTTCGACGGCCTTGTCCCAGTCGCTTTCGTCGACGGCTTTGAGGCCCTGCTGGGCCACTGCTGCGTACGACATGGTCGGCCTGGTCCGCTGTGTCGAGCTCTTATGTCGTTGGTTTGGTTGATTGGTTGGTTAGTTGGTTGGTTGTACTGCCTTAAGGGCCAATACAGCTTATGGTATATGTCTCAGGGTCAAAGTGAAGATGATGAAGAAACGAAGTTGGTGAGTTCGGGCACAAGTTGAAAGTCGGCAAGGCAAGCAGCAGCTGGAGGGAGGTTCAAGCTTTAGCGGGGATCGAAGCTCCAGAGCTTAAATCGTCACTGCCCCACTGTTTCGTTTGCTGGGTGTCACCGACTGTGAAGAGCGCAAATTGAATATCAAGTACAGTAATGAAGGGATTATCGTTGAATTACATGTCCAAAACTCATTACATGTTTTATACAACGAGGTCAAGGTCGAATCAAGATGCATCTTGTGCCCGACATCTGATCCTGGAGGAAGCATTGAACGGATGAGCTGATGGAAACGTCTAGAACATCATGGCCAAACAAGGGGGGGCTTGAAGCAACCATACAACAACAACAACTTCGAAGTCAACAACAACCGCGACAGAGCATCTTCTTCCAAAAAAACTCATGACTGGATCAAATCAATCCAAAGAATGAATTACAGCCTCTCGTCCGGATATCTCTTGGCAAACATCCCCAGCGCCTTAATCGTAAAGGTAAACTTGTAGTTGGGATACGAAATCATGCACGACTTGTTGAAGACGCCCTCAATCGCCTCCTGCAGCCACTCGCCGTTGGCCTGCTGCCGGCTCGTAATCAGCCGGATGCCCTTCTTGATCTTGGCCACGTCGGGATAGTCCACCGCCATGAGCCCGATGAGCGCCCAGGCCGTTTGCACCACCTGGGATCCCGACTCGTGCTCGACATATGTCATGGTTTCGCAAGCCTAGGGGGGCAGAAGGCATATGAATTAGCAAAGAGATCCCATACCACATATCACGGAAGCCCGTTTGTAGGGACACATGTACTCACCCGGTAGCTCTCAGACCAACCGCCATCCTCCCGCTGCTTGGAAATCAGGAAATCGCAGCCCGCCCTGGCAATCTGGCTGTTGGCGTACGTCTCTCCAATGGCCGCCATGCTTTGCAGCGCAAACATGCCAGCATATGTGAAGCATATGCCCCAGCTTCCGTACCAGCTGCCGTCGGGCCTCTGGTTCGTCTTGATCCAGTTGGTGGCACGCTTGATGAACAGCTCCACGTCCTTGGTTCGGTAGTCGGGCCAATGCTTGTGGAAGAGTGATAATGCCGTAACGCACGCTGTTGTGCACTCTGGATAGTCGTACTCAATCATGATCCTGCCAAACACCTCGGCGGCATTCAGCATCTCGAGGTATTCGCCACCCCTTCGAGCCTCGTACGACGAGACGCCCCCGTTGTCGTTCTGGTAGAGCAGCAGTGTGTCCACGGCATCAAAGATGCGCCGGTCCTCCAACAGCTGCGGGTAGCCTTCCGTCTTCTGCAGCAGGATGACGGCCTTGAGCGCCTCCGAGATGCAGTCGCTCACGCCGTAGCCCTGATCCCGGTTGCTAAACGGCCAGCCGCCCTTTCGGGGCTGTCGATAGCACTTCTCCTGGTCCTTGCAGTTCTCCCTGATTTGCTGCCTGTCCAAATACTCCAGGGCCTTGACCAGCATGGGCTTCCAGCGTTCTTGGACGTGCAGCCCAGACTCGACAGCCGCAAGGATAGCAAAGGCAGTGTCCCAGCACTGGACGCCGTTTGTGCCATTGCACAGCATTCCTTCATCCTTCACCCATAGATACTCGTCCAGTCTCTCAATGTGCCTCTGCGTGGTGAATGCGTCGGGGCCATCTCGGATATAGCACACAAGCGTGTTCATCGGAGCATTAACCGGCGCCAGGCATGCATACTCGGTGTTGGCATCTTCCATGTCGACGAGCTCGCTGACCCATTTCTCGCCTCTCTCTTTGATAAAGTTGAAGCGGAGATACGGATTGTACACATTCACCAGGACCCAGTTGACTGAGTTGAGCAGCCATGACTTGGGGTGGTAGTTGTCGATGGGCGAGATCCTGTTTCGGTGGCTTGCCCAGTTGATCTCGGCGTGAGGCTGGACGAACAGCTCTTGCTTCAGCTCCCGAGTAATGTCCGTCTCCTCGCAGCTCCATCTTTTCGAGTAGATGTATCCCATGGGCAGAAACACTTGTCGAATATGAATCCACCACCGCCAGGGAGCAATCGGCACCCAGTCGGGCAGCAGCCAGATCTCGGGGGGCACAGGGTTTACAATGTCCCAGTCCACGACGCCCAGCACTGCGAGCCAAAATTTGGCCCAGTGAGGCGCATTGACTGCGCCGCCCATCTTGTGCAGAGTCGCCCTCGCCTTGACCATCACAGGGTCTTCGGCGTCCACTCCAATTAGGCGAAGAACGATGTAGTTCATGGCGGTGCCGAACACAGTGCTCTCGCCTTCGATGTGAAGCCCCCAGCCGCCATCCTCGGGGTGGGCTCGTGCAGTGATGTAGTTCTTGATCTCGGTCGCGTAGGCGTCGGGAATCGGCGTCTTGGTGACGTACCAGGTAATGACGATGCCGCCGAGGAGGAACATGGGGCCGCCGTACTCGCAGCCCCAGTGGCCCGAGGGCAATTGAAGCTTTTCGAAGAAGGTGAGGCCATTCTCAGCAGCCTGAAGCGGTGTTTCGGCTTTCGGAAGGGCAGGCAGGTCCTGGACACCGGCGTATGAGCTTGCGATCTACCACTTCTCTCGATTCCAGGAGGTCGGTCCCAGGGGACAAGGAGAACATACCAATGGCAGGTTCAGATACCACTTCTCTGCATAGCTCTGAGGCCACTCTGCGGCCGCCTTGTCGTCGGCGAGATAGTGCCACGTGTGGCGGCTGTCGTCATCCTTGACTCTCCATCTCGTGAGATCCGTCTTGGCCTCGAGCCTGGGTCGCTTGGGGAAGCTGTCGCCATCGTCAGAGGCGCGCTTGCGAGACCTTGCGCTGCCGTTCCCGACGTCTCGACCGGTTGCTGTCGCCATCTTGGCGATGGCTTGTGTCTGCTGAATGGTCAATTGGCTATCGAGGCCCATTGACAGATTTATAAAAGGAGAGGGGAGAGTCAATGGCTGCTGATTTATTTGTCTCCCCAGTGCTTTCACATGCAATGGGCTGGAGCTTGGCGTTACACGGGAAAGCCTGGCTTGTACCAATTGTACTTTTTTCGCCTGTTCCAGACGCTAAAATGCCCGAAGCGGTACCTGTGCCTGGCGCTGGCAGTGACATCCAGTGGAAGGATCCAGGTCCCCTTTCAGCGCCCGTTTCAGTGGATGCTGGCGCTAAACCTGCCTGATCAACACTTGCAGCGAGTTGTGGGTAATGTTCCTTCCCGTCCAGTCGTCTTCGTATTCGTACCTGTCAGCACCCGCTCGGGTCCTCGACAATTCAACTTGACACTTCGCATTGACTTTACGGACTACACAAGACTCCGACACTGCGACTGTCTTGCTTGTCATCAGGCTTCAGAGCCAATCATGGACAAAACAACAGCCGGCAGCAGATCTCGGGACGGACGACAGGTTATTATCCGGCCAGTGACCGCAACGACATCCGCAGGAACCGTCGTCGCTCGCATCGAGTCCATCTTGGAGGACATTCTGGATTGCCTGGCCGAAGGAAGGGAGCTCAGCATCGACTTTGTCGTGAGCCGCTCCGGTCACAGTCCGCAAAAGGTCCATTTCCCGGGCAGAAATGCTCTGGAAGCCACCAAATTCGGTACGCGCCATTGCTCAAGCGAGTTGTGTCTGCGTTCTGCTTCTTACCTTTGCCTTGTAAATCCGCTCAAGCCCGGATCTTGCTCATCTTGCAGCTCGCCCACGACGCCCTGGTCTCTGGAACAGTCTTGACCAAGCGGTCAGTGCGCTCCAGCTGCCTCAATCGAGTATCCAAATCTTAACGTGACTACCTTGGTGGAATAGGCACATCTTCTACCAGCACCAGGGCCTCTTTTCGAAGCAGAGAACGGTGGATGAGCTGGTGGATAACCTTGCCTTTGCGCTCAATGTCCAACGTGATGACTTGAACATTGTACGTCAAGTGGCGTCTTTGTTGGACTGAACTGATCAGACTAGGTTGCATCCTCGAAAGCGGTCTTCTCAGGTCCTCTCTGCATTTGCCTCCACGACGATACAGTGGTTGGTCCCGCCATTGGAGATGCGGTTCGTATAGCCTGTCTAGCGAGGTGTTTGTCTCTTGCTTCATGTCTGACTGCCCGTCTAGGGAACGCCATTGCCGGCAACTGGATCGATAAAGGCGATCGACTGCGAGAGTATCAAATGGATTCTCGTAGTTGAAAAAGATGTATGTGTCTATTCTTCCGTTCATCTATCTACATGTTGTTGGCTCACCGTGCTCAGGCAATCTTTCGCTCTTTGACATCTCGCTCCTTTTGGCATACGTCTCTCGTTGGCCCAGGGGTGCTCATGACGGCATGTTTTCCCTTCAGTCAATGGATTTATCCCATGGCAGCTAATGCTAGGAGTGCCTATAAAGGCAAAGGGATACCCGGATTTGCTCACGTGCTCCTTCTTGCAGTTGGTCCGATTCAACTGTCCTCAGATTCCAGTCTTTGTCTTGGCCGACTACGACCCCGACGGACTCAATATCCTCCGCTACTATCGCCTCAAATCGGATATCATGTCTCGAGAGAGGAGCCCTACGGCTCCCGATATACGCTGGCTAGGAATCAGATCTCAGGATCTTCTTGAGCTTGAGACCCGTCTTGATCAATCGGCAACGCCATTGCCAATTGACCTACAGCCACCGAATAGCCAATCATCCCAGCAAAGCGCCAGCTCTCGAACCTCCATCTCGTCCACTGAATGCCGTGAACCGATCTCTCCTCTTTCAGTTCGGGATCGTAAGCTCGCCGTTGGCATGTTAGACAAGTTGCGTGAAGCAAGAGATGATCCGGATGCCATTGAGCTCCAGCGTGAGCTTCGGGTTATATTGATGATGAGCATCAAGGCAGAGATTCAGTGGCTTGACGAAGCAGGCAATCTCACAGAGTGGCTCGATGTTAAGCTTGGGCAGATGCTTTTGGAATCTTGACGACGCGGTGTACAAGTGAACGAGGTTGGGCTACCCTAGACTCGGACATCAAGCACAGTGCAGAAATCGCGGGGCAAACACCTCGCACAGTCCCCTCCACCCAGAAGAAGATGTGCCAAAATTTTATACAAGCATTTTCGCAAACAAAGACGAGTAAGAGCTCACTGCATCACCATGGCGCCAAATCTCACAGAAGACGAAATCGACGACGTGATTTACTTTGCCAGAGTAGGAGAGAATGAAGATCTGGTAGAGACCCTGAAGACGCTGTCAGAGCGCGAGAAGGTGTCACCGGCCGAGATCCTGTTGGCCGCCAAGGATGAGGGCAAGTCCACGGCTTTACACATGGCGGCGGGCAATGGACATTTAGGTAAGAAGGAGAATGCGATGGTCTCTGAGGGGCGAGCGAGCAGGGCGGTTGCTGGTTCAATCATGAGGGTACATACGGAACAAGACTGACGAAGCCATCCAGAGACGGTCCGCAAACTCATCCAGTACTTTGATGAGAGACCGCATGAGGAGAAGCAGACCTTCCTGGACGACGCCAATGAGCACGGAAACACGGGCCTTCACTGGGCGGCCCTCGGCGGCCACCTGGACGTGGTCAAGCTCCTGATGGAGCACGGCGCCCTGCCGGCGCTGGCCAACGAGCGCAACTATGTGCCCCTCGACCTGGCAAACTTCAACGACCACAAGGATGTGGCACAGCACTTTTTGGCGTCGGCGGGGATGTTGGAGGAGAAGAATCAGGAGAGCGGGCTGAATGGGGCCGTTGAGAGGGTGAAGCTCGAGGATGGGGAGGGTGCTGAGGAGGAGAAGGCTGAGGCATCATGAGGCTGGCGGGTGTGATGTTGAAGCAGATGGGATGGGAGTTGAACACATTAAGTGACAATGCGTGGGCTGTCATGGCAAGAGCTTATGAGGCCTTGTGACGGATGAAGATACCATATATGAATTATTTGAGGGTTGTCAAAGTACATCATGTCGGTCCGGATAGATCCAAAGAGCAATATACTCCTGATTCACGGTTTGATCTTGTGGCTTATGAACATCAACTGTACAGTTCTGGTTCATGTTGGCTTCTTACCATCTGTGTCTTTGAAGCTGTGGTATATTATCTAGAAAAATGTGAGAAGAGTCGCTTCTGATGAGATGGTCGATTCTCCTTGGTGACTATCTCGGACTACCGTCTGGTTGGGTATACCAGGCGGCTAACCTGCATCCAGGCAGGCATGACTGATGAGTGAGTGAAGGAAGAGCACATTTTATCGGTAACGTCATGGAGTCTCGTAAGGGAACCCCTCTTGGATGGAATGATGATTCGAGCACGGAGCATCCATTCGTACGTGTGACCGCATAGAGGCAAAGCTCGTGATAACGATGGAAAACCGACACCTACTAAGATAGGGCGCCAAGGCACATTTAAACAGCGCAGCTACTAGTAGTTCCTAAGAGGCAACCATTACTACGTAGCATAGATGGGCTACTGAAAGAGAAAGAAAGAGTGCGTATCAATGGTCGATATTCCAAAGTACTAAGAAAAGAGGGATATCGACCGCCGTTGTCCCGTTTCTCAGAACGAAATGGCTGTCTGGCTGGCAAGCAATGACCCCCACCAAAGCGATAAGAGGGTCCAAGTTCCCCGGAAATTCAGCGGCTTATCTGCCAAGTGGCGGCACCCAACATCAGCCAAAAACCACACGAGATTCTCCCCCCTTCTCCCCCCAACCAGCCTTGGTGGGGGTCACCCCGGATATGATTTGAACGTGGGACTGAATCTTCCCCAGCTCGTCCCCGCGGAACGGAAAAGGACCCCCTTGAGAGCAGCTCCTCGAGTGGTCGGTCCATCGACAAAACGATCCAGGTGGGAAAAAGTGCCCGATGCGGACTGCGGATTCGGCTGGGGTTCGCTGCACTGCACACCGAGAGGCGACGCGAGACTGCCGCAGCACAACCCGCACAACTACTCTCTCCCCCCATGCACTCTGCCTTCATCGACGGGGGCCAGCGATGAATATATGACCTGGATGGAGTCGCCACAGACCGCGAGCGCGGGTGTCCTGACGACGAGGACGACGACGACTCGCACGGGCTCGGGATCCAGCGCCAGCACAGGCACAGGCACAGGCACAGGCACAGGGTCAGGCTCAGGCGCCGCAGCCTCGGGGTACAAGCGCGCCAGCAGAAAGGGCGCGCCGCGGAGGTTCGTCTGCGACCATGCCGGCTGCGACAAGATCTATTCGCGAGCCGAGCACCTGCAGCGCCATCAGCTGAACCGTACGGAAGCTTCCCCCCCCCTTGGCCCTGCATATGTGAATTGGCTGCATCATGCTGTCGAGGTGTTGACCTGACTTGTACTGACCCGGCCCTCCCAGACAACCCAAAGGAGATATACCGATGCGACGTGGGCGACTGCGACCAAAAGTTTGTGCGCCTCGACCTGCTGTCGCGCCACAAGAAGCGGCACACGGCCTCGTACACGCCTCGGAACCGAATCCCGAGCTTCGACACCGGCGACGCCATCAAGACGTCCGACCGCCACAGCATCGCCTTTCAGCATCACCAGTCGTCGTACGGCCAGCCGCCCGGGCCCGGGACGGGAGCAGCAGCAGGAGCAGGAGCAGGAACTGGAACTGGAGCAGGAATTGGAGCAGGGACTGGAGCCAGCGGCGGGCCTCACGATGCCGCCATCCTGCTGACGCCCGAGTCCAACACGGCCTCTACTCCCGCGCCGCTGAACCACGGGCTGGCGAGCCGGGCGGGCCATCAGGCGGCGACTTGGGCGCCCTCGCTCGACGACCGCTCCAACGACGTGATGCGACACAGGAACAGCTTCTACACGACCGATCCGACGACGCTGCCAGATCCCTCGGGCATGGTGGGCTTCGGCGCGGTCGGGTATCCCTCCGACGACTCCCTGACGCAGGGCAACTTTGCCGCATGGCTCTTCGACCCCCAGACCACGTACAATGAGTTTAGCATGGCCAGCCTTCCCTTCTTGGAGGGCGGCCTGGAGTCGACGTTCAACAACAACATCCACTACGACTACGAATCCCTCAACAGCCTGTCACCCATGGATCAGCCGCACCGGCTGTCCGAGGCATCTTCCGACGACTGGATCACCGAATCGCGGCGCCAGGAGCTACTGCACTGGTTCCAGACGTTCCGGAAGAAGCAGCCGAGATATGAGCCGCTGATGCCGAACCTGGTCCATGAAAGCGGCGGGGACATGCCGGCGCTGAATCTCGACATGATGCGGGACTGTCTCAAGGAGTTCTGGGACAATGTCTCGCCTCGGCTGCCCATCATCCACCAACACACCTTTTCTCCGAACCGATGCCATGTGCTGCTCCTCCTCGTCATGCTGTCGCTCGGCGCCGCGTCGCTGCGCAGCCGTGACGTGACGGGGCAGCTCTCCGAGTATGGCGCGTTTGCCGACGTCATCATCTTCTGCGTGCGATGGGAGATATTGACCTCTGACGACTCGGCACCGCCCGCCAGCCTCTGGGTCTTGCAGGCCCTCCTGCTGCTGGAATTCTACGAGAAGCTGTACTCTTCGCGAAAGTTCCACGAGAGGGCGCACATCTACCATCCTGCCTTCTTGACGCTGCTCAGGCGCGGCAGTCCGCTGATTGGAAGGACCGGCAGCGAGTCGCCCCCCGAGCCGGACACCCTGGGCCCCGACCGGCAGACGCCCAACATGGCGCTGGACTCGCGGACGTGGTGGGCTCGATGGGCCGAGACGGAGTCGATGCACCGCGTCGTCTTCGCGGCCTTTATGCTCGACGTGATCCACGCCGCCATGTTCGGGCACGCGGCCGACATGGCGCCTCACGAGATCCGGCTGCCGCTGCCGTGCGACGACAACCTGTGGGCGGCCAACAGCCCGGACGTGGTGCGGCAGCTGGACGCCAACTTCCGCATGTACGGGGTGAAGCAGGTGTCGTTCCTGGACGGGCTCAAGAGCGCGCTGCACGGCAAGGAGGTCAAGACGCACTCGTTTGGGCGCATGATTATCATCTCGGGCCTGCTGAGCGTGGGCTGGCACCTGAACCACCGCGAGACGCACCTCAAGTGGCTGGACATACACACGCCGGCCATGGAGACGCAGGACAGCTGGCGCAAGATGGTGCTGCGGGCCTTTGACAACTGGAAGGCCACCTTTGACGTGGCCATGTCCGACACCATCTCGGACGCGCCCGGCCACCGCGGGATCCCCAACGGGCCCATCAACAGCGCGTCGGTGCTGTACCACCTGGCGCACATCAGCCTGCACGCCGACATTGTCGACTGCCAGGTCTACGCGGGGGCCAAGCGGCTGCTGGGCCGCAAGGTGTCGTCGCGCGACTACGCCAACGTCATCAAGCGCATGAGCGCGTGGTCCAGCCAGGCGTCGACGCGGCACGCCATCCTGCACGCCTTTAAGCTGCTGCACCGCGTCGTCGTCGACCCTCACCCGCGGCGCCGCAACAGCCCGCACCATAACCACCACCATAACCACCATAACCATAACCATCACCATCAGCAACATCAGCACCAGCACCCGCACCCGCACCACCCGACGACGGAGCATCACCACGCCGCCGCCGCCGCCGTGCAGTACTCGGTGCGCAACGAGCCGGACCCGCACCGGCCGTGGATCATGTACTACGCCGTGCTGTCCATCTGGGCCTTTGTGCAGGCGCTGGGGCGGCCGCCGGGCAAAGGGTTCCCGCTGCCGACGTCGCAGCTGGGGCACAGCAGCTACGCGCGCATGGTCGAGTACGTGTCGAGCGTGGCGGCGCTGCCGGAGCTGGACGAGCGGGCGTCGGCGGCGCTGCACGAGGGCCTGCCCGATCTGCTGGACGTCATGGTGGACATTCTCGAGGAGGCGGATGCGGAGCTGCTGGTGGAGGCGCGGGAACGGCTCAAGGTGTGCAAGGAGATGCTCCTGGGGGGGATCCCACGGCCGGGGATTTGAATTCGATGAGTGGAAGAGGCGCGTGTGTGTATGTGTATGTGTATGTGTGGTGTTTCTCCCCGTGTGGGTGTAACTTTTCATTGTTGGAGTAGGTAGGTATGCTTTGGGGGAGGAGGGTTTCTGCTTTCACTTGGGAGTTTTCTGCTAGGCACACTGGATTGCCCTGGGGTGTTTTTTTTCTCGTCGATATTGATTTTGTTACTAGAACTGGATGGTGGGCAGGATCACGATAGCTGCGTTGAATGATGTTCATGAAAAGGACACGCGTTATGATATGAAGATGCGATGCAATCGACAGACGGAATGTTTGCTATATCTTGTCGTATCCTCCATCTTAAGTCTATCTATCTATATCTCTGGGGAACTGTTGCCCACAACGCTTCGTCATGATGCATCTGACTGTATAACCAACGCTTGTAAAAGAAGAGGCCACCAAACGCCATGTGCCAAGTTTATACATCTGTCCAAGAACAAAAGACAGACCAAAGAATAATAGACAATAAAAGCAAAAAGATGATATAAGGCAGTAATAGACAACAGAATGAAGACAAAGAATAAATGCTTCCAGGTGTTTGTACAGAAATCCGTCTCTTTCGAGCCAAGTGTACAAGATGCATCGGGTATCATCACCACCCACAACGACATCAGAGCCTCGCCTCATATCGCCTGCCAGCCCTGGCCCTGGGGCAAACTGATGGCCTTTGTCGGGGCAATCTCAGCAGCCTGTTCGCCGGGCTCCAGCTCGCCCTTCATCTGCTCCTCGCTCTTCTCAATCTTGTCCGTCGTCGACTCGCCGCCGCCGACCTGCTCCTGCGGCTCCTCGCCCAAGCCAATGGTATCGATCCAGACCCAGTGATCGACGAGGCCAGTGCCGCTCCTATCGAGAATGGCCTTGTCGTCGTCAAGCCCATCATCCGTAGTCACGAGATGCTCGCTAGAGTGCTTCTTCTTCTCTGCCAGGTCCAGCTTATCAACATAGCCGCCATCAACAAGATCCCCGATCCAGGTCCGCGCGACGGGAACCCCATTCGCCCGCAGCAGCTGCAGCTGCGCCCGAAGGTTCAGCCGCAGCGCGCGCTCGGGCTCGACGGCGTTGAAGATCTTCTTGGTCAGCAGCGGGAAGAGGATGCCAAAGTCGGACTGGCTCAGGTGGGCGGAGCTGGCGACGTAAAACAGGTTGGGCTCGGGCAGCTTGTTGCCGCTGGGCCGCTCGAAGATGGCCGGCGTCACGACCTTGGACGACGGATCGGGCGACAGCAGCCGCGCCGTGGCGCGCAGATGCTCGGACCACTTGAAGAAGGCCTCGGACTCGACGGCCAGCAGCGCGGTGCCGCCGGGGGCGGAGGCGACGTCGGCGTAGACGGGGAGCGGGAGCTTGTACAGCGGCGCCGAGTTGGGGGCCAGCAGGGGCAGGCACCACATGTCCAGCAGCATGGTGACGTTCTTCTCCGTTACTTGCTTCCGGATGCTGCTGTCCTCGGCAGGGGTGAACAGCGGCTTCTCCATGGCGGCAATCTCAGGGACGTCGGCGTAGTAGGTGCTCTTGAGGAACTGGTACACGGTGGTGGCGCCGAAGCTGTGGCCGGCAAAGATGATGCTGCCGGGCTCGTGGACGTGCAGGCGGCCGGTGAACTGGCTGAGGCTCGTGGTGGACGTGTTGAGGTTGTTGAGCTTTTGGCCGGCGTCCATGGCCAGGATGGCCTCGTGCACCAGCCCCAGCTCCCATAATCTGATCCTCAGCTGCGCTTCTCTGGCCTCGTACACCTCGGGCGAGACGTCATGCGAGATGCGGTTGTACGGGATGATTCTCCGGGACTGGCGGCCGGACTGTCCGGGGACGCGGACAAACGAGGTGACGGCGCTGCCGTCTCGGTGCTCGGGGCAAAAGACGACGACTCCGTGGGACGCCAGCGATCCGGCGACGTACGAGTACGAGTTACGGCTGCCTCCGAGGCCGTGGGAGAAGATCATCGTGGGCCATCGCCGGTTGTCGGTGGTTGCGGATTCAAGAGTGGCGTTTTTGTGAGCGGGAATGGAGGTGTAGTGAAGATGTCGGGGAAGGAATCTGTTTGTCACAATCGGGTGAGTGAGCAAAAGATGTCATCACAGCAGGAAATGTCATGGCCAGGTTGATTCAGGCAGGACTTACGAGAGAAGTTCGGCCAGTGTGTGTCCGACGCCCATGAACTTGGTGTAAGCCGAGACATAGTGTCTCTGCGGCGCCGGCAGCCAGCTGATGAGCTTCTCGGCGGACGAGGCAACGGCGGGATAAAAGACGCGGAACAGCACCGTCTCGACGTCGCCGGCGTTGTCGGGTCGCGGAGCGGGATGCGGGAGGTCGGACACGGGGATCTCGACGTCGATGGTGCCGACCTTGTAGGGGCCGGTGTACTCGGGGAAGGCTGGGACGGGATTCAGCCGCGAGAGATAGGCCGATAGCCTGGACGCCTGGGGTTCTGAGGCGTTGATCATGGTGGTGGTGGTGGTGGTGGTGATGCGTCCACGATGGGTGAAGGTCTCGAGGTGGATGAAGAGGTGATGATGACCTGATCACCAAGTCGGGATGAAGCAGAGAGGCGAGATGGTGTTGAGGAGGGACGAGGGAGAAGGACGAAGGTCCAAGGCAGAAGGAAGAGGTGATTAAGGTATAAAGTAAGAAGATAACAAAGAATAAAGACTAAGAATTGTTCTAGAAGAAATTACAAAAGGCAAAGAGGCCTGGAAGTTGCAAGTCCAGATGGATGGAAGAACCCAGAGCTAGGGGAGCCGGGCAATTAATATGGATCAACGAGGACGAGTGAGATGTTGATAATTGCTTGCTTGCTTGTTGAGACTTGAGAGGTACATAGGCAGGGGCAAGATCGGAAATGGAGAAAAAAAAGGAAGAAGAGGAAGAATGAATTGATTCTGTTTTGTTCGTGCAAAGGCATAAATCTCATACGACCCTAAATAAATGGTCTCAAGAATTCTAATAATAAACCGGGCGTCGGATACGCGAGATGCCAAGGTTCTGATGAAGATACTTTTTCTTCTGCAGTGACGCAAGCCCCCTATTGAGAACGTCATGAAGTGAATGCGCATTAGATAAGCAATCACAAGCCAAAGAGAAAAGAGCAGCGGACTGAGAAAAAGGTACAAGTGTAATGGAAGAGGCGAACCATGGAGATGGTTGGACTAAGACGGCACCGTTCGGGGGCTTTGTCACGCGACTCCTTTTTCAATGTTTGATTGATTGATGTGTTTACAATGGCGGTAAAAGAAGACACATCTAAGGGGCTCCTCCAGTCCTGCTGCACCGGCGTAGAAACAGAGGCAATACAGGAACCCGAATTTGCAGGCGAAGGAGATGGAAACTCGACCAGAATTTACACGTCGGCTGTGGTGTGGAGCTGATGCTGGACAGGCTAAGCCACTTCCGCGACCGAGGCTGATGCTTTCTGAGCAGAGATGAATCTTGATGCCTGTGTCTGGTTGCTTTATCGGGACAAGCAAAGAGACGGGCATGCCGTAATAGAGGAGCTGAAAGAAATGGATGGAAAAGGAGGGCGGTGATGCTGCTGGGGGGAGTGAGGTTGAAGTGGTTGTAAGACGCTGTCCCGTTCTTATACTCTATTAGGTAGGTATTGGGACGCTGCCTCTCTCGTGTGTCACAGAGGATGGGTTAAGTACAAGATCTGGTGAGAAGGTCCCCCTTGCTTCCGTTGGGCTATGTAATGTTCCAAAGAATTGCCGTTTTGGGGCATGAACCTGTTGTCGGCTTGCCTGGATTTGTTTCACATGAAAGCTGCCTTTTAGACCATCTTCTTGTCAGGTTGAGCATTATCCTGAGGAGATGCCAGTTAGTCATCCGCACCTGTTGATTCTGCCAACCCATTGGACACCGTCACCGCCTTCATCTCTCCGTCTTGTCAGTCAGCATCTTCTGTTGTTGCTCCGAAGTCCATTCCATCACCACCAACTGACATGAACACTGCTTCATCACCAACCGCCTCCTCTTCCTCCTCCTCCTCCTCCTCCATTTGGCTGTTGCTCTCCAACAACCACCTGTCAGCAGCCGGACCAGCCGGAGTCGCTCCCGACCAGTCGACTCCAAACAGCGCAGACAAACTGGCCAAATCATCCCTGACGCCTAGTACTACATAGACAGCTGGGCTGTTGCTGTTGCTACACCACCTTTCCAGCCGTTGCCTGCCATACGTGTTCGCAGCCTTCGCGGTCCACGTCTCTCACCTGCATCGACTGAAGAATATTGGCCCCAACAGCTCGCAGCGACTCAAACCCGATTTGCTGCCTGCCAACCAATGGGGCGGCATTGCCTTTGAGTGCACGCTTGGGCTTCAGCTGGACTTAGCCCAATGGCCGGTTTCGTGCCTGAGTCCGATAACTCCGCCCTTTGCGTGACAAGTCCGGGAGTCGTATTTGTTGGTTTTGCTGTTGCTCTGGAAGTTGTCCACCGATGCGCTGTGATTCCTCACATGTTGATTTGTTTCCAGTCATTGCTCTTAGCTAACAGCTCAGACTCGGACCCCGTGTGTATATATAGGCTGATTGTTTGCCATTGTATCCTCTCGACACTTTCATCCAGAGTCAACCCATAGCTCGCCATCCATAAATCTCCATCACCTCCAAAAATGGCCACCGTCAACCAAGCAGCCCAGACGCTCAAAGCCCTCCACAAGCCCGGATCCCCCCTCGTCCTCTCCAACATCTGGGACACCTCCTCCCTCAACGCCATCGTCTCCCTCAACTCAGAATCCTCCAAGCCCGTCAAGGCGCTAGCAACAGCCTCATGGGCCATTGCCGCCTCCCTCGGCATCAAGGATGAAGAGCTCACCATGTTTCAGAACCTCGAGGCCATCTCCCACCTCGCTCCCCTCGCAGAAAAGGCCGGTCTTCCCCTGTCGGTCGACCTGCAGGACGGCTACGGAGACTACATCATTGCTGCCGTCACGGCGGCCGTGGAGTACGGCGCTGCGGGCGCCAACATTGAGGACAGCATTCCGTCGGCCGGCTTCGGCAAGGGCATCGACGGCTCTCTCTACAAGCTCGATGATCAGGTCGCTCGGCTCAAGCGTGCCTTTGACGCCGCCAAGGCTGCCGGTGCGCCGGACTTTGTCGTCAATGCTCGGTGTGACGTTTTCCGGCTAGAGGATTCTGCGTTGAGCCACGAGGCTCGCCTAGCCGAGGCCATCAGGCGCGGCAAAGCATATCTCGAGGTTGGTGCCACCACCATCTTCTTTTGGGGCGGGCCTGGACAGGGCTTGAGCAGCGAGACTGTCAAGACGCTGGTCAAGGAGCTGGACGGAAAGGTCGCTGTCATACTGTCTAGACAACCGGGGGGTCTCACCACGAGTGAGCTTGCTGGTCTGGGGGTTGCGAGGATCAGCGTCGGGCCGAGTCTGTACATTGCTGCGCTGGAAGCCATCAAGTCCAAGGCTTTGCAGATGTACTCGGGAGGTGGCCTGGCATGAGTCTTGAAGAAGCATAGGTAGCACAGAGAGTGGCCTGGTGAGTTGGAGCTTGTCAAAGTCCAGCCTGCTATTACCCTTATGCATCTCGAAGCATATGAAATCAAAAATAATAATCCGCAATTGGCTTCTGCCGCTCCATCGCTGCTTGAGAGAAGAATCTTGAGATGCCTACAGTATGCTTAGGGTTAGCCTTGATATCTCGATTAGACTTTAAGGCGACAGTTACGCCTTCAATGGGCCAAGATGGCTGCCACGTTGTGATGTGCTGTTTAGAGAGTTCTACACGACTCACGAAGAACAAAGACAGCCAATCATTGACTCTCAAAACTGCCTTCAAGACACCATCTTTCACTTTGTTGGCTCTAGGCAGGACAGCCCTCGCCATGTATGCTGGCACAGCCCTGGCACGGCTTGAAGTCAATCATCAATTACCTTCAGCCCTGTTTCTCTCCAAGCCCCTTAAATTTGCGTTTTTCAAAATTGAGATTGTGTGGCATGGCTCGCAAGGCGAGGGACGTGGCGCAGTATAAAAGGCGCTTCTCTCCCCCCCTGAGAGGCAGAGAGAAAACAAAATCAACTCTACCCACTACATACTCTGCACTTCTTGCTCTCACCAGACGCTCGAACAATTTCAAAAGCCGAACATTCTCACCCTTGTCTCATACAAATTCTTCCACCTGATTCTTCTTCTTCTCTTCTGCAGTCTTCAGTCATTTATTTCTTCAAAATGAAGCAGTTCACCAGCAACTTTGTCGGGATGCTCCCCGCCCTGGCCATCCTCCAGGCCCCCCTTTGCCTCGCCCTGGCCATAGAGCAGCAGCCCGTCTCCTCCGTCGTGCCTCGCGGCGACTACAGCGAGAAAAACTTTGAATACCTCAGAGTCCAACAAAAGACCGGCCTCAACCCTTACTACTTTTTGGAAAAGCCGGCCCTGTCTCTGCCTCGCGTCTCCGTCTGCCTTCCTGTAAGTTGCATCTTTCCATGTCCGCATCACTTCACTTCCAGCAAAACCGCAGTTTTCTCTTCTAACCAGATACTCTCTTTTTTTTGCAGCGCGAGTTTGGCGAACCCCACGTCGACGGCTGCAACATTGCCTTTGACAACATCCCCAACCTCAAGGACAAGAACGGCAACTTCGCCGTCAAACCAGGCCAGTGCCGCGCCATCAACGCCCAGTGCTGCCAAGTCACAATCTGCGCGCCTCGCCTCCTCAACCTGCTCGTCCCTGCCACGGAGGTGCACCTCCAGGTGACCAAGTCGGCGGCCAACTGCACCGCCCAGCACCTCGGCAGCATCTACATGGACAACGGCTGGGACTACCTGATTATGGTGCACAAGCCAAAGGATCCGCAGTGCTGGCCGGATGATGGCAAGATGGCGAAGCGCGGGATGGATGAGCTGAAGCCGGAGGAGCTCCCGCTGCCGTTTCTGGATGGGTGGTTGATTATTTGATATATTAGGAGGTACTGGGGAGATTTCTGGAGGAGGAGTTTGGATGGGGTTTGTCTGCTTGTGGTTTTGATGGATGGGTGAATTTGGATTTGTTTTTGGTTGCTTGTTTCGGCTTGTAGATACCCGGGTTGTGATTGATTATTGTTGGGCTTAGATCAAGGGACTTTGTCAGGGTAATCAATGGATAGTTTCACTGGTGATTCAAGATGATGGCTGTCATAAAGTATCTGGTGCATCTACTCAGGGGGCCGAGCAATAACAACATCCGCCTCCCCCTCCAGCATGATCCCCCCATCCTCATACGGAACCACCACCGTACTCCCCCTCGTCAAGCTCAACACCTCCCCAGCCTCCGTCCTCAACACCACTTCCCCCTCAAGAACAACCACAACCGCAAACCCCCGTCGACAGCTACTCCTATCCTTCACAAGCACCCTCTCCAACCGAAAATACCCCCTCGACTCCTCCGCACACACACTCTCCGCAACCCGCGGCCCCGTAACAAGCCTCATCACCTCCTCCCTCGTCCTCCTCTTCATCTCAACAGCCGTAAGCGCAGTCTCAAACCCAACCCCCAAATGGCCCTCCTTTGCACCATCAATCTCGAAGCCGCTCCATTCACACAAGATAGACATGTCCGACGGCTCCTGCACCTCAACAACCATGATGCCCTCGCCAATCGAGTGCAGAACCCCCGGGGGAACATACACCGTCTGATGCGGCTCAACATCAATTCTATGCATCCTCTCCAAAAGCTCCATTCCCCCTCGTCCCTCACGCACAATACCCAGCAACTCCTCCGGATCGATATCCTCCTTCAGACCTAACCACACCGATCCAGGCGTGAGGATATACCACGCCTCCGCCTTGCCGTGCTTCTCGCGCAGATGCTTCGCCGCCCAGTCGACGTGCGGATGCGCATGCACGGGTAATCTCTGGCCTGCATCGAGCAGCTTCACGAGGAGCTTCGTGTCACTCCCATACTTGGCGACGTGCGCCGGCCCAAGCCACTTCTCCGGCTCCGACGATACAGCGTCGCGGAGGAGAGTTCCGGAAGGGAGGCGAGTGAGGCCGATGTTGGAGGATGATGCCTGGCCGGCGCTGCAGCAGGTGGTTGAGGCGATCCAGTCTTCGGGCTCGTGGGTGGCGCTGCTGGGATGCGAGCGGAAGGCGGCGATTTGGGGGCCGCCGGCGTAGAAGCGGTTGGGGGGCTGGTTTGCGGGGAGGATAATGGGGGGCATTTTTTATGTGGTTTTTTCCTTCTCTGTGTATGTATCTGTGTTTGTGTGTAGTATAGAGATTGATGTTATTGAGGCTCAACAGACGTGTAAGAAAAAGGGGTGATGAAGGAGGTGAAATCGATGGGTTATGAGCACAACCTCAGTCCCGTTATATAGACTCTGATAGTTGGAGCTTCATCTACGATCCCCCGTGCGGGGAACCCCACGAAGAGAGAGAGAGAGAGAGAGAGTATTATACTCAACTCTCTTCTCTAGCTTTGCTTCGAGAACAGACGCCACGACTAGACGGCGCGTCAGCAACAGACAAATTAATCACGATTTGGAGCCTTGATATTTCATTCACATTCTTCTTACCTCCATCACACATTGACTGACTACATGAATCATTCTAAAAGACAGTTCAAAGAGAAATCAAGAAGCAAAGAAATCACCTTGTGATTCAGTTGAATTCAAAACCTCATCACCCCCCAAGGTCCTCTGATACTAGTTGGCAGGATGCAGCAGAACTTGGGGTAAGCCATCACCAACTCCACAGACTTTGAGCCTTTTAGCCGTCGTCCATCGCTAGAACGGGCAAAGAAGATCCTAGGCTAACAGTTAAATTCGTCTTGGCTGTGATAAGTCTGTTGTGAGTGTGTTGCAAATTCAATAAAGAGAGAAAAGGAATAAGAACAAATAAGCGATAGAAGAATTTGTGTCATTCAACATTAGACATCATGATTAAAAAAGTGCTATGAATCTTCCCGCTATGATATGATACACTATGTCATACATGGTATATTCCAACCAACCCCCCCAAATATCCAGACATTCTTTCAGTCTTTTGGAATATAATTCAGTCGTAAAATTGAGCACTGCTCAATTGGACGATCCGTCATCTACTACAGATGCATTGCACCAGCTTATTTCTCATCCTCGTGAGCGTGCTCTCGCACATCGTTGGTCTGCGTCTCCCTCATCTCGTCTCGGAACTGGGCGGCGTTCCATCGGCTCGACGTAATGGGGTTGACGTGCTGGACGTACATGGTGTCAATCTCCTCGAGCGTGCGGTCCTTGGACTCGATCAGGAAGAAGAAGACGATGACGACGAGGGCGGCACAGCATCCGGCGAAAATGAGGCCGTAGAAGTAGTCGATCTTGTCGGTGATGAATCGAGTGCTAAATCACATCCGTTAGTCAGATGCCGCGATTGCATTGCCAGGTAATTTCTTATCAGCAAGACTTACAAGAAGGAGATGAGGAAGTTCCAGAACCAGTTGGAGGCAGTGGCAATGCCCATGCAGAAGCTTCGGTAGCGGATGGGGTACAGCTCGGCGTTGACAGTCCAGACCAGGGGTCCCCAACTGACGGCGAAGGCGGCAATGGCCAGGCAAGAGAAGGTGACCAGGGCGGATCCAGCCTTGGGGGTGAGCATGGGGTTCTCGTGGTCGAGAGCAAAGTGACCGACAAAGGCGTAGACACTATCAAGACCTGTTACTACCTTGTTCCACCATTTGAAAGAAAGGGGGAGAAGTGGGACTTACAGGAAGCACATCATCATCCAGGAGGCACCAGCCATGAGAATGACACGTCGGCCAAATCGGTCAATGATGAAGAGACCGATGATGGTGGCAAACACGTTGACCGATCCGAGGATAATCTGCGTGACATAGCTGTTGCTGATGCCAGTGGCAGCGAAGACGGTCGTGCCAAAGTAGAAGAAGAAGTTGGCGCCAGTGAGCTGCTGGCCGGCCTGGAGAACGACACCGAGGACCGTACGGTAGAACATGCGAGGGCCGGTGAAGATCTCGGTCCAGCTGAACGCGGCCGTGTTCTCGCTCTCCTCGTCAATCTTGGCCTGGATGTCGGCGATCTGGTTGTTGACAATGTCCGAGTCGGTGGAGAGGCCATGGAGACGGGCAATCGTCTGGCGAGCCTCATCGACGCGGCCGCGGCTGTAGGCAAACCGGGGGCTTTCGGGGAGGAACAGGATGCCAGCACCGAGGACCAGGGCCCAAGCAAAGGTGAGGCCGTTGGGGATTCTCCATGCGGCGCTGTTGGGCCTGGTCTCGGTTCCCCAGTTGACCATCTCGGCCGTCCAGATACCCATGGTAATGAGCAGCTGGTACGACGAGACGATGACACCGCGGATGACGGCAGGGGTACTCTCTGACTGGTACATGGGGACGACGACGGAGAGGGCACCGATGCTCAGACCAGTGACGAGACGGCCAACGGCAAACTGAACCCAGTGGGTCGACGAGGAGATCTCGATAATGGTTCCGACACAGGCGAAGAAGGCGAACATGGAGATGGACAGGCGACGGCCGACGGTGTCTGCCATCTTGCCGGCAACTAGGGAGCCAATGAGGGCTCCCACGCAGAGGAGACCGACGATGGTGCCCTGGCGGGCAGCGCTGAAGTCGTATGATCCATCACTCTGCAGCTCTCCGAAGCGGCGGGCATAGTCCTTCATCAAGAAGAAACCCGAGATCTGACCACTAATAAAGCGGGAAGCATTGTCAGATATGACGAACCAATGTGAAGATAAAAGATAGATACGGAGGTGTGTTTTGAGGGCCTACCTGACATAGCCAAAGATGAAGCCTCCAATGGCGGCAATGGCTCCCAGGGCACAGGCAAGGAGGGTGACTCTCTCCTGCTGCGAGGGAGTCGTCTCAGAGCCTCCACTGCTGGGCGAGGGATCCCTCTTGGGCTCCTGCGCAGGAGCATCGGCTTTTTTGTTCAAGAATCCCATGATTGTTTGTGCTGCAACTCTCTCATGCAAGTTGCAACTGGTGGATGTGATGAGGAGGGTTGGTCACAATCAATGGGGAGGAGAAATTGGGAGATGAGACTGGAGAATCCGGAGAAACAGCGTCTGGGCTGATAGATAAAGTCTTTGCAAGCTAATGGCTGCAATGCTACTGGAACTTGGAATGCACAAGGTATTACTCGTATGTGAGGGCATGGCAATAGGGATAGTCCCACAGCGAGATATAAAAGCCTGCTTGCGCTCGCGTCCATCTCGGTGTCTTTGCGGGCCGCTGGAGCAGCGACTTCAAACCCATCGTGGTCCCGTGGTGTCTAGTTGTACATCACCAGACGGGAGAGACGAGAAGAAGTCTCGAGCAGATCCTCCTGAGGCCCATTCCGGTGGCCCATCTGCTGTTCAAGTACGAAGTACCGTTACCATCATGAGGCTGAGTTCGGGGAAACTCGTCGGAGATACTCGTCGTACGGGCCCCATCACGCCGAGTCATACCCGTCCTGGGTTCCTGTCTCGAGACGGTTCCACATGCTCTGGCACACTGTACGCCGGAATGTCCGGTCAAGCCACTGCCGAAGCCCATCTGGCCCATCTGCCGCTTCCGGATCGCTGTCAAAGGGCGACCGGCCCCTGTCAGAACTGACGTGCCGTTCCCACTCGCCGTTCCACTCTTGAGCCCACTTTGGCCTGCATCTCGGAGCATTTTTTCTTCAACACGCAATGCCGTATTATTGCCTGGGCCCTCGATATCAGTGGTAACGTGATGCTTCACTCATTTCGGCGACGACCTGTGCTGCAAAATTTTCCTGCTCGGCCCACGATGTTCGCGGCGTCGTCTGATGTTGCCCCCCATCCCTTGGAGCTCCGCGGATGGGGGGGAGGTTATGTTGGGAGGAAGAAGACATTGGAAGCATTTTCTCTCCTCACTGTGTGTCCGCTGACGGCCAGCTGTAGCAAAGTCACATTATCTCGTATCCCTGAACTTGGAGGCGTCAATGCAGATTCAGAGGCAATCATTCAGTTCTGCAAGCGTCATGCCTAGCAGGTTCCGTGTTCAGAGGATGAAGATGGACGGTGATATCGTCGACCAGTCCGGCAGATGGCCGCCGCCTTCAAGTGCCGGAAACCGTCGATCGTGGCTGTGGTAGCTCTGCAGCTGTCAGGGTCAGCGTAGTAACACCGAGAAGACCAACGGCAGACGGGCGACGAACCCATCAGATAACGGAGTGCATGGCGGTGATGGTGATGTGATCGGCCAGGGGGTTTTCCGCTGATCCGAGTCAAGCCAGATTGTGCATGAATCACTGGCGGAACATGAGAAACATCAAAAACAATCCTTCTGGAATGCTGACTAACGCGGCAGGTGAGCGGTTCAGGAATAGCTCCGATCCGGCAGATGGTAATGTCCGATGATGTCATTGATAAGCTGCTGGGTTGGGTTCGAGATTTGGACGGAAACAGAGAAAAATCGTCACGTGTCATCAATACTAGGCGTTACTCAGATGGATGAATTTGGAGCAATTGAGGTGTCTGGCCCGGTTATATATGAATATTTCCATGTGCAGTCGTCTCCAACGATTGGCAGTGTTGATTTACTAGTACCTAGTTTGTCAGTTAGATTCGGACATTTTGTTGCCGTGTTCCGAGATGCTCTCCCTTAAGGTAGGTACCTAGGGTGTTTGCCATGCTTACCTAAGGCTTGCAAGGCACCTGGGCATCTCCTCCTACAGTAGGCAATTCGATTACCCGATTATTCTACATCATGGCCACAAAACCATCGAGACGGAGGCGGAAATCCGTCAGGAAAGGGGCTCTTTTATTACTGAATCCTGTTTCAATCCTGCTTTCAATCGGCGAGATCGTGCCGAGACAACTTGCAATGGCAAGAGTCTGGTCGAGGTTCGAGGTGTTGCACAACTTGCTTCTCTCAGGAATCTGTCCTCACAGGACTCAAGATTAACCGCGCTGACGTCAAGCGGACGTGAGATGCTTCCTCTGCTCTGTCTCAATAGCTATGATTTGCTCGTTTGCAGAGAGAATGCCGGAGGATGTTCGGGTTTTGGCCTTGTGTTCCTTGCTGTTGAATGACGATGATGGCGGCTGAACATTCTCACACTCTAGCACTTTGAACTCAATAGTTGCAGGAGTAGCATCAACGCAATTCCAAGAATCATCTTCTCTATATAATACCACCGCATCTCGAAGAGCATCAAAGAGTACCTGTTGAAAACAAAGACAAACCACTAGAGCATCAACAACCACTCCAGCAGCAACCGTGAATAGCATCATCTGATACAATCCCACCATGTCTGACCCCAACAACCCCAACATCAACATCAGGACCACCCCTCAGTGGTCGCTGTACCAGCGAGAGTCGTTCTGGAACACCAACGATGGAAAGTTCCCGCCCTTCAACACCGGTGAGTTCCCCCTATCAAGTCATTCAAAAGTGACAACTCACTAACATATTACCTCAGATCCGGCTGAGATTGAGAAGCTGGCCAAGGAGAAGCTCTCTCAGGGAGGCTGGTATGTGACAGCCTCTCACATCCCCTCCTCCCATCATACTGACCACTACTAAGACCGCAAAAAAAAGGTACTACTCCTCCTGCAACGCCGGCATCTCCTGGACCCATCTCGCCAACCGCCAGGCCTTCTACCGCCACCGCATCGTCCCGCGGATGCTCGTCGACACCAACCAGCGAGACACGGCCACCGAGATCTTCGGCCACCGCGTCTCGGCCCCAATCGGCTTCGCCCCGATCGGCATCAACCGCATCTACCACCCGACCGGCGAGCTGTCCGTGGCCAAGGTCGCCCATGAGCTCAACCTGGCATACTGCCTGTCCTCTGCCGGGAGCTACAGCATCGAGGACGTGGCCAAGGCCAACGGCTCCGGCCCGCGCTTCTTCCAGCTGTACCAGAGCCCCGACGACGAGCTGTGTCTGTCCATGCTCCAGCGCGCCTTTGACAATGGCTTCGACGCTTGCATGCTGACGACGGACACCTGGTCCCTCGGCTGGCGCCACAACGACGTCTTCACCGGCAACTACGCCTTCTACCACGATCACGGAGCGGGCGACCTCGGCCTGCAGGACCCGGTCTTCCAGAAGCGTCTCAAGGAGGCTGGCATTGATCCCGTCAAGAACCCAAAGGAGGCTGGCGCGAAGTGGATCGATGAGAACATCTGGCACGGCCGCGCGATTACCTGGGAGAAGATGAAGTGGACCATGGAGCAGTGGAAGCGGATCAGTGGCGGGCGGCCGTTTTGCTTGAAGGGCATTCAGAGCGTGGAGGATGCGAAGAAGGCGGTGGAGATGTGAGTCCGAAGCATTCAATCGATTGAAGACCCTTGTGATTGAGATATATGAGACTGACTTTTTGTTCCAGGGGCGTTGACGGAATCGTCGTGTCGAACCATGCGGGACGTCAAGTCGACGGAGGCGTTGCCAGTCTCGATGCTCTCGAAAAGATTGTCAACGCTGTCGGCGACAAGACCTATGTAAGAGCCCCCCAGCCCAGCTAAACTGCCTCTCCCCTTGCTCTACCCATCTTGCAAAGCTGACTTTGTATCAAAAGATCATGTTCGACTCGGGCGTGCGCACCGCGGCAGACGTCGCCAAGGCCCTCGCCATCGGCGCCAAGTTCGTCTTCATCGGCCGCCTCTGGGTCTGGGGCCTCGGCATCGCGGGCGAGCACGGCGTGCGGCACGTCCTCAAGAGCCTGCTGGCCGAGTTTGACATTCTGATGGAGGTGGGCGGCTTTGTCACGGTGGATGACTTCGATCGCAGCTGTATTGATTCGCTGCCCAATTCGTCCAGCTTGATTGCCGAGCACGCGGCGATTTAAAGGGGTCAGCTCCATTCAGGGACGCCTTGTCATCAAGGATGTATGTTACGAGTGCTGGTCTGTCACTTTCGATAAAGTCCTGACTGGACAATGAATAGAATAATATTAAGAGAACCCCCAGGAATAGGACGAGACAGTTGCCTGATCGGGAAATATCCAGCCAGGAGTCCGGCCGGAGCTCCGTGCATTTCCCCTTTCAATCCATCGCCTTCCTTGTATTACCAAACATTGCATACTCAACTCCAGAGTCGTCTATAGCTTCACTCTCTTCCTTGATGCTGACAACTCTGTGGAAACATGCACTTGAATGACAAAATCAAGGCTGGATTACACATTTGCTTCGCATCAGTGAATATTGTCTGTTGACTCCCATGACGAGCTTTGTAGAGCTTGATATCTTAAGAGCTGAGATGAGCCATTGAAGCCATTCGAGAGATGCTCAACTAACTCCCTTGCAACTGACACCGACAGCTATTGGAAGCTGAATGAATATCCAACAACATACGGTTCCAAGTCATAAGATATCCCACTGTAAAGATGACCTATATCTTGTCCTCGACCATCACCCGTCCTCAAGATAGTCCCTCCGAAAAGCTATAACTCAACGTCAGCAAGCCTTACAACACTCACCCAAAAGTCTTTAGGAAAAACTCACCTCCCACAATCAACCCACTCGCATACATGACCCTCGAAATCGGCTTCAACTCCTCCTCCGCCTCATCATCCAACCACCTCTCCCAAAACGCCATCAGCCCATCCACCCTCGCCCTCAAGCCCTCCCCAACATCCCAGCATCCAACACCCAGCACCGTCCCAAACTCCCGAAACGCAAGCCTCGCCCCCTCCGCCCTCATCCTCGTCGAACTCAGCAACTCCCCCGCAACAGGCAGCGCCCTATCACAGAATCTCTCCGCCCAGCGCTCGTGCTTCCACAGGTGCGCCGCCCAGAGCCCCATCCCGACATCCAAGTAGTCCGTTCCAGGGGATAGGCTCCCCTTCCGCTTCTTCACCATCAAGTCCCAGTAGTCGTCGACTTCCTTCTGCAGAACATGCTCCCTATGGCCTTGTCTCGCAGCGGTATCTTGCAGCAGCTTATACACCGCATACCCCGTTGCCGCATCAAGATGTCCCTCGCTAGGAACCAGCACGGTCTTCATGTCCATTGAAATCTTCCACACCATCTTCATCCCGCCCGAAAGACAATGAACCATGAACCGCGCATGAATCGCCCGCGCAAGCTGGATCCCCAAGTCATTATACTGCACTTCATCCGCCGCAATAGAAAGCCTGTTGAGCGCAAACATCCACAGCGTCAAGTAGTGGTGATACTGCCCATCCCCGTCACTTCCCCTGGCATCCATTTTGCCGATCCGCAGACCTCCCCTGAGGGGCTCCTCGTCTGTTGCCCCGTCTAGCCTTTTTGATCCGTCTCTGGTGCGTCCGAGGACATCGTGGACGGTCTGGACGAGACGCTTTGCGAGAGTAAGATATACGGCATTGCCCGTTTCTTTGAACAACGTGATGAAGTTGACGACGCCAAAGGCGTCTGTCCAGAGATACCGCCCGTGATAGCCGCCCGCACCAGGATCGTCGGGAAACGTCCAGGCTTTTGCGTCGTCGGGCGAGAGTTGGTCAAAGGGCCCGTAGACTGTCTTCATCGCTTCCGTGAAGCGGGTGATTTTGTCCGGCTTCGACATGCTGTATCCTCGTTTCTTACAATAGCTTCGATATGTCGGCCTGATCCACAAACGCGGTCCAAGATATAAAGAAGCAAACAGTCTCATCGTCGTCGCCGGGTTGTGAAAGTAGTGATAGATACTATATCGTCATGAATGTGATGCCATAATGACGCCTCCATGAGGGGGGTCAGCCATCTCAACGTTAGTTCATCAGACTATTTCGCTGGGCTCTGCCACTCAGTAGGTAACCTTAAACATAAGGTAGTCTATCTATCCTCTTACCAATTGGATCTCATTCTTACTCATTGAATAGTCCGTGAACATCTCCCAGTCAATGCTCGTAGTACCTAGTCATGGACACACAATATCTCTACATCAAAGCTCGCTGATAGTCCAAGTATCGTACAAGACAACCTCTACATCCAAACCAAAAAAAAGACATCCTTCACAGTTCCTCCAACTACTCCCTACATCCTTCCCAGCGGCCCCTCATACACCCCCAAAGGATGCTTCATCGCGAGCGGCCACAGCTCAAACAAATGCTGCGTCTGCATAAACACCAGCGGGCCCAGGTCATCCCACAACAAGCTCCCCAGCACCCGCACGACGCCTGTGTATCCCGGCGACTCGTCCGCCCGCTCCCCGTCAATCTCATTAGGGTCGTAATCTGCGTCAATGGCCATCACGAAGCCGTTTTGCTGCGGCGTCGGCCGGAGATAGGAGTCAATGACGCCCTTGTCAGCTGCTAGAAGAATGTCCTTGTGGACGCTGGATGGGAAGTCCGCAGACTCTCTGAATGACTGGAATTGACTGTGTAGTAGTTCATTAGCAAGGCTTCGTGGGACTGTAGCATAGTGCATACGTACGTTCTCAGGGCATCGACGTCCCCGTCTGATATACCCAGATCCCTCGCATCTCTCCAGTAAACCTTGGACCGCTCCCTAATCACCTCAACCCCCGTCAACTCCCTCCCCCAGTTCTGCACATCCTCTTCAAACTTGCTCTTGAACGCCTCCCACTCCTCATCCGTATGATCATGCGACAACCGGTAGGCGACGTACCCCCACTCAAAGTTGGTCTCCGTCCCAAGATACTCATTCGCCTTCGTCACCCAGAGCTCCTGTCCAAACGTCACAGGCTCCCCCCTCAGCTCCCGCCTCGTCAGCTCCTGAGCCCTCACCTGGCACTGCGCCGTCTGCGCGACATCAGACAGCAGCTCAAAGCCAGTCGGCAACCCAGGCGGGACGTCCATGCCGCCGCGCTCCTGGCCGAGCCAGAACTCTGTGCGCGACAGATACTTTAGCCTCAGATAGTAATCGCCCGTGCGAGCCAGCGTGTTTGCAGAGAAGGAAATGGGCAACTTGCGGTACGGCTCGGCGGCGTCTGGCCGCGGCGGCGCATCGTCCTGGGCGGCAAGGCCTTCTCCCTCGTATCCGTCCATGGGCAAGAAGATGGCCGAGTCCGCCTGAGCCCCGTTCTCCATCAGGTCATGGAGTCTGTCCGTCAGCGTCCATTGCCGCGAGCTGAAGTCATTCGTTGCTGGAGAAGGAGTGACCGCGAGCTCCTCGAGGACCGGGCGGCGAAGACGTTCGAGGCTGTCAATCACCCACTTGTGAGAGCGAGCCGAGATGAACTCGTAGTGCGCCTTGATGTACTCGTGCCATCGAGCCGCAATCTGCACCTCGGGCTGGCCCTCCAGCCTATTCTTCGCATTCACCGCATCCTCAAAGTCCTTCAGGTGTCCCCAGATGAGATTATACGTCTCCCGAAGCGCAATCTTGACCGGCGGCAGATTCAGATAGTGAAACACATTGGTCACGGCACAAATGTACTGGCAAGCCTCGTGAAAATTGTCCGCGGAATCAAGCCCGAGCTCCTCCCACCGCCTCTCAGAGAGCGGCATGACGCCCTCCCACAGCCTCGACTTCATCGCGTGAAGCTCCTTCGAGATGGGTATCAGCCGGTCCGCGTCCTCATGGGAGCCGATACGTATCGCAATCTGCTGCATGGGAATCTCGTGGCGGGCGTCGAACGGGGGCGGCGCCCACGACGCCAGCGGCTGTTGTATCAGCATCACAATCTCCTCCGACAGCGGCGTAAACGAGGACGGGCTCCCGTCGGACAAGGTGCCGAACATGGTGGACTCGAGAAAGTGCGGGAGCGTCTGGGGCTCGAGGATGCGGTCGACGATCCACAGCTTCGAGTCGAGCTCGCTCTGGGGCGTGTCTGGATGGAGGACATGGTCGAGCGCCCCGGACGGCGTGTTGCCTCGGGCGATGCGGTTCTCTCTGAGCTGCCCGGCCATGGCTGTTCCATTCTGGCTGAGCAGGAGGTCAAGATTGAGGAGGAGATTGGCCATGTTCATCTTGCTGTCTTGTGCGTAGCCTCTGCTGAGACTGAGGCGAGACTTGTTGAGAGTTGCAGTTGTAAGCCCGGTAGTAGTAAGACGGCGAGGGCTTTCAGCAGGTGAATGGCCAAGGCTGAGTCTCTGAGAGCAGCAGCGAAATGAATGTGTGCATTGAGCAATCCGACACCTCGACACAGCTCTTCTCATCGTCTTATAACCCCTGAGAGGTGGATGATGAGTTGACGTTTGTGAAACCCGAGGCTCAACGGCCAAGTGGGCTGAGAACAGGCAGAATGGCTCTAGCTGGCCGTGGCTGCCTGGCGTGCCTGGCTTAGTAGCGGGGGTTATCGATGGAAAAGAGCGCCAAGGGGGGGGCAGCAAACTCGAGTTCGCTAGGCGAAGCTGTCAAACGCGCTGCGGCTCGTCAGGGGTCGCTCCGAGAGCCGGTGGACGTTTTGCTGGGACACACTGGCAAGCAAACACATTGTGACAGGTCGCGTAGTATTTCGTTACTTGATTGAGGCGTCGAAAGTCTCGGGTTGTGCCTAGTTGTGAGCTGTTGACAGTAAGCGCAGGAATAGCATCACATAGTATCTCAGACACCGACAACAGAAATAATACCCCTTGATTGTAACACGAACCCAGCTTGTCAAGTCGCAAACGGCGCTCTGGATACCCCATTCAACCAGAAAAGTCGAGCCAACCCAGGCTGTATCTCTATTCATCCAGACAGTCTGATTTCCCCAATTGCCCATTCAACCAAGGTCTCGCAAATAAACAAAGGTCATCAAGAAAGAAAAAAAAAAGCCAAGTGCTCAATCGCCAAAACGCCCCAGGTTAGCCACGCTCACTCCCGCGACCTCTTCGATGCCCCTATACACGTAAGTTGCCTCCTAGACCCCGTCATTGTCATCGTCATCAGTCATGTCCATGCCGGTTCCGTGGTTCTCGTTGTCGCTGTCGTCATCGTCAAGCAGCATCGTCCGCCGCCTGCCCAGTCGGCCTTTTCCCTTGTCCATCATGCCGCCGCCCGACCTGTTGCCGTACACTTTCTGAGATGCCTCTGCCTTCCTCCGTTCCAGCTCCAGATCGAATTCCGCCAAGTCTTCTGCCTCTTCCTCCGCGACGCCATCCAGCAAGGCCGTCTCTTCCAGCGCCTTGTTCAGTAGCTCCGTCGCAATGCTATCCTGGGGCTGGATGGCGAGGGCCTCGTGAAGGACAACAACCGCCTCCTGTGGCTTGTTCTGCTCCATCAAGATGAGACCCTTGGCGCTGAAAATAGCCGCATTCTTGCCGCCCGCCCGCAGCACCTCGTCAAACTCCAGCAGCGCCCGGTTGTAGTGCCGCAGCCTGCGGAACGCATGTCCCAGGTTGGTCCTCGCCGCGAGCCAGGCCGACGGCTCAGAGTCGTTCTCGTCGGCCACCTTGAGGGCGGCTGTAAAGTACTGGACAGCTTCTTTGGGCCGGTCCTGATGATACTTGACAATGCCCATCTCGTTGAGAAGCAGCGGATCCGTCTTGCACAGGCCGTAGGCAGTCTTGAGGAATTCCTCCGCAATGGTCATGTTGTTGAGCGCGTGGTTCTGCATCCCGAGGAATATTTGCGGCAGGTGAGTGCCCATGAAGAGGCGCGCCGCCGTAGAGTACGCCGAGATGGCCTGGTCGTGCTCCCCCTCCTCGGCGAACGTGTGTGCGAAGCCTATCCAGGCAGGGCCGAAATGTGCGTCCATCATGCTCGCTTTGCTAAAATACCGCCTGGCTTCTGCAATCTTCTTGATGCTGAAATAGTAGATGCCCACGGCCAGCCACGTGCAGGGCTCCTCGGGATGGGTGTCTGCCAGGTCGTGGGCTATCAAAAACAGCAGATTCTTCATCTTGAGCTCGTAGAGACATGCCAGATGAACAGGGTATATGGCGAAATTGTACTTGTCCTCCTCCAGAATGGCGTTGGTAATGGTCAGGGCGTCTCGGTATCGGCACTGCGTGTACAGCAAGTCGGCGCGGGCGAGCTGCAGGTCGGGGTTAGCGGCCAGCTGGTAGTGCGTGGACAGCGACTCGTAAGCCGTATCGAAAGCCGCGGGATTCCTGTACTTGGACAGCCGCGTCGTGTAGAGCATCTTTGTGAACTCGGCCGCCTCCTGGGAATGTATCGAGTCAAAGTCCAGGCTGTCGAGGAACTGCCACTCCTCGTCCGGCGACAGGAGCGAGTTCTTCATCAGCTGCTGGAACGCCTCGAAGCACTGCACGTCGATGCGCACGGCATCCTTGTAGCACTCCTTGGCCCGGTCAAAGGCGTTTTGCTTCGCATAGCAGATGCCCCGGAGGAAGCACATAGCCGCCTCGAACCGCCGGCTCGCCGCCTCTTCGTCTGCGACATTGTCGTCTCGCCTCCGTGTGCTCCGCGGCTGGTTGGAGGCCTTGCGCTTGTTGCTCGAGCCGTTGGCGATGAGGTGCGTCGGATTGCGCTCGCCGAGGACGGCCAGGGCCTCTTCGAATCGGGACTGCTTGATGAGGCAGTGACCGGCAAGATAGCGGCAGGCCGGATTACGGCTGATGAGATCTTGCTTGGAGAGGAACGACTGCGCACGTGTGTAGTTGCCAGTCGCAAAGTGGACTTGGGCCAGCCAGAAGGCATCGTTGTCGTCATCTGGGAGAGGTCACATGCATTAGCCGGGCTTCGTCGTCTTCAGGATCTTCCATTGGTCGACAGACTGGTCATGGCGAGGAGCTTGTCCCCGATAAAGATGGCTGATTCATATTGTGCCTTGTTGAGGGCATCCTGCCTCCATTCCCGTAGAAACTCCTGCATCCTCTAGCATTGAGAGGGGGTCGTTGACATGACCGCCAGGGAGGAGGCGGAGGAATGAAAGAGAAGGAAGAAGATCAATGAGTAGAATAAGAGGAAGAAAGACAAATCAGTATAGGTATTCAGCAGGGTAACATGGCGTAAGTGTCTGGCAGCAGCGGGTGTCGCAGTTCGAATATCCAAACCCAAGTGTCGATGGTGACGCGAGAGTGTGTCTGAGGCGCGTAAAGTTTGTTTGCTTCCAAGGTTGCTTGCCGTCATGTTGCCAGGGAGCCAGCTGACAATTACAGCTGTTCTACAGGGGGGTGACCTCGACGGATAGCGGGGTTGTCCCGCTGAAGCTACCCCTCATTGCAGCGACAATCAGGGCCCCATTCCCTGGGCAACAGGGAAGCGGCGAAGAATGGAAAAAAAATCATGAAGAAACTCCACCAAGTCCGATACAGGAGCGAGTCAGGCTGCGACCCTAAACCTCCAGGAACAATTAGATAGACTTGACACTTATCAAGACTCTTCTGGAGCAGTCAATCAACTTCAATCCCCTCCAATTGCATCTCTACTACGCCGTCAACGAACAATGGCCTCCTCCGCCCCCGTCCGCGCCGCCGCCCTCGCCCGCGACACCAAGGAAACGTCCATCCAGATCGCCCTCAGCATCGACGGCGGCCAGCTCCCCAAGGATGCCGACCCCAGGCTGCTCGACATCACCAGCCCGCACGCCTCGCAGTCCAGCCCGTCGCAGGTGATTGCCATCAACACGGGCATCGGCTTCCTCGACCACATGCTGCACGCGCTGGCCAAGCACGCCGGCTGGAGCATGGCGCTCAACTGCAAGGGCGATACTTACAGTGCGTCTCTCTCTCTCTCTCTCTTTCTCTCCCCCCGATTTTGCGATCAAGAACCATAACTAAATCATGTGTCTTGTGATGTGTGCAGTTGATGACCACCACACCGCCGAAGACTGCTGCATTGCCATCGGCGACGCCTTCGCCAAGGCCCTCGGCAACCTCGCCGGCGTCGCCCGCTTCGGCTACGCCTACTGCCCCCTCGACGAGGCCCTGTCGCGCGCCGTCGTCGATCTGTCCAACCGCCCGTACTCCGTCGTCGATCTCGGCCTCAAGCGCGAGTTTCTCGGCCAGCTGAGCACGGAGATGATCCCGCACTGCCTGCAGAGCTTTGCGCAGGCCGCGCGCGTGACGCTGCACGTCGACTGCCTGAGGGGCGACAACGACCACCACAGGGCGGAGAGCGCGTTCAAGGCGCTGGCGGTGGCGATTCGTATGGCGACGACGAGGGTTGCGGGCAAGGAGGGGGAGGTCCCTAGCACCAAGGGGACGTTGAGTGCGTGAGGATGGGGAAAACAAAGACATGGTCGAAGTAAAGGTGCAGAAACAAAGGTGATGATGATTGGGTTATAGAACGAAAAAGATTTCGCAGTGGATGGAGTTTGGAGTATTTGTTGGATACTGGGCCCCGTGATGAGGTGCGGGTTATACCGGGCTATGAAAGACGAGCTTTTACAGAGGAGCAATATCAATATTGCAATATGAATAGAAATCATTTTGGATACCCAGTCTACTATAAGCCTACAGCCAAACACCGTTTTCATTGCGCCTATATGTACAATTCCTCTCACAGCCCCTTCACGTCCTGTAGTCGCCGTTGATGGTCACATAGTCATGGCTGAAGTCACACGTCCAGTGAACGATGCTCTTGTCACCGGTCCCCAACCTCACCAAAATCTCCAAGTCCTCCATCTCGAGGATCTCACTCGCCCTCATCTCATCCACATTCTCCGGCTCTCCATTCACCAGCAGCTTCAGCTCGGCCGAGCCATCAGTCGGAACAAACGACACGCTCGTCCGCTCAGGGATAATCTCGGGAACGTCGTTGACAGGCTGTCCGGGAGGAGAAATCAGGGCATAGCCAGCAGCGCAGAGAATACGGCCCCAGTTGGCATCTTTGCCGTACAGCGCCGTCTTGACCAGCGGCGAGCGCGCAATGGCACGGGCAATCTCGCGCGATGCCGCCTCAGAAGCTCCATCGACGACTCGGATGGTGACAAACTTTGTGGCGCCCTCGCCATCACGAACTAGGTACTTGGCCAGCTCGGCAGAAAAGTCAGTCAGGAGATCGCGGAAGGCCTCGTAGTCGGCAGACTGCTCAGATGAAATCTCGGTCCCGCCAGCAGCCCCGTTGGCCAGCAGCGCAACGGTGTCGTTGGTCGACGTGTCGCCGTCAATGGTTAGCGCGTTGAAGGAGCGGTCGACGGAGTACTTGAGCAGCGGGTTCATCAGGGCCGGGGCGATGGGGGCGTCGGTGGCCAGGATGGTGAGCATGGTGGCCAGGTTCGGGGCCATCATGCCGGCGCCCTTGGTCATGCCGGCGATGCGGTACTCGACGCCGGGGGACGAGGGCAGCGAAAAGGTCCTCGACATGAGCTTGGGGAACGTGTCGGTGGTGCAGATGGCCTTGGCGCAGTCCAGCCAGTGCCGGTGGGAGTCGCCGGCCTGGTGGTAGGCCACGGGGATGTGGTCCACGATCTTCTGGATGGGAAGCCTAGGAGGAGGAGGAGTAAGTCAAAGGGGCATTACCATCTGAAATTCGAGTCACTAGAATTACTGACCTCTGTCCAATGACGCCCGTGCTCATCACCAGCGTCGAGTCGTCGCTGCCGACCCTCTGGTCCGTCGTCCGCGCCATGCTGGCCGCATCCTCCAGGCCTCCGACACCGGTGACGGCATTGGCATTGCCCGAGTTGACAATGACGCTGCGCAGGCCGGCATTGGCCCTGCTCTTGAGGATGCCGCGGCTGAAGGTGACGGGCGCCGCCTGGAACTTGTTCTTGGTGAAGACGGCGGCGGCCGACGCCGGGCGGTCGGAGGTGACGAGGGCCAGGTCCGGCTTGGTGGTGTTGCCGGGCTTGACGCCGACCAGGACGCCCGAGGCCAGGAAGCCCTTGGGGTATGTGCCCGACGTGGGCACGTACTTGAGCTTGGCCGGCGGGATGGCGCTGGCGAGGCCGGTGGAATAGGCGCGCTTGAACCTGAGCATCTTTAGGGGGGTGTGATTGGGTTGGATGTTGTTGTTGGGGGAGGTTTGAGCTGGGCGGGAAGCTATAAATTCTGCTCGGGTGTAGAGGAGCTACGAGTCAAGTCCGAGGTTCTGCGTAGGGTGTCACGATGTGCAGTTCTGTGTGATTTACATCATGTAGCAATGACTGAAGCTGATATTGATGGGCATTTGGAGGGAGTATCTTGCCGGCAAACCATGTCTTGTGGTGAACCCGGCATCGGCGTCTCTTATCTACGTGCTGTGTATTGAGTCACCAGGACCTGAAGCATCTCAGGTGTTGCAAAGTACATACGCATCAACACTGCAGAGAATGAGAAAGCGTTGCCGAAAAATGACAACATCACCTCATATGACCTCGTTATCTAGACCTCAGATACAATCTCTTGTCATAACCAGGTAGTTCATTTCATCCCATATCAGACCCCCAATTGCATGTCATGAGGTTGACAGCTTCTGCCTGTTTGGCTGAGCAACTGCCTGCCCCAGCCTTGAGCTCGATTCACTGCACCAGGTCTGTACCCGCAAGCGCTTACCTAACCGCTGACTCACCCCAGCCCCACCATCCTGCCTATAAAATGTCGTCTGCCCTCTCGCCCTTCTTTCGACCTTTTCTTTTCTCTTTTTTCCTTTCCCCATCCAAGTGCACGGGCGTTTTCCTTCTCCGTGAAGCGATAAGCTGAGAGAGGAATTTTGCTAGTTGAAAACTATACACTGACCACTCCTGGTTGGGTTCGCCTGGCCAGGGAATATTTGGAACCCTTCACAAGCTCGCTTTCGAGGAGTTTTTGTCTCTTTTCTTTCATTGCGGTTGGTCCCTGGTGGGCTGGCGTGAAGAAGGATGACTTGAGGCCATGGAGAGTGGACGAATCGTGAGGAAGACGCGTTACATGGATAGCCGGATGGCTGAAGAAAAGAACTAGACGAGGGTTGCTTTTATGGCATTCGCAGTGATCATTGTCGGGCCCTGTTGGAGCTGCACCTGTGTAGCCTTGTAGCAGGTGAAGGAGCATCGTAGCTGAGAAGTGAGGTTTTGAGCCGCGCCGTTTGAGCTGGTGAAGCTCGACTGCTCGACTGCCGCATATCGAGCTTCTCTCCAGGCGTCACGCCCACGGAGTAGAGCTTCAACCACCCTCCAAGTCAGAATCCCATATACAAAACCCAAATCCCTACTGCAATATCCATCATCGCTTCCATTGTTTGCCTGGTCATCTGCACATAAAATCAGTATTCTAGTAATAGAACCATCACCCGCAGGTAAATCTGCCATCAGCCTCTCTCCAAATCTTTTAGCGCGGGGCATCTCCGTTTCCCACTCGATTATTTTGCAGTGACTCAAACCGACGACAGACCCCACCTCGAACTCTCACAAGCCATTTGACGGACTGACGCACTTTTGCATTCTTCACACGGCGTTTGTTCCTTGCCAGCTGGAACTTTCTCCAAGGCCGACCATTGCGACAACCTGTCTTACCATTGTCCAGCTGCGGCCCCGGCGTCAGATTCCTGCGACTGAGCTTGCGTCCTCGATACCGTCGCCCGTCCGTCCATCAATCAAAGATCCATCCTCGTTCCTCTCCTCTGCTCTGCTCAACCTCATCCGACGTCACACACACACACACACACACACACACACACACACACACACACACAACCTCTGATGGCAGCAGCAGAAGGGGGCCAGCCTGCGCCCAAGAGCGAGGCTCCCGCGGACAAAAAGGACCAGGCCCAGGACCAGCAGAAGAAGGGCGCCAAGGACCAGAGCAAAGCCGCCGCGGCACCCGCCGAAGGCGCGGGCGAGAAGAAGCTCTCCAACGCGGAGCTGAAGAAGAAGGCCAAGGAGGAAAAGGCGGCGAGGAGAGCGGCCGCAAAGGTCTCACAGCCACAGCCGCCAGCCGGCAGCGCGCCGGGCCAGGCCGCCGAGGGCGCAAAGGGCGGCAAGCCGAAGCCCAAGCAGCAGCAGGACGGACCGCAGGCAGCAGGGAGCCAGCATGGAAAGGCGGCGGCTCCGCGATCCGCCGCGCCGATGCCCGCGCCCAAGGAGGCGAAGCCTTCGGTGCCCGAGTGCTTCAGCCATCTGGCCATGGCCAAGGGCGTCAACCTGACCCAGGCGGACAAGGACGTCCACCCGACGGTGCTGATGCTGGGCCAGCAGATGAGCACCATGGCCATCAGCGATAGCACCACGCGGCTGGAGGCGACTCTGCTGGCATTCAAAAAGGTGCGATGAGCTACGTCTTAAGCTGGATACTGAGGACACAATCTAACGCTCAAGCAAAAAAAGGTCATCGACTCATACACAACCCCCCACGGCACCACGCTCTCCCGACACTTCACCTCCCACGTCCTCAACCCGCAAATCGTCTACCTCACGGCATGCCGCCCCATGTGCTTCTCCATGGGCAACGCCATCCGCTGGCTCAAGCTGCAGATCAGCAAGATCGACATTGACATGGCCGACTCGGACGCCAAGAAGCTGCTGTGCGAGGCCATTGACAGCTTCATCCACGAGCGCATCACCCTCGCCGACGTCGTCATCGTCAGCACCGCCGCCGACATGATCTCCCCCGACGGCGGCGACGTCATCCTCACCTACGCCCACCACCACCTCGTCGAGCGCGCCCTGCTGCGCGCCCGCGCCGACGGCAAGCGCTTCCGGGTCATCCTCGTCGACGACCCCTTTGAGCGCGTCGGCCTCGCCCACGCAAAGACGCTCGCCGCCGCCGGCATCCCCGTCGCCTACGCGCCCGACCTCGGCGCCCTGCGCACCAACCTCCAGGAGGCCACCACGGTGCTCGTCGCCGCCGAGGCCATGTTCAGCAACGGCGCCATGTACGCCCGCGCGGGCACCTGCGACGTCGCCACTGCCGCCTTCGACCTCGGCATGCGCGTCACGGCGCTGTGCGAGACCATCAACTTCACCGAGCGCGTGTCCATAGACTCGCTCACCTACAACGAGATTGATCCGGAGCGCAACACGGACGAGGAGTTTAGGTTGCTGTTTGACACGACGAGGGACAAGTCCATTTCGGCCGTCGTCACGGAGCTGGGCATCTGCTCGGCCAAGTCGGTGCCTGCGATTTTGCGAAAACTAGAGGAGCTGTAGTTTATTTGTGTAGCTTCAATGTTGAAAGAAACGAGTAAACAAGCATGAATCATCTAGCTCAGTGTGTTTGAATCAGTGAGTCATTGTGAGGCAGTCTGTCGTTTTATCTTTTGGTATGACTTTCATCTAAGACTCGCTTGACCTTGTCGATTTGGGGAAAAAAAAAGAAAAGCTTGTCGACTGGTAATAAAGGCCATTATAGCTGATCTTAAATGAAAGCCCATCTCAGCCCAGAATCACAGCTCAACCCAGCACGCTCTCGCCCACTCCAAGCCCTGAATATGTACAATCTCCCTCCATTTTCTTTTGCGCAGTCGTATTGTTCGAGAAGTTATTTCAAGCCCCCTGCCTCTCCGCATCCCGCTGGGCCTTCCTCGCCCTCTTCTCCAGCAGCGCCCTCTTGCGCTCGTCCAGCACCGCCCGCTGCCGGTCGTCCACGCCCTGCAGCCAGTACCCGAAGCTCGCGCCGCCGGCCGCGTACACGGGGTACGCCCACAGCGAGCCCTTGTTGAAGAAGGGGCGCATCTCGATGCCGACTTGCCAGAAGCGGACGGCGAGGCCTTTTTGCATGTTCCATCACACGTTAGCTGCTTGCTTGACACAGTGAGAGATTGATGTTGCGTTTTGGTTTGGAAGATTGTTTTGTGGTGAGGATGGCCACTGGAGAGGAATTGGCTGGTTGGGAGGGGGAGGTGGAGGGAAGTGGGAGGGAGACGAACCGAAGCAGCTCCAGAATGCAATACGATGAACCATCTTGAATCTCGCAGAAAACTTGCTCTCCTCGAAATACCTCTAGGGAAGAAACTCGGGTGCTGAGACAAATTGTCGAATTGTCCCCTTGAATCGTGTCGTCGGAGCCGCAGGCGGACAATTGGGGCCGTTATTCGAGTGGGAGAGAAAGCTTTGGGATGGGATTGCCTGTATGGTTCGCTATCACGAACTTTGGGAGCCCCGGCAAGAGTGGTGATGAGGTTGGGCGGGCGGCTTTAGGCGGCGTCACGTGGTTGCGCATGTGACCTGTCAATTTGGCGCTTTTGTGCAGGATGAGATGCGATGCTTCTCTTTGCGATGTGTTTCCATAGCTGAGCAGTTACTCTGGTATCTACAATTCTGTTCAAGGATTAATTGCCTTTTCCCTTTTACTCAATCTTTTGTTATTTGGTTGAATATGTGTTGTCAAGTGCTTTCCGTAGCATGATGATATGCAGATAACGTCTATTGCCGTCTATTCTAGAGGCTCTAAGAATGCCCATATCATCAACGCTTTCTCATCTATCATCATGCGCAGCTCAAATACTATTCAGACACAACAAAAAAAAAAGATGGACAAAACGAACTCAGACAACGCCTTGCAATGCAATCGTGACACAATCAAACCCCCCCCCCCCCCCCCCCCCCTTCACGACTCTCTATATGCCGGCGGAGGCTCCAAAGGCGTCGTCTGCGACGCAGGTCGTGCAGGCCCCTGAGCTCCCCGAGTCCACTCTGCCGTCTTCAACATCATCTTGCCCATGTACTGCTGGATAAACGATTCGCTGCCCGATTGTTAGCCACTGACTTCATAAAGACACAACAAGAAGAGACATACGTATAGTAGCTGTGATCAGAGTTGTGCAGCGACACCAAGTTGTGCGCCAGCTCGTGCGCCAGCACCACCCACCACCACGTCCCTGCTTCTACCCTGCCCGCACCATTCGGCGCATTCACCTGCGCAGCATGCAGCTGTAAGAAGAACCGAAAGTTGCAAAAGATGCTGCCACCGGTGTTGAACGCAATTGTCGCGCCGGCCTCGTCGTAAAAAATGTGAAGCACCCTTGGCGACAGCGAGTAGACACCGCCCACCTCCACAAGCAGCGACGCAAACAGGTTGATCGCAGCGAGGTTTGTCGACAGGAAAGACGCCGCGTCCACGTTCGCCGCCTTGGCCAAGTACACCTTCATTCCGTTCGAGGCTTCGGCCACAAAGGTAATGTTCTGCGCCGGCGTCTTGTCGCAGTAGGAAGCCTGCTCCTTGACCTGGGTGACCTGAGGCTCCGCGTACACCCTGTCGGAGCCGTGAGCCCGCGTTGCGTTGACCGCGTTCAACAGATTCTGCTGCACCACTGCCGGATTCGTAACTTTCCCGTCGTCCTTTTGCGACTCTCCACGACCGCCCGACGTTCCGTTGGTATCGGAGCCGCCGCCCATAAACTGCTCCAGTTGGCCTCGAGAATCGTCCTTGTCATCGTCCGGAGAATCAAAGCCAAGGCGACGGGTCAGGTTCGAGAACAGACCCCTGCTCTTTCTGTTGTTTGCCTTATCTTGCGGCTTGTCGTCGGTCGAATCCCAGCCGCCAGGCATCGATTGCTGGGGAGACTTTGGAGACCTGGGAGCTTCTCTTGCCGCGTCGGCTGCCTGTGGGAGTTGCTGAGTCTTGGATGCATCCTGAGCTTGTTGGGCCCAGTTTTGCTCCCTCTCTCGAATCTGTCTCTGCTCCTCCTCCAGTGCCTTGCGCCTTTCCTCCTCTGCAATTCTGGCCTCTGCTGCCTTTGCCCGCAGGATTCGGTCGACATTGTATCCACGCGATCTCAATCCGTAGAGGTCCAAGGTGAGGAACGGCTCAAAGAACAGGTACGCTTGCTGGTTGGGCCGGTCAAGCAGCATTTGGCATATCGCCTGTCCCACCTGATACATGTCTGGCTTTCCCTCGTCAGCCACATACAGGATCCATGATCTGTTGGTGTATGTCGCCGCCGCAGAGCGCTTCTCGGTATGCGTCTTCCTGTGACCCTGCAGGGTCCGCCGAAGTGCCACGGAGCGGACCACTTCCACCGTCAGATTCTTCTCGAGCCACTTTGCGTCATGCTTGATTGCATCTCGCCGGTAGTTGGAATACTCGTAGAGGAAGATCTTGGATCGTTCAAGGACATGCTTCTTAAGGGCCTCAGCCATCTGCTGTCGCGCTGTGTGAGGGCCGATGCGGACGTCCTCCTCGACCATGCTGCTGAGCCTCGACGCGCCGAGTTTCAGGTAGAAGGTCTCGAGAATATCTTCTTCGGGGGCGCATATCAGATGCTCTTTGAAGAGGCGGTAGCTGATGATATCGTCCAGCACCACGATTTGGCTGGCAGAGGCAAGCTGGTATTGCTTGATGGGAGCTTCATCCTCATCCAGATCATTGGTGACATTCCCCTTGGACGCCACCAGCTCCTTGTAAGCCAAAAGACAGGGTGAGCTCTTCAACTTGCGCCAAAGCTCCTTGTCCCGGTGAAGGGTGGAGCTGGCCTCAGCGAGGGACTTGAGCAGATCCAGATACTTTTCGGGGCTTTGCAGCACGCTGAGAAGCCTTGCCGGCTCGTTACAGGCCATGTAGGCAACCTCGACTTTGGTTGGTTCGCTCTTTGCGCCACACTTGAACAGGAAAGCATTCCCGTCCTGGCCAAAGTCTACGAAGTCAAAGATGTCGCCATAGGTCGAAGAGGTCCCAAGGTATGCCCGCGACGGACTGATGTAGGACAGCTTGGCGTCTGGTTTTCCTGAGGACCGCTTCACCGGGACAATCGGAGCATTTCGAAGCTTGACCAGGCTGCTTTCGCCCAGCTCGCTAATGCGAGAGGCAAAGTAGCTAAAGAGAGTCACGGCAGATTGCTGGTTCTGCGGAGGGTTGGCCAGCAGGCGGTTGACGCACTCAGCTATGGGCGGATCCCTCGCAACACCAAATTTCTACTACTCGTCAGTCTTGCAATGTCATCGTCGAAGAAAAAGTACTTACGTTGGCGTGGTCGTGCAGGTCACGGTTCAGGATATCAAATCCAAGCACAGCTGCTTTCTCGTTTGTAAAGCATGCAGCCGGCGTCACCAGTTTGGTGCTCCCCTGAAGCGGCAGGATGGGCTTCCGACAGTCGCTGAGATCAAAGGCGGCATACCGGTTCGTGTGATGGTTGGCAATAAAGTAAGTCATTGCTGAGGATCTCAAGGCCGGGTCGCTCGACGACATCATATCCACCAATTCTGGGACAGAAGGAAAAGTCCGCAAGCCAAGGACAACCAGGAATCTGGCTTCAGGGCTGCTCGGTCGAAAGCTGCCAGGCGGGCCTGGCCACTGGATGATGGGCAACTGAAGAGATCGGAGCGATTCCTTGGGCTCGAAGAGTTCCGAAACCTTGTACAACTTCGTCGTGGCCTTTGTGGGCTCCATGCCTCTGGGGCCAGCTTCGGCGGGACAGAATCTTGTCTCCCTTAACTTCCTCAGATCGTCCGAGGGGATGTCATTCTGCACAGAGGCAAGGTACTTGATAAGCTCCATGTGACTCCATTTCTTCTGGCCGTCCTCACCAGAGGCATTGAGCAGACGAGCAAAGATGGTCTCGAGGTCGACTGTCTTGCGAACACCGAGAGCCGCCAAGAACTTCTCCTTGACCTTTTCGCAGCCTTGGATGACTGGCAAATCGTCAAACAGCTTGACCGAGGCAAAGAAAGACTCTCCAGGCTTTCTCATGCCCAGCTTGGTGGGTATCATCGGTGTCGACTGGACAAGACTCAGTACAGTGCCCCTGTTGATCATGGTCATGTTTTCCCAATTCTTGGACAACACCGTCAGAACGGAGACGGCGAATTTGGGTGATCTGATGACGCTCTCTTCTTCCGGCCTAGATGCCGCAGTTTCAATGAGGAAGCGCAGCCATGGCACGATCTCCAGGGGCTCCCATCCAAGCGCCTCCAGCTCGGAACCACTGATGTTCACAATGAGGGCATACGGAATGGTTGTCGGCGGAACTGGCATGTTGGCGGGAATCTTTGCAAGGCTGAGATAGTTGCTGATGCTGCCCAGGGCCACGATCTCGCCCTTGTCATCCTCGTCGCTTAGAGTGGCGACGGCGACGTCCATGAGAGCGGCCCGGCTTCCTGCATCAATCTCGCCTGTCAAGCTCTTCTTGCCCGCCCACTTGATGAAGTTGATAGCCTGAGTCTTTGTAAGCGCCTTGGCCTCCAGCTCCTCCTTGACATCTGTGACGGTAATGTGTGAGATGAGGCCAAAGTCGATGAGCTTCCTAACAAACGGCGCATCCGCCATGTCCTTGGGCACGACTGGGATGCTGTCCACAAAGGCACTGAGCTCTGTCGAGCCCAAGCGAACTTGAGACGTTTGCAAAACACCTCGGCTCGAGTACACCTCGATGGAAGCCTTCTTGAAACAGGTCCAGAAAGCCTCCTCGATATAATGCCCGACTTGGCTGCTTGGCGTGGAATCAGCAAAGGTAAAGGTCTTGAGAGTGTGCAACGCCTCGGGCATGAATCGGTTGACTATTTCGGCGGATATCTTCTTGCCAGCCTCGGAAGATTGTCTGACCCTGCGATCGAGCTCGCTCATCTCATTGGCAAACGCTATCCTGGCAATGATACCCGCGGCTCGAAGAAGCTCAACGTTCCACGTCCTGACCCAGCGAGCGTTCAAGTCGATGGCCTCTCTTTCGACAGTAGGGATAACAGACGGAGCAGAAATGTGCATGCCGGCGCCTGTTGTCTGCATAGTAGGGAATCCGATAAAGATGCGGCCGCCCGGCTTTTTGCTTGGGAGCACGGAAGCAAAGACGTCTGTGGCCTTTGCAAAGGCGCCGCTTTCCGCAGACGAGCTCTTGGAAGCTTCAGCCTCGTCGTACGACGTGGTGAGAATGGATATCTTTGTCGTCTTTGGCGGGGGCTTTTTTGTTGCACGCTCCAGCTCGGCCGAAAAGGAGGCCGAGACATGGGTCTTGATGCTGGCAGTGGTGGCCCTGAGGAAGATCGTGGCCGAGTTCAGCCCGGTGACGTCTTCCGTAATCTTTGTCTGGGCCTGGCTCTCTTCGGCCTGCTGCTTCGTCTTGAGAAGACTGCTGTTGGACGCCGTCGTAGTGAGCCTGGCAAAGAAGGACCTCAAAGACGGAGCCTCGCCTGAGCCGTACAAATCCGAGGCCTTTGCCGTGGACGCTGCTGCTTGCGGCTTCCAACCAACTACGTTCATAAAGGACGCATCGATCTGCGTGCTTGTACGACCTACGCTGGTCACCTTCATGATGTTATCCTTTGTCCTGGCCTCCAGGTCGCGAGGCAGAGCCAGGTCGACATTTGGCGACGTCTTCTTGTGAAGAGACAGAATCAAGTGGTCATCGATCCAAAACTCAATCTTCTCCAGCGCGACAAAGGTCAAACTCGTAGCGAGAAACTGGCAGACGGACAGCAGGTTCGGCATGGGAGTCGTCGCATTTCTATAGTCTAGCACGAAGGCGGTGTATGGCGAACACTTGTCCTCGGGCAGATGTGACTTTTTTGTAAAGAGAGAGTTGCCTTTCCAGTAAAAGGCCATGGCCTCGCTTCCGGAGCTGACAAAGGGCTCCTCGCAGTCGGCAAAGACGCTGTAGAAGCCGACGCCAAACGCACCGATCTTGGTCTCGTCCGGATTTCCCTCCGCGATCCTCTTCAGGCGGCCCCAGTCCGTCTTTGTAAACGGCTGGCCGTTGTTCTGCACCACCAGCCGCCGCAGCGTGTGGTTGGCTATCGTGTGCTTCAGCAGTTCGGATCGGGACGCCGCGCTCGGCAAGGGGACGGTCGTCGACGGGTGCGTCTCCCACTTGATGGACACGGTCGTGGCCTGCGCATCGGCGGCGTTCTGGATGAGCTCTCGCAGGGTCGTCCACTCTCCCGAGTACCGGGCCAGGACCTTGTCTATCAGGGCGCGAGTGTCGACGGTGACGGCTTCTTCGTCTTCGCCGTCTCGCAGAGCGGCCGCCCGCAGGCTTGAGTAGTCCATCGCCATGGTTGTAGAAGTTTTCTTAGTGTTCACGGGCGCATTCTCTATCGTTCGCGGCGCAAGACTGGAAGCATGAAGCAAGGACAGTAAGTATCAGTATAAAGCAGCTGGCAAAGGGGGGGATGCATGCAAACATACGAGTCGGCAAGTCTATAAACGGTGGCAACAAAGAAAAGAAGACTCCAGAAGCAAAGCAAAAGCCCAGGCGCACGCTCGCATTCGTTTGTGAAGGAGGATGGATGGCGATTCTAGGAGCTGACGTCGCGACTTGCGCCTACAGTAGTAGCGCCTACTGTTGCAGTCCTTGTCGGTATCGGCTTCGATCCATTGACTGCTGAGCCGCAGGTGGCGAGAATGTGGCCGGTTTAGGGGATTTGTGACGCTCGGCAGCCCAGACCTTTAGCGGTGTTCCAGCAGTCGGCAGTGGGCGGGATCCCCTGGGCTGCACAACGGGCACAGGTTATCAAGGTACAGGAAGTACTACTAATAGGTACGGAGTAAAGCCTACTAGCTCGCGGCCTCTCGTCTACCTTATCGAGTCAAAGTGTGAGCTTGAGGCCATGCATCATCTACCTGGGTATCTCCTGTATATCGCCTCTGTTGAGAACGAGCTCGATCCGAAATTGCCATTCCAGTTCACCAGCACAACGATGGACGACCTACCAGATAGATTGCTACATGTGGACAGGATCTTCTGGTAGAATAGAGATCGCCTACAGATTCAATCGGATGCACGACGACGGCAGACTGGATCTTTTAATCCCTGGAAACAATGCGATCGAAGTCCACGAGATGTGATGCGATTGCCTCTTCTGCCTTGAGGCAGAGCAAACAAAGATTGCACTGGTCTCCCCTCTGTAATACTCCTGAGCAATATCAAAAGGTAGTAGGTAGGTAGGTAGGTAACTTCCAGTACCTTACTTGTCTATAGGTACCGAATGGTAAGATACTGATATAATAGGTATATCTGCAATAGGTGAGGCGTCCAACGCACTGCCCTGTACCTTAGCTCTCCTCCATACATATACCCTGTATGTGAGTCGCAACTCCATTTGCTGAAGTTGAGGAGAGGAGCTCATGTGCCATCCAATGAGTATCGAATAAGCTTGGGTCTCCTTTCGCGTTCGAGCTAAAGTATACATCACACACATGCTCCGTACACAGAACCTAGTCTCGGACGTAAATGCTGCAGGCGCTACAGTACCAAGGACTTTTACGAAACCACATTGCTAACCAGAAGGAGTGTTCTCTGTTAGGAGAGACCTTTCCCCCGCGCAATGCTGGCTCAGTGACATGCAGGTCGCGACACGGTTTGGGCGAGTGGTGCAGCGTCGGAGGGTATATGTATGTACCTCTAATGCGCGTCTAGGCAAGCTGCCCGGCTTCATCACGCTTCCCCCAGTCCCCCACCTGTTTCCGCCTCTTGGTTGCCTTTTACAAGTCTCGTCTTATGTATTTCTATATGGCACAAGTGGTTCGCGAACCAGCATCCCGCCAGATCCTCGAAAATGACAACGCCTGCCAAAGACGATGCCACCACTCGGGAAACCACCCTTGACCAGGAGTTCGACAGATTGGTCCCAGTTTGCCAGCACATCTCGATCTGGGCGAGGAAACTGACCAGTTCGGAGAGGCCCTTGACCGCGCTGGCGGCCAAGCACGTCCAAGACCTCTGTGCCACCATCGTACAGCTCAGGATTTACGCTACCGAACCAAGCCGTGGCCCTGCCGATGCTCGTCAACTCTCGCAGAGTCTCACGCGCTGCAAGAGACAGCTCTTCGAAACAATAAGCCTGTTGAGTTTCACCAGCGGAGCAGAGCAGGATGATCAAGAGGGCGCCATCAACGAACTATACGCGCGCAGGCATATTTTGGGCAGTGGCACTTACAGCGACTACACGCCTCCGAGCCATGGCAGGGTAGACGGCATGATTCGCTTTGGATTAGAACTGAAAGGGATAATTGAAGCACTGGTCTCGGACAGCCCCGCCGCGGGACTCACGCCAGCTGCTGCGGTTACCCGCTTTCAACAGCTAGAGTAAGTTCAATGCTTGTCCCTACATGACCTACCTTGCCAATACCTAAGGTAGGACCTACTAGAAGTACCTACCTAGTAACTGCCAGGTGCACGTCTGCTGTTGGGTTCACAAAGTATTAGCGGAGGTAATGGAAGAGTCTCATGGGGCGCTCTCACTGACAGTGTCGTTGCCGTAGGCCCAGGATTCTGGAGCTGTTCACCAGCACCGACGAGCTCTTCAGCCCCCGACATGTCCAGAAGTATCAAAGCATTGCAGAAACCCCATATATCCTGGACACCACTGGCGAAGCGTACGCGGGCAGCTATGGCACAGTGCAGAAGGTGGTTCATAAGCGTACCGGCGAGCCGCTGGCAATGAAGACGTTCCAAAACATCTTTTCCAAGAAACAGCGTAAACAAATTCTAAGAGAGATTGGAATCTTGGAGGTCTGCGACCATCGGAACATAGTCTCTTTTATCCATGCGTTCAGCACCGAGGATGACGACCAGGCCATACGGGTCGTCATGTCTCCATGGGCACCGTACACACTGCTGCGGTTTCTCAGCAGCTTCGACAACAAGAGAAAGGCTTGCTGTCCCTGGTTCCAGCCAGACGCGGCCCAGTCCAACCGGCACATCTACCGGATCATGTACGAGCTGGCCGACGCAGTCGACTTTCTCCATGGCCATCGTATCAAGCACAAGGATATCAAACCCGACAATATCCTCCTGTACCAGGAAGCCAGCGAGTCCCCTACGGCCTTGATCACTGATGTCGGCGTCAGCAAGATCTACAAGCCGGGGGGGCCAACCAACTTTGACAAAAGCACCTACGCGTATCTGGCGCCTGAGCAGCACGCCAAGAAGGAAAGCAGTCTGCGATCCGATGTGTGGCAGCTGGGGTGCTGCTTCGCAGAGCTCCTTGCGGTGGCCAAGAGCGGCTTCTCGGGCTACGAGAAGCTCCATTACAGCTTCAACCGTGACGAGGAAGACTGCGCATGCTCCATTGCCCTCGAGCGCCCTTCATTCACCGCGGCATTCGGCGACATCTGCATGCGAGGCAGCGCTGCGCAGAAGAAGGCGTACGCGGTGGCAGCCGCAATGCTGGAGCTGGAGCCGCAGGACAGGTGGACGATCGACAAGGTCAGGGGTGAACTCTCCAAATTGCCTGGTGTCAAGCAGAGAGCGTGAATGAGGAAACGACGAATGCATGCAGCGATGGATTTACAACAGTTGAGTGCCTCAAGAAGGTTACAGCATATAGATGCGCGTGGATTTAGTACGCTTTACCACAGGCCGGCGAGCTTGTCTTTCTTTCTCTTTGTTTTTTTTTTTTTTTTTCTTTCCTTTCTTGTCATTATAGAATGGGTTTTGAAGACAATTTGACAGATGATACCTGGTAGATGTAAATATAATGCACACACTTCCTCATCAGATGATTCCAGCCGACGGTCCGGTGAAGCATATATTGGGTATCATTAAATATGACAATTTACTTGATGAGCTGGAAGCGGAATGTCGCCAAGGGCTAATCGTCTCGGCGCGAGCTTGGCCCTGGGCTCCGTCGTCGGTGTTCCCTCGACCGCGATCGATATCGATCCCTGCTCCTGTCTCTATGCCTTCTTTCGTCGCGCCTATCGCCCTTTCCGTCACCTCTTCCATCGGCCCTTCTGTTGTCTCGCCGATCTCTGCTTCGACTCCTACTTCTGTCGCGATCCCGGCGATGTCGACGCTCCCGGTCGCGGTCATCTCGTCCTTCCGCCCGATCACGACTGCGCCGCCTGTGGTCCCTATCGCGTCGCCGTTCGGGACTCCTACTTCTGCTCCTGCTTCTGCTCCTGCTTCTGCCCCTGCTTCTGTCCCTGTGTCTTCTGCGCTCTCTCCTCTCGTCGCCATGTCGCCTCGACCTCTCCGGCCTCGATTCGTCCCGACCAGCGTCTCTCGGCGGTCCACTCGCAGGCCCAACTTGTCGCTTGGGCTCGACCTCGACAGCATTGGCCCCAGAGGAATTCCTTACAGGCGGCGGCAGGCCCAATGCTCTGGCCATGGCGTCCTCCTCCGCCTCCTTGATCCTGCGCAGCTCCTCCTTGTGTTCCCGGGCCTTGCGCTCTTCGTCCGTCTCGGCCGAGTCTGCAGGTGTGGCGTCTGATTTGGCGTACCAGTTCAGGTCTCGGCCTTTGGCCCATCTTCCAACGGGCGCCTTGAGGCTGTGGCCGAGGTAGTTTTCGCGATGGCTGGAGTTGGCGACTTCGTCCCAGCTGAAGTTGACGCCGCCTCGCGAGCCCGTTTTGCGGATGGTGGAGAGGAGATCCATGGTCGCGGGTCGTCAATCTTGAAGTAACGGGAATCGTTCTATCTCTGTAGGTTCTGTAGTCGTAGCTACTTGACAGTCCTCGTTGGTCGGCTGAGGTGTATTATCATGAACCGCGCGCAAGTAGAAGAATGACGAATGAATAATGAAGAAAGTCGAAGGCGATGGTGCTCAATGCCACTGGGCAGATTGATGACGACCCGCCCGCTAAAATGCAGAACCCCACGCCTCAAGCTCGGGCTGCTATAGCGCCCCTCCTACAGCTGCCAACCCACTAAAAGCTTCTAACGTAATACTACCTAGACAGACGCATCTCCCAGCTTCACTTCACATGATGTGAACATTCCTTCTCTCCATCACCAGCCCTCACGCATCAATCAACAGCGCCCGCACAATGGCAAACCCCAACGATCCCCCCCTCGACGAGATCCAATGGCGCTCGCCCCAGATTGTCGCCCAGATGGGCGGCCTGCACTCCAACACGATCCTCTTCTACTTTGCCGAGTCGCCCTTCTTCGAGCGCACGTCCAACAACGCCGTCATCATGGCCCAGGCCATGAACAACATGGCCATGTACCACTACATCCAGACGCGCGAGGCCTTTGAGACGCGCCTCAAGACCATGTCCGGGCTCGAGTTCATTGTCGGCGAGGAGCCCGCCGAGACGGGGCCCGGCATGGGCACCGGCGTCTGGGTCATTCGCAAGCAGACGCGGCGCAAGCGGTACCAGGACGACGACGAGATCACGGTGCACGCTTCGTTCTTCGTCGTCGGCGAGAACATCTACATGGCGCCCACCTTGGCGGACATCCTGGCCTCGAGAATAGTGCGTTCCAAGTCAGGAATATATCACCTCGGCCATGTCCGGTGCTAACCTCTCGTTCTTCTAGATGACGATATCTACAGCCATCGCCAGGGCATTGCCCGCTGCCGAAGCAGCCCGCAAATGGCGTCCCTCCACCGGCCACGTCTACCACCTCCCCTCGACCCAATCCTCCTCCTCCCAGCACCATCCCAGGCCGCAAGGATCCAAAGAACAAACCCCCGCCATCGACGACCCCAACAACAAGCCCGCCTCTTCAGCAGCAGCAGCAACAGCAACAACAGCCATCGCAAAGCACGACGCCCCGTCCCTCGATAGAGTCGCCGAAGAAGCCTTCATGATGCACCTGCGCCACGGCGGAGAATACATTGACGAGATACCCATCACGGGCAAGCCTGGCGACTTCCATCTCTCGTCGACGGGCCGCAAGCCGGTGCTCCCTCCACAGGGCGCGGGCAAGGCGACGGGCATCAGCGCCATGGGCGGCCCGCCGATGATCAACACGAAGCTGGACGACAAGAAGGATGGCAAGGCGGAGAAGACGCCAAAGTCGGCGACGTCGCCCAAGCTGAAGCGGAGGAAGAGCAAGATGAGTCCTAGCGTGACTCCCGCGGCGACTCCGGCGCCTTCATGATTTGTCTATCTGCGTGTCGAGGAAGTGGGAAAATCTTATGGGCGTTTTGGTCTTACGGGGGGAGACATGGGTTAAAGCGGCGTTTGGGTTACGGTTCTCGATACCCTCTTTGAAAAGGTGGTTTCAAGTTATTGGCGGGCACATAGATCGAACCTCATATGCAGGAGAGCATCAGGCAAACAAGCGACAGAACAATACAATGGATTTGTTCTTCACACACTTCGAGAATCCTCATACATAGCTTATTGATATTAATCATCTAATAGTTACGCCTCACACAGTTTTGCCCACCCACTTAAAACGCCGTAAACAGATTCTATATCATCTCCAATCCTCACCATCACTCAACAACCCACCCCTTACCCGCCACCTTCCTCTGCTTCACCTTCTGCGCCGGCAAAGGCCACCCCTGGCCCGCCGTGTTCTCCGCCCTCAGATACGGCACCACCCAGCACTCCCTCGTCGTCGCTCCGTCCGCACCCAGAGACTGCGCCTTCACCTCCTTGATCGGCTTCCCGTAACTAATCAGCGGCGTGCCCTTTGCCAACCCCGCGAGCTGCCCCCCCGTCACGTCCGTGAGGGCATGCATCCTCGTCTTGGGCGTCTTGCCCGAATCGAGCGCGCCAGAGGGCGTTGCCCGCTGTAGGAACGCATACACAATGTACTCGGGACACTCCTGCGGACTGACGTGCGCGAGGCAGGACGACGGATGGATGTACACGCAAGGGTTCTCGCCGCTGCTGCTGCCGGGCTTGTGCAGGGGCACGAGCGGGACGTACGGCACGTCAATGGCGCGGCGAGGCTTCCTGAACTGCTCGGGCGGGTTGGGCGCGAGGTCGGCCCGGATGGCGACCTGGTCGAGGAAGCCCGCGGCCGTCATCTGCTTGAGCGCCGAGACCTGCTTGGGCGACGGCGGGTCGAGCTTGTCCTGGTACTGCAGCGCGGCGAAGGAGGGGATGTTTGTGCGGAGCAGGTCCGTGATTTGCTTGCGCAGCTGCTGGATCTCCTTGAGCACCTTGTACCGGACAAAGTGCCTCTCGCACCACTCCTCCGTCGGCTCGTGGGCGAACTCGCCAACCACTTGCAGGAGCTTGATGGCGTCGGACTTGTCGTCCAGGAAGCAAAAGTTCTTGTGCACCTGGTTGAACAGCCGGCGGACGTTGGCCTGGCGGTCCTCGGCGATGACGTCCGCCGCCGTGCGGATTTCGGTGTCGTCCTTCTCGGCCAGGGCCGGGATCGCCGTGTTCTCCGGCAGGTAGACTTCTGCGGCGGACAAGCCTGCCACGAGGGCGATTGTGTACGGGAGGCAGTTGTGGAGGTGGCCCACGAGCAGGATCCTTGAGAAGCGCGGCGACAGGGGGAACAGGGACATTGTCGTTCCGACTTTGGTGACTTGTCCGCTGGGCGATATGGCGGAGAGGTATGTGAGCAGCTTCTCGGCCTTGGCGAGCATCTGCCGGTCGGGCGGCGTGGGAAAGGGGAAGTTGACCACGTTTTGCAGGTTCATGGCCTTGAGCTGCAGCACGATACCCTCGATGGGCATCCGCAGCAGTTCGGGGTCCGAGAACTCGGGAAAGTCCCGCTCGTAGACGGCCGACGAGTACAGTCTGTAGCAGTGACCGGGGCCCGTACGTCCGGCACGACCCGATCGCTGGCTGGCGCTGGCTTTGCTGATCCACCCGATCTCGTAGCTCTGGACGCCGCTCAGGCGGTCGTAGTTCCGTTCCTTGGAGCGTCCGCAGTCGAAGACGAAGCGAGTGCCGGGGATGGTCAAACTCGTCTCGGCGACGTTGGTTGCCAGGATGATTTGCCGAGTTCCCTCGGGGGGCTCTTCAAAGACTCTCAGCTGCTCTTTGACGGGGAGCAGGGAGTATAGAGGCAGGACCTGCATCTTGAGAGGGACGACCTCATCTTCCTCATCAATCTTGAACTCGTCTTCGCCCTCTTCGTTCTCGTCGTCAGACTCGATGCCGTCCACGTCGTCAAAGTCATGCTCGTCAACGTCGCCGAAATCGAGATCCTCGACTTCCACTGGTGCTTCTGTCGCCGATATCTGCACCTTGGGGCCGTCGGCTGTTCTTGAACCTCCGAAGGCGGCCTTGAGCTTTTTGCTCAGCTGCAGAATCTCATTGCGACCTGTCAGGAACACCAAGAAGCCTCCAGGGGGCAGTTTCTTGTGGCCGCGGCAGATCTTGCGGAACGCCTCTTCCACGTAGTCGTGGTGAGTCCGCCGTGCGAAGTGGATGGTGACGGGGTGCTGCCGTCCTTCCACCTCGACAACAGGGGGCGGTGTTGAGAAGAGGGTAGGGTTCATCGTCATGTCTTCTATCCTTAGCGTGGCAGACATGATGATGAGTTTCAGGGGCTTGATGGTCGGGTCCTCCTGTGACAGCTCAGCTCTCAGCTTGATGACTCGGCTGAGCATGCCAATCAGGATGTCGGTGTTGACGCTTCTCTCGTGGGCCTCGTCAATGATAATAGCCGAGTACTTTCGCAGCGTAATGTCCTGGGCAACCTCTCGCAGCAAGACACCGTCCGTCATGAACTTGATGGCCGTCTTGTCGTCGACGTTGCCCTCGAAACGGATCTGGTAGGCCACGGCCTTTGAATGATCACCCAGCTCGTCTGCCACTCGCTTGGACATGCTGACTGCAGCAACCCTACGGGGCTGCGTGACGCCAATCATGCCGGGTGTTGGAGAGTCGGGAGATCCATAGCCCGCCTCATACAAGAATTGAGGCACCTGTGTGGTTTTACCCGAACCAGTCGATCCACAGATGACGACAATGTCATGGCTGTGGATGGCTTCCATCAGTCTCTGCTCCTCAGCTACGACCGGCAGCTTCATTCGAGCCTCCTGAATTTCGGGTGTCCGCACAACAGGCACGCTGTAGACTTTTCGTGACGTCTTCTCATTGACCTGAAGTTCCATCGGCAAGGGATCCTGCTCGGGCGCTCTCGGGACAAAGTTCTCTGGCTTGGGTATCTCCAGAATAGCCGCTGTTGGGTCTACGGGCTGGTATCCAAGGGCTTCATTCCGCTGCTGCTGGGCCCATGCCTTGAATGAAGACGATCTTTGAGTCTTTTGTTCTTCGTCTATTTCCTCCTCTTCCTCTTCTTCATCGCTTGTTTCTTCTTCGGATTCGGCGTCGTCGTCCGCGGAATCTTCGCTTGAGCTTTCGTCGGATTCTTGGTCGGACTCGTCTTCCTTGGTTTTATCCTCCTCGTCGCCACTGAAACCGCCCCATTCATCGTCATCTCCTGATTCTTCCGAAGCTGGCTGTTGGGTTGCGACGAGTGTAACCTTGGTCTTGAGTCCTCCTCTCTTCTGTCGCTTTTGAATTTTCGGTCGGCCTTCGTCGTCCAGTTCGAGTGGCCGCTTGAGGCCTGATCCAGCAGCAACCGCCGGCTTCGTTGTCTCTTTAACGGGCTCAGTAGTGGTTTTAGGTTCCTCAGCCTCTGCCTCTGCCACAGGTGCAGCAGTGGATGTACCCTCATCCGACATGTGCGCATCATCTTCATCCTCTCCCTCCTCATCCACCTCCGGCCTCTCCTGAAACAGAATACCCTCCACCGAAGCCGTAGGATCAACCCCCGCCCGATGCTCCCGCAACGCCCTCGACAAGGCCTGCTTCTTGGTCTCGCGGCCCTGCCCCAGCGCCTTGCTGCTCGCAAACAGGCTCGTGTCGATCTTGCGCTCGGCCAGCTTCGCCAGCAGCTCGCGGTTCTCGTCCTTGCGCAGCTTGTTGTCGATGTACTTCTCCAGGCGCTTGGCCTTCTTGCCGCTCACCTTGGCGCCATCCTGCTTCAGCTGCTCCTTGAGCCGCGCCTTTTTCTCCTCGAGATCCTTCTTCTTCTTCGCGGCGGCCGGCAGGATCTCCTGGTTGGTGTCTTCGACTTCGTGGCGCGCGCTTTCCTTGGCGCGCTCGCGGGCGAGCACCTTGTGCTTGCGCTGTCTGGGGACGAACTTGGCCATCTTTTGAGGGAGGCTTTGTGTAGGGGAGCAGTTGAGCCTCTATGACATCTCTGCTGACTGCTGGAGAGGTAGGTAGTTAGTTTGTGCCAATTTGGCGGCGGTTGGGAAGCGCAGCGCTATCGCGGGCAAGCAAAAATAAAAAAAAAAAAGGCCGATAACCAGAAATTTTGGCAGATAAGTGGTTTTGCCGCTGGTGACCGCCAAAGTCTCGACACCTTTTGGGAATAGTGCGGGGACCCCAATTCCGCTGCTTCATCTTCGAGCTATTCACCAAGCTCAACTGACTTACCCTGGATCTTCAGTCATCCAAAGGGCAAATTCGTTGAATTCAGAATGGCAACGCTGGATATCAGGCCGGATAGCTTCCCAGCTCGGAGCAGAGCTGCCTCTGGGCTGGTCAATGGTGTTCCTACAGAGGTCTCGCTGTTGGAGTTTTCCGACAAGATCATGATCACGATAAGCCAAGAGGGCCGACTGGCGCAATGGGTGAGTCCTGACCACCAACTCACCACAGCTTCATAGATAATGACGCTTACGACGTCACAGATCCAAGTCCCCATGATGGGAACCACAGCAGGCATCGTCGACATGGCCCTCCCCAGCACCAACCACGGCCTGCTCCCCTCCACTCACCTCGCCCCCAAGACGCTGCTGGGAGGAGGCGGCGACGAGAGGGAAACGCTCGGACAGCTGTACGCCTCGCAGATTGCCAGCCACATCTCGTTGAAATCTCCCGAGGAGAGGCGGACGCTGGTGTTTGGGTTTGGGCTTGCCAAGGCGGAAAAGGAGCAGGAGGCGTTTTTCGATCTCTTTGAGCTGGCTCTCAAAGTGCTGTGAGGGGGACCGCTAGACATGGACATGGGACGAGTTACATGAGCGTCATATCCCGCATGCTTCGACCGCGGAATCATTCAGCAACGTCTGATTGATCGATCTTCAGTCGTATGACCATACATAGTTGCTCTGCAAGTCGGCTTTGGGCAAAGCCTGTTGTTAATGGAGCAAATTGATGACCTCACATTGAAGACGTATCAACACAAGACAAACCTGGGGACATTGATCATGCCTATCCAGCTTTCACAGGCAAAAAAGAAAAAGAAAAGAAAGGTCAAATACATCAATCGTGTCAACTACACAGCTCAGTACAATTGAGCAGAGATGCAAAAAGAAAAGAACCTGGACGAACGGGGAATCGAACCCCGGACCTTTCCCATGCGGGAGGCAACTGGACCGCTGCCGATGCTAAGGGAAAATTATACCACTAAACCATCCGCCCATGATTGGTTGGAAGCCTTTGGCTCGTATTAGTCTCTATACGGCTGGCTCACTCACCCGTATTGCACGGGAATCTCCGAGTGCATTCAAAACTCATCACTCAAGAATCAACATCATCATCCATCAAGCGACAAAACATACAAAACATGGCGCTCATCGAGTTATTCATTCAATCATGCATCTACCTGTCTAGGATCCCCTACAAAAGGGGAAAACTCAGCAGCACCGCCGACGAATCCGGCACGTCAACCGTCACCTGTCCGTTCCTCACAACCGCCGTCTCCCCAACCGTCACATTATGCAGCCTCACAGGCTTCCCCTTGTCCAGCTCATAGTTATAGCTCCAGCCATCAAACGTGATGCCGGTGATCGCATCGCTGCCGTTGGCCAGCAGCCGCTGCACCCCGACCCGCGCCCCGTTGCGCACGCCGCTCACGGCAAACGTGTACTTTTGGCTGGGCCGAGGAGGCGGGCTGGGGACGGGCTCGAGGCCCTGGCCGTCGACGGTGGTGTTGTAGCCGCGCATGTTGAGGACGGTGATGCGGGCGAGGTGGCCCCTGAGCAGGCCGCTCGAGTAGTGCGCTGCGTAGGCGGCCTCGCGGGCGTCGGGCAGCGGGAGGTTGGTGATGCTGACGGGGAGGAGGGCCGAGTTGCCCAGCGTGGCGGCGACGGCGATGCTGCCGTAGTAGGGGGCCTTGGTTCCTCTGGAGGCCAGGTCCGTCTCGACGGGTTGCCACGCTTGGTACTGGTCCCTTGTATGTCAGCCGTGTTCGTGACTTGAGTATCGAGGACAGAAGGGGGAGGGGGGGGGGGGGGGGGGGGGGAGCTTGTATCACTTACACGGTAGTTGGTGCCCATGTGCATGTGGACGCGCTTGAAGCCGACCGACGCTGCATAGAGGTTGAAGTCGATGCCCCAGAGCGCGGCTCCAAACGTGTTGGACAGGCCGGGCCTGCCCTGGTTGTAGAGGGAGTTGCACTCGCCAAAGATGAGGGGCGTCGCCTTTTGCGCCTGGGCGGTGGTGAAGATGGCGTTGTACTCGGGGAGGTGGCCCTCGACGGAGCCGACGGTCCTGGTGTGGTTCATCAGGGTGCCCTGGAGGGTGACGCCGGGAGACGTGGCACCGCTGATGTAGCTGTTTGTCTGTGTTAGCACGGCTAGGTCTTTATAGGTGTAGACGAAGAAGGAAGGGCTTACTTGTGGGTGGAAAAGTATTCAATGTTCTTGTTCTTGTCCAGGCCGTCCTGGAACGCAGGGATCGCCTTGAGATGGTTGCCAGTGCCGGCAAAAGACGGAGCCATAAACGTGGGCTCGCCAAAGAGGGCCAGCGCAGGGCAGTGCTTGACGATTTGCTTCTTGATCTCGGCCGTGCCGTTGAGCCACTGCCAGACATACGTGCTCTCGTTCCAGCTCGACGGCCGCACGGGGCCCTGAGCCGACGTCGAGAAGAGGTCAGGCTCGTTGCCGTACTCCCACGTGTACAGGTTTCCGTGGCTGAGGGCCTTGCAGGCCAAGGGGACCGTGTCGGAGAGGGTCTGCCACCCCTCCGATCTGTTGCCGCCGAGCCCGAGGTTGAAGCCGTGAGAGAACTTGACGCCGGGCCAGGTGCCGTAGGACTCGAAATACGATGGTCCGATGTGGATGGTGGTTGGGTAGTCGGGGGACCGGCTGGGGTTGACGATTCCGACGAGGGACGTCTCCTGGGACGCGTTGTAGAGGGCATAGTCCTGGGTGTTGCCGCCGACGCGGATGTAGGGCTTGGATCCAGAGAGGGCGCCGAGGTTATTGATGAGGTTGTAGGAGAACAAGTTGGGAGACGACTTGTTGCCTATGAAAGACGGTTAGGACCAATTGGTAACTGGGGGGAGCAGCAGAGGAGGACTTGTTACCGGCAAACTCTGGAAAGGAAGAGAACTCGATTGAATAGCTCACGAAGCCGTCGAGGGGCTCGCCCTTGGGGTTGGGCTGAGAGGGCACGGTATAGACCTGAGCCGAGACGGAGGAGGTGGCGCCGAGCAGCGCAACGAGGGCGCTGTGTGTCAACATGATGTCGAGACCGTCAATTGACCGGATCTGTTGACGAAAGGCTGAAGGAGAAGAAGCGGTGGTAAGGTAGGATGAGGAGACGCGCTGCTGATGACACTTTTATACGTTGTGCCCTGGCTCCGGACCCTGTAGCCCATAGTAGCTCGCCAGCTGGGATGATCTCTTCCGGATGGTTACATTACTTGACGACTGAAGCTTGATTCTCCATTGTGTTTCCCCCCGCATGATGTGATGCAACCCGGTCCCTTGCTAGTCGACGAGGCCGTTCGTGGGTGAGCGGCCTCGGCCTGGGGGAGGGTTGCACCACCTACCGAAACGGGATCATGACGATGACAAGCTCCGGCTTGATGATGGACTGAAGAGATGGGTTGATGTTCGCTCTCTTCATTGAACTGAGTGAGTCCCTGCATCTTCTTGAATATCAAGGTCCTTCTTTGAACAGAGACGATGATATTGTAACTTTGCGTGAGAGGCTGAGCAGGATACTAATCGCGAATCGACAGGGCCCAAAGCCGTCAGACACGGGTCTGTCCCCGGAAACAAAAAGATCGGGCCAGGCATTGCTCTCCACGCTGCCATACCTACACTAACACGATCCATGTCAAGCCGCCTCTCGGGCCGAATCACGACGTTTTTCCACGGCCAGCGCCGCAACAGAGAGATTCCGCGAATGGGGTGTCGAGCCGGCCAAGCTTCCCCGCGATTCGTCCTCCCCGGTAGTAGAACCTCATCCTTGTCCTCAAATCGAGAAACCCCCGCATAGTTGGGAGTATGCAGTACGTATTAATAAGTGAGTCTCGCCAGAGTGTTGTGGCAGGGGCAAGGCTGAGCCGTTGATGAGCGTCGTCGAGTAAGGATTTGAAGGATAGATGATGCTACTACTATGTGAACCTGCGGCGGGGAATTGCATGCGAAATTCGACAGAGGGTGTCAGTGTCATCCATGAGGTTCCGGAAATTCGGTCGTCTGGGTCACCCTTTTTTGCCTTTCTTTTTTCTGCATCATTACATGTATAAGCACTTGCTGGCTACCTATCTAAGTTGAATACTATTCGATTGAAGAAGCTGGCAATGTCATTGTGCTTTCACGTCTGCGATGCTGCCTTTGTGATGGCTTCATACCTATATATCCAGTATACGACCTCTAAAGCCGGGGCAAGAGTACGGGTGAGCTTACATAACTCGCAGCAGCTTCCACATTAGAAACCGATGCACTTTCATTGGCTGACAGATCGAAGCAATGAAGAAGCATCTCAAGGTAATGGAGTGAGCCGATAATCATTGCATCAAGAATCAAAGAGCACGTATATATACGTATGTAATAAGATGTACCCGCTTAGACACGAATCCTCCAGATGCCGGCATTGTCAAGAAACCAAAGTATCCACGCCCAAGTGTCAGGTATTGAATACACGCCCATTCGCATGATGCGCCATGTAAAGTCGGGTTACCGATTCGAGGCACTACCTACGACCGAAGGAGGCGTCGGAATAAGCACTGGGACTAAGCGAATGCGAGGGTTGAGCTGAGATGACCCGAATCACCTGATTTGCGTCAGAGGATGCAACCAGCTCAACGACTCTCTCTAGAAGCCAGTATAAATTGTCTCGACAGAGCCTCTCTCTCTCTGTCTGTGGCTTGAGAATCATCGTGTGAAGCTACATATCCATCTAAACCTTGTCTGTACTGCCGGCAACTTGTTCAACAACCAATCAACCCATTTTTGTTCACTGAGAGACTCAACTATAGGTAACTGAGCTCTCAACTCACAACCACATCACGACAACTACATACCACAACACCAAAACAACCAGACTCTGCGAAACGAGACAGAAAACAGACAACGGAACTCGAAACTGCCAACTCACCCAGCAAGACGAATAAAAAAGAAACAAAACAAAAACAACAACACCACGTCAGCCCAAAAAACTCATCATCACCCACCATGTCCCGCCTCTTCCCTCACACCCCCTACGCCGAAGACCAGCCGCTCTCGCACCTCATCCTCACCACCCACGTCCTCACCCGCGGCATCACCACCGGCTCCATCATCGGCCTCACCCTCACCTCCCTCCGGCAATCCATCCCTTCCCTCCGCCGCCGCCCTTCCCCCCCTTTCCCCGAACAGCTGCTCCTCTCCGTCACCCGCAGCACAGTCATCACCACCGCCATCGTCAGCGTCGGCCTCGCGGCGCGCATGTGGGGGCGCCAACCCATCGAGTGGCAGGACCGCAGCTGGAGACTGCTCGAGAACAGGGGCCAGCTCGAGCTCGACGACTGGACGTACTCGGGCATGGGCGCGGCGCTGCTGGCCACGGGGCTGATGAGGCTCAGGGGCGGCGGAGGGCCGGCGAGGCTGGGATGGAGAGGCGTGGCGGGCGCGGCGGGCATGGGCAGCGTCGGGGGCATGATTGGGTACATGGCGTGGCGGTATGGCGTCAACGGGGGTAAGTTTGTGGAAACGGACAAGAAGGGGGAGAGGAAGGGCATCTGAGGAGAGAGTTGGTACCATAAGTTTGTAATGGCACGACGGACTGGATATTGTAACATTACCTGCACATGTATTGGGAGAAGCTCTCATCTCGTGGTCTATCTAGCTGGCTTTATCATGACTTATATCCCTCCTCCTCCTCCTCCCCCTCCTCCTCCTTCCCCCCTAACATCACAACTTGGCTCGCGGCTCCTCCACCTCCTCAATCTTCTGATACCGGTAAAAGTGGTCCAAGCACTGCGGGTTCAGCAGCGTGCCGCTCGGCTTGACCGTCTCCCCCGAGATGATTTTCTTGACCGGCATCTCGACTTTCTTGCCATTCACCGTAACCTGCACCACCAAGTCAGCCATCATCAATCAACCCACCCCCCGAGGCGAGTAAAGCATAACAGGGGACATCTTGGAACGTACCGGTATCTCGGGAACCTCAAACACATACTTGGGCACATGCCTCTTAGTCAACTCCCTCGCAACCGCCCCCTTGATCCTCTCCACCAGTCCCCCATCAAGCCTCAGCCCAGCCCTCATCACCACAAACAGCACCACCCGCTCGTCCGCATCCTGGGACCTCCTCTGTCCAACGCACAAGCTCTCCGCAACCTCGTCCGGGAAGCACTTCTCCATCACGGCATAGATATCCGCGCTCCCGAAGCGCACTCCGCTCGGATTCAGCACCCCGTCTGACCGTCCCAGCAGATGGACCGCGCCCGTAAGGGGGTGGATGGCGCAAAAGTCCCCCTGGGCCCATACGCCCTTGAAGCGCTCAAAGTACGCCGCCCGGTACTTTGGTCCGGGAGCAGGTCCGGGCCCGTCGTTCCAGAGAAACACGGGCACGTTGGGGAAGGCCGCCGTGGCGACGAGATCGCCTGCCTGGCCGGGAGGAAGCGGAGTGCCGGTGCTGCCGTCGGGGAGATCGTGGTCAAAGGCGGCGATGGGGACGCCCAGGGAGCCGTTCTGGCAGCCGCCGACGTAGACGGGATCCAGGGGGTTCTCCTGGGCAAAAGCACCAGCCTAGCCACTCCTCATTAGCAGCCGTTAGAGAAGGAAAAAAATCTCCAGAAGAACAAAAGAGGACAACTCACGATATCTGTCCCCCCTGTAATGTTGGCCAACTGCACCCTCGCCGGGAACCCCTGATCGTAGAACCACTCAAACATGCGCTCCGGCAGCACCATCCCCGTCGAAATCACCGTCCTCAATCTCCCCAGATCAAACTCTTCCCTTGGCACAATTTTCTCCTTCATCCACTCCCCCATCAACCGCGGTCCAGCCCCCAGAATCGTAACCTTCTGCTCCGCCGCAATCCGCAGCAACACCTTTGAATCAGGCACAAGCGGCGAACCATCATATGCCACGCAGCGCGCGCCGTATACCATGGGCGATATGCTCCCCAGATACATGATCCACCCCGTGATGGTAAACTGCAGCCCGACATCGTGGTGCTGAATGTCGCGGTGGACATGGTTCTCCTTGCTACACGACAGAAACATTGGTCCCACGGCATGGACGATGGCTTTGGGCGTGCCTGTTGTCCCTGATGAAAATACAATAACGCCGGGCTCTTGGAACTCGACTCTGACGAAAGCTGGAGGAGGCTTGTTGACGCCTGCTTGGAGGAACGTCTCGAGGCGTTGCGTCTTGGGGATGGAGCTTGTGTCCAGGGGCTTTGCAAAGCGCTGGATGATGACGAATGACTTGAGCTGGTCACAGCCTGCCATGCCCTCCATCATGCCCTTGATCTTGTCCCTGAGATCAATCGTCTTGCCATTGTACAAGGCGCCATCGTCGAAAAAGACAAACTACGTCAACAGCAACCAGAGGGGGGCAAGTCAGTAAGTATTGATCCCAAGCCCCTCCACAAGGGACAAAGAACGAATGCTGCTCAACTCACCTTTGGATTAATCTGCACCGATCTCTGCAACAGCCCTCCAACTCCCATATCCGTCGAACTGCAGCTCACAATCGCCCCCAACCACATCGTCGCCAGAAACACCACGTACGTGCTCAGCGAATGCCCTCCCACAACAACCACCCGATCCCCCCTCTCCAGCCCATGCTCCTTCAGCGCGGCCGCCATCAGCGCAACCTCCCTCCGTAACTCACCCCACGACACATGTCGAATGTCGGTGTTGCCCTCTCTAATCTCTGTGAAAGCGATCCCGTCATCTTCCTTGTGCAGCTTGCAAAGAGCTCCTGGGGATGCAGACGACGACGACGACGACGACGCATCTCGGCTGTAGAGTGCGTTTTCAGCCCAGTTCATCCTCACGCCTTCAAACCACCTCGGCAACTCCGTGATGGGAATCGCTTCGTCGACCACGCGCGTATACGTGCCTTCGTGGATGTAGGGCACATATTCCCAGAGGTGGCGGTAGAAGTCGCTGCGGTTGTTGCACGACCACTTGTACAGCTCAGTGAACGACTGAGGCACTCAACATCCAAGGAAGCAAATAAGCATGAATGTTCTCGGTAGTTAAAGAGAGAGAAGAGAGTAGGGGAGAGTGGGAGATGAGATACTGACCTGGAGATTAAGACCGTACTTTCTGTTTGCGTCCTTCATAAACCGCCACATGATGGTGTTTTCGCGGTTCGGATGCTCCCACAGCTTCCGCGGCATCTTGTCAAAGTGGATGGTCGACATCTTGGCTCTCCTGACAGGTTATTCAACTGCAATCTTTTCCTGAGCAGATTCCTCTGGATGCTACCTATGCACTGTTATGCGAATCGATTCACATTGCAACCAAAACACACATACTGACAGAGATACCCTCACTCACTTATATATGTACGCAACCCCAACCCCCAGCCGGACACACGAGCCGAGGCCGAAAACCCGTCCCCCTCCGCCTCTACAATATCCATGCTTCTTTCTCCTCACTATTCTTCACCCCCCCGCCCCTGCTCTCTCCTTATTCCTGTCCTCACCCAGCTGTGCTGTAATACTACTACTACGCCCTCCAAGTCCCACATCACCCATGCCACCAAACACCGAATCCAAACCTGACATAACATCGAGATACTATGTATCTAGCCCCCCCCCCCCCCCCCCCCCTCCTGCATCCCAGCCAATCTTGTAACTCGTCATCAGTTCAACCCCCCCGGAATCCATTCATCAAAAAAGCTCGCTAAGCGCCGGATGGAACCTCAAGAGCCTCGGTCTACTGGCGGGGGGGAACCTACGATGGACAGACAATAGATGGGGTCACGTCGGATTCGAAATGCGGGGGATCGACCGGGTTTGTCGAGACTTGTGAGACGAAAAAGGAGCCACTATTCGGGACACTATTGACTCGTTAATCGATATTTCTGTCTAGTCCAGTTGCTGGCTTTCTGTTGGTTGGTTGGAAAAGGATCTTGAGCGGCGGAACCGGTGGTTGGAAGGTTGTACGAGATCTTATCGGTGCAACTTGGAATCACCGACTGATACATAGCTATCCGGGGTTCTCATGGCCGTCACTTATAGACATCAAGCATCACCACAAAGTTCCCTTTAACATGAACATGAAGTACACCACCATTCACTTTGATCATCATCCCTCAGTTCACATCAAGAATTCATCAAAGAGTATTCATAACCTCTTCTTTTACCGAGTCTATGCCCTTCATTACCATACATGAATCCACGTACCACATCTCTCATTAGCAGCAAAGAAGGCCGCCATGATGCCTAATTTGTGTAAAACCAGGCGTCAAGAACGGTAAGGAGAATATCCGCAAATTAATACAGAGTAGATATGATGAAAGAAAGAAACGATATAAATCACCGGAGCCTCCCCTTCCCTCCAACGCCTTGCTAAATACCATAGCACACACATCCTCCGATGCACCCCATCTCAGCTTCTAGTCTTGTAGATCTAGAGGAGAGATATGCGGCAACCAACTAAGAACAAGGCGAAGAAAAGTAAAAAGAGATGAAAGCAAAGAAAACTAGCAAGCCAAAACCTCATCATCGACACTGGCTTTATAGATACGGCATCCACAAGGCATCGCACTGCGCCAGATTCATCGGGTTGACGGCCTTGGCAATAGCGTCAATAACGGTCTGGTTCGCAGGCAGATTGCCCGACGGGTTGTGCGCCAGGCTGACGGCCCGCTTCACAATCGAGTCGCTGTTGAGCTGCACCGAGTCCCGCAGCTGGTTCTCGGAGATTCCGCTGCGGTGGCTGTTCATCAGCCAGAACATCATCTCGTCCCTCACAAACAACGTCAGCGCGTGCTCGAGCTCATGCTCTGGTTCCGTCAAGCACCGTGCAATCGCCATGACCGAGCAGGCAAAGATTCCCTCCATTGCCAGAGGCCCCATGAGAGTCTGCAGATTGGGCGTCAACCGGAATGGCACCGGCTCCGGGTTGTGGAAGAAGGGCTTCGACGCGCTCATAAAGGACATGAGCTCCGAACCCCAAATGTTGCCCGATCCACGAGCAATGTTCATCTTGGCCGGGTAGCGGTTGTGCATGTACAAGATGTAAGTCATGAACGTGAGCGCCGACAGCTGGTATGAAAACTGCTTGCGGAACAGCCAAAACTCGGCAAATTGGGGAAACGCCTTTTGGAAATACTCCAGCGCCACCGTCGGCGGCACCCATTTCTCCTGGATGGCATTGAACACCTCCAGTCGCGCCGTTGGCGTCAACTCGGGCTTGGTCTGTCGGGTAATCTCGTTAGTATTCCCCTTCATCGAGCAGCTTGTTACTTCAGAATAGCGGCTTACCTGGCCTCCCTTGGACTCGAGCACGCCGCGAAGCTTCTCCAGCGTAAACAGCACCGGCTCGTCCTTTGACATGCCCATGCGTCGGCAGTGATCCTCGTAGACTCCGTGCAGCGTAATGTATGAGGTATCCTCCTGCACGATTCTGATATGAGGTGCCAGGGGAACCATCAATGGCAGGGTGAACTGCAAGTCTCGGCGCCGGCTTTCCTTCTTCCGGCTCAGCGTCTGGTTGAGATGTCTAAAGAGCTGCAAGATCTTTTCCTCTCGGCGGCAGTGCCTGGCGGCGGGATGCTGAACGGCCCATGAATGAACGCTGCCATCGTGACCGCGCATCTTGAGACGACGATATGAGGCATTGACTGAGCGTATCAAATCGACATTGGGCAGGAACCTCTCTATCCGGATAAAATCCTGATTCTTATCCTTGTGTTGAAGATACTGCCCTGGAACCTCGACCTCCTCGAACTTTTGGTATCGGAACTCGCTCAGATGAGGCGAGAACGCCTCGAGAGGCGTGTGCACGATCCTGCGATCCAGCTTCTCCTCAAACTTGGTTCTCCAGCGCCGGAGCTTGTGGATGTATTCATACATGGTCGGCTTGACTTCCACAAAGTCGGCCTCGAACGACTTCTTGATATGATTAGGCAAGATCGTCTCGGCGAACCTCGTGATGTTCGTCTCCGTTGCGGAAGGCAGCTTGACGCTCTTTGCAAACGAAGCAGGGGTTCTGCTCACGTATGTCAGGGCGTCGTTGAGCAGCGCTACAATAAGGCGGTACGCGTCCTCATCAGGCGGGCACTTAAAGTGCTTCTGAATCTGGTCCACCATTGTCTCCATTGACAGGGCCAGCAGGGGGAATGCCGTCTTGAGCACCGACATGACCTCTTCAGTCAATTCCCACGGTGGTCTCTTCTGGTTCTGGCCTGCTGGGTGAGCCTGCGCCAGGCCACCCTGGGCTTGGGCTTGGGCTTGTGCCTGCTCTGGGCCTTGGGCGCCGTTTGTGGGCACTGCCGATGCCGCTGTGCCGCCATTGGCCTCGCCGTTCTCCGTCTTGACATTCTCCGCCTTGACGTGAGCCGCATCGCCGCCGCTGGCAGTGCCGGGGCGTGATGCTGCCCCATCAGCCTTGGGCGCGTCCTGCTTGGTCTGCAGGGGAGAAGCCGTGCTGGGCTTGGCATTGGCTGTCGCTGATTGAGCTCGCAGCCTCGCCTTCTCTTTCGCTTCCTGGGTCTTCTTGATGGCCATCATATCTTCCCTGTTTGTCCTGAGCTGGAAGTATAGAGCCTGGGGATAGGACTTGGCGATGCCGAGAAGGATTTGATACACACGCGGGGCCTCCTTGTAACCCAGGCCAGTCAGCAACTGGGGGATGAAGGTGATCCAGTACCACGTCGGCGTCTCGCCCTTGAAGTCGTCGAAACCCGCAGCAATGGTGCCCTTGGCATCGTCCAGGCTAAGGAGCCACAAAATCCTGGACAGGAGCTTCCGCGACTTGGCATTCTTGTAGCTGCTTGCAGCTTGTAGGTATGACGTGAGTGCCTGCCTAGCAGCATTGAGATCCGACGGGTCTTCCTTGAACTTCCTATCGTTGAAGTACCCCCACTCGGCCCAGGCCTTTGCCGCTCCAATGTCAAAGTACAAGGCGGTGCCGTAAGCTGCGTCGGCCTCCTCCTTGAGCTCAAGCTTCTCGAGGAACATGCCCTTCAGAGTGTAGAACTCGGCCTTCTGCTGGGGATTGAAGTAGTTCAAGTTTGTATTGTTGATGACTTCCAAGCCACTGTTCAGCTCTTCGGGATTTTCGTAATGGCACCTTGCTTGCTCCCGAAGCTTCAAAAAGGCCTCCTGGATCTCAATGTTGGGGAGCGTGTAGATGCGGCTGAGCTGGTTGATGCACACTTCCGGCAAGTTGTGCTTCCGAGCCACATGAGCGAAGCGGTTGATGATCCAGGCAGTCTCGTGGAAGCCACGATACGCGAAGGAGGCTCCACCTGTGTTCTGCTGGCCTTGCTGCGGCAGCAGCTGGAGATAGGTGTGGTTGATGAGGTTGAAGATGTGCTGCCTCCAAGTCACCAAGTCTTGCCAAGCCGTGATGTCGTCCCATATGTTAGGCAGCCGATCACGCCAGGCGCCAAGCAGCAGCTTGAGCTCCCCGGATTTGACATCGAGATTCGACGCGTTCGTGTTGGCCAGGCTCTGGCAGATGACACTAGCATCGTGCAGCTCGACCAACTGTTGGAAATTCTGCAGCAGAGGGATGTGGGCGTTTGTGAGTCGCGTCGGAAGTTGATGCCATTTCCGAATGGACAGCTGTATCGCTTCATCACACACGCGAGCAAAGTCGGTCGCCGATTCCTGCTGGTTGTGGAACTTGAGCAGAGACATAAACGCCTGGAAGAAAGCTCGTCGCGGCGTGGGGGCGTCCATAACTCCTTTGATGATGTTGTCCAAGGCCTCGCGGTGCTGCTCGTCTTGCCACATCTCCGTGTTGCGCCAGGCGCATTCCAGCAACAAGTCTTGGAAGTTCTCGTGCTTGGCAAAGTCCTGAAGAATCTCCCATTGCTGCAGCTTCTGGGCACAAAGGACCCAGTGGTCCTCCCAGATCATGTACTCGGCTTGGGAAAAAGGAATCACGCCTGTTCTTGCCTTGATCTGCGCTGTTTCGTACAGCTTCTGGGCCTTGTCCCACATGCCATTCTGTTCGTACGAAAGTCCGGCGTTTGTCTCTACGAACTGAGATCGACGACGCCAAGTCCCGTAGAAAAGATCGTCTTCCTGCAAAGATGCATAGAGATCCACCAACGCATCGAGGTTGCTTTCGCGCACAGTGGCCGAGTCGGGCCCTGGATTGATCGCTGCGTTTTCAAGCTGCACAAGCGCTGCATACCACGCATCGTACGTCTTGGCTTCGAACTTCAAGACGTGCGGAGGAA